AATGCCTTGCAAATGTTCACGCGACGTCTGCACCGCGTCTTGCTCGTGGGATCCTGGGATATGTTTTTGTTGACGCGACATCGTCTGTGAGCACGCATGCGCACTATCATCATATTTTCAATTAATTACAGTTATTGCTGTCTAATCAGTGAATCGTGTAGGGCTGAGAAACGGAAATAATCTAAACTAGGCTTTAATAAAATAGATGATCTTGATACCAGAGGGTGACTTTGTACAAAAGTCGATTGCTTGGGTACCTCTGTCCCATTCGCGTTTCAACCGTGAAGCAGTTGTGTTTGCATGGCTGTGTTTCGGTTTGAAGGGTGGGATATGGCGTGAATTTACTGGGTACGGAGGAATAACACCTGAGTCCTCAGGAATGGCAACGAACAGTATACTCTGTTATGTCCATGGCACTGCTCATGTCTATAGGCGACGGTTACCACTTTCCATCAGGTGGGCCGTCAGCTTGTTTGCCATTCTAAGTTGTATAAAAGAAGAAAAAAATTGACATTTTTATATATTTATTTATTTATTATTTTTGAAGGAAGCTGACAGCTGTAAAAACTTAATAATTAACTATACATGACTACAATAAGCTAATTAGGAGCTACCGGTGGAACAGGGATTATTATTAGTGAGATTCAACAGACCCGTTACTAGTAATATACAGGTCGACCTCCACGCGGTTCCCCCTGGAAACCATCGAGCTTAATTTTTGATGTATTCATCACGATGGGCTAAGTGACCTGCCTTTTCATCCTCACCAATCATTCCTCACTGGTGCCCTGCCAGCGTATTTCGATAGCGCCAGTGTTTTTTACAACACAGGGGGCAAACGAGCATGCGGCTCACCTATTGGTAAGTGACTACCGCCGCCTATGATCATCCACAACACCAAAGGCATTGCAGGTGTGCTGCCGGCCTTTTAAAAAGAAATATGCTCTTTTCTTGAAGGTTATGATGTCGTATTGGTTCGAAAATACTGCTGCTGGAAGTTGATTCCAAGGAATGGGATGACCATTCCATTTTCATCCATAAAAAATAAAAAAATAAATTACAGTCTAAATAATTAATAAATGTAAAAACATAGGTTAAATTTCGTTAAAATCAAATATATATACAAGCATCGACGCTTTAACGACGTAATGTCACTGCATGAGCCAGGTACTACATCCTGGGGTGAAAAATCCCATCTTACAGGAACCATAATAGAATTTGCTTTGCATAACTCGCCGAGTTTAATAGGTATACAGGCCCAGATATTTAATGCAATCCGACATACAAATTGCAGCCGATAAATAAGTACCGTGTATGCTTATTTTTTCCCCCTTTCCCTTTAACTCCATTTGTAAGGAATTCCTATATACAGCAGTAGACATTTAATAGCTAAAATAAATGTATATATTTTTATTGTTTACATCCAAATTTTACGTCAATTCATTTTGTGGGTAAAGTTTATAGACATTCAAACCTTATCTCTACTAATATTATAAATATCAAAATGCGTTTGTTTAATTATTAATTCGTGGTTTCTTAACCGTTCATATTTAGTATACACGTCTTATTTTTTTTATACAACCTAGAACGGCGAACAAGCTGACGGCCCACCTGATAGATAGTGGTAACCGTCGCCTATAGACATGAGCAGTACCATGGACATAACAGAGTATACTGTTTCGCCCATGATGCCCCCATGCGTTGCCATTCCTGAGGACTCAGGTGTTATTCCTCTGTACCTTGTAAATGCACTACCATATCCCACCCTACAAACCGAAACACAGCCATGCAAACACAACTGCTTCATGGAGATGGACATAAGCTACTTTTTACCCCGGTCAATCAATATAACCGGGTTACGCCGGTAAGAACAAGTCATTTCATATTTGGAAGCACAGCCCAGAACGACGGAGCAATTAATTAATTTTAATTACTGGCTTTTTTCTTTTGCTGTTTTTAATTCGTCAATTATAATTAATCAACAGAGGCGCAGTAGTCCGCTACTGTGTAATAAACTAAAATATTAATACAATTGCCGAGTGTAATGTACGGTCCGCGGTCGGCTGCGCCCGCGCACGCCACCGCCACTTTCGCCTCTTCTTTCTAGCTTCATTAGAATGCATATCCACTTTATCTTACATCTATTCAGATGCGGTGCTCGCATATTTTTATTACTATAATATTTTCTCTACTAGTTACTCGAGTCCGGGCGTTTTACGATTACTAATAACATACATGTGTTATTTATATATTAATTTCAAATATAGACACGATATTTCAAATTGTGTGGTGAAATCTAAATTCTTGGACTCCTTTAATGAAAGTTTTTTGCTGTAAAACATGAGTCGAGATACAACAAAAAGTTGGTAGACTACGATATTAATACGCTTAGTTTAGTAGTCAAATTACGTTGTATGGGAAACAAGAAAATTTTGTTGTATCCCAATATGAGTTTTCAATATTTTTTTTTTAAGCAAATGTACAGTTTCACTTGTAGAATACACTCCGCTACAATGGCAGGGATTATTCTTGTTTATTCCATTTGCATCCGATATATAAGTTGTACAGTACTAAACGTTAAACATACCATACATCAGCGGGTCTACCATTAAATGAAATTCCGAAATTTCGGACTAAATTTCGTGTTTTCGTTTATACCAAAATCGGACCAATAAATGGAGTTTAACATTTCGTTCGTCATACATCCTATCATAAAAGTCCAAAGGAACAATATTTTAACATTTTTAATATTTCCAAAGGACATGTATTATGTAATTTTAACATCAAATTTCTGTTTCGTTTGGCTCCGAAATTTCGGAAAACATTTCATGGTACGCCCTCAGATTTAAATTAGCATTCATTTAAGCTCGTTTTAATAACAGAATAAGATTGTATTTCGAATACTGTTTATATTACAATTAATTGCCTGAGTAATCATCCAACCCTTCGACACTGGTAGCAGTGCACTCGAGACCGTAGAAGTTATAGCAATAGAGCGCAACATTCCTTTACATTTGGATCCTGCAGACTCTACTTTGTGATGATAAAGAAACTCGTCTGGCCGAGCGACTGAACAGCATCACATTCCGTTGCAATTGGCCGACTGTTGCAAATTACGAATGCCATGGATAATGCATTACGATTTACGGACTAATAACGCATGTAACTCGATAGCCACTCCACTAGAGCGGCGGGAGGCGACGCGCGGGCGCCCCTATGGAACTATTTATTTATTTATTTTACACTTTATTCACTTTATTGCACCAAATAATAAGAAAAGCATGTGTTTCAGTTTGAAGGAATATGGCGTAAATTTACAGAGTACAGAGGAATAACACCTGAGTCCTCAGGAATGGCAACGCATGGGGGGTATCATGGGCGAAACAGTATACTCTGTTATGTCCATGATACTACTCATGTCTATAGGCGACAGTTACGATTTTCTATCAGGTGGGTCGTCAGCTTATTTGCCATTCTAAGCTGTATAAAAAAATAACAAATACAGTAAATATTAATGAGAAGTGATACAAAAGGCGGCCTTATCGCTAAGCAATCTCTTCCAGACAACCTTTGGGTAGAGGACATTAAGAAAAAGACAAAGGGTAGGTGGCGCACTATTATATAAATATTGCTCTAATTGCTTTTTTTTTTAATTGCCAGAAACATTGTAGATAAGATGTTGCATTTGTCAAGTTTTTTTATACAACTTAGAATGGCAAACAAGCTAACGGCCCACCTGATGGAAAGTAGTAACCGTCGCCTATAGACATGAGCAGTACCATGGACATAACAAAGTATACTGTTTCGTCCATGATACCCCCCATGCGTTGCCATTCCTGAGGACTCAGGTTTTATTCCTCTGTACCCTGTAAATTCACGCCATATCCTACCTTTCAAACCGAAACACAGCCATGCAAACACAACTGCTTTACAGTTGAAACATGAATGGGACAGAGGTGCCCAAGCAAACTACTTTTGTACGAAGTATCCCTCTGGTTACAAGGTTAACCTTCTTCTAACCATAGTAATTGTCTGCTTGTCTATTCGTTCGTACGAATAACTAGGACTATGTAGAGTAGTCTATTTAGAATATTTAGCCTTGTTATAATTAAAAAAAAATTATTTATAGCAATTATAATAAATACATAATAATTCACTTAGTACCTTCGCATTATGATACATTTAAAGGCATGCTTGAACTTTTGATTTGACACTAAGGCTAAATACTTCTACAATATCATCTTACTCTTAATGTATTAATATTAAAATTGTAAAAAAAAAACTGAATATCTTTGGACTACGCCACAAATAAGTATCTAGTTGAAAATTACCAAATAAAGGTTACAATAATTGGAGTTTCGTCATATTTATAATATATAAAAATTTATTTATAAATTATAATTAATTAATATAATTCTTTTTAGAAATAATTCATCATTCATTTTATATTTTTAAATAATATAAACACACTTTGACAATTGTAAAGTTCCTCCATATAAAACCGTATAAAATATCATCGGAGGAAAATCGCCTAAAAAACTACAGTAAATCTATATATATATATATATATATATATATATATATATATATATATATATATATATATATAAAAGTAAAATACACAAAATTGTAAGAAAGTTCGCTGACTGAGATGACAGTAAAAATATAAATAATATAACATAAAGTTTACTTTTGCAAAGTAAAAAAAAAAGGAAAAATAAAACTTTTTGAACTTTTGTAAGTTAATATTATTATAAAACATTTGTATTTTCCTACAAAGAAATAACAACAAGTACCTAAGCCATTTAGAGCGCTTTTTGTTAAATTAATTTACCTTATTATTTGCAATATATTTTCTCTCTGCCTCTCCCTAAATTTACCGTAGGTGGTAATATAAAATAAATACAATATATGTATATAAATAAATAAATAAATAAATATTAATCAGGAGATAAATAACAGATAAGCAATTCTTATGTTAATCACTAATAAAAACTTACCAAAACAAAAAAAGTTCAATCCTTTTTGTGTGTTCACAAATACACTTTAACTCACATGATCACACTTGATTGTGCACAATATTTAAAATCCACACTTATTATTATAGTTTGAATCCAGATTAAATTTTACTTAACTACTTAATCGTAGATCGATGAGTTATTGAAAGAAGAAACACACGTGCGTGTGTCAGACAGTCGCGAGTACACTGCGGGCCAGCGGCAGCGCTGGGGCCGCGGGCTCCGTCCCTATCGGGTGCTCCGGACCGGCCCCCGCTTAGAGCTCTGGCTTTGTTATGCTGTTAACTAGTGCTGGAGACAGATCACATAATAATAATAATAATTGAGAATAATAAAATAATAATATTATTTATTTATTTTATTTATTTATTTAACTCTTTATTGCACCATAAATAAAAATATACAATGACAAGTGAATAATTCAAGTGAAATACAGTAACATGAATACAGATTGAAATATACACGTAAAGGTACAAAAGGCGGTCTTATCGCTATCTATCATTAAACATTACTGATGATATATATTTTATATTATATATATTTTATTATATTATATTTTATTTTATATTTAATCTTAACATACAATTATAAATTATACAAGTGTTTTTCAAAGTGTGGGTCGCGACCCCTTGGTGGGTCCCTGAGCCTCTACAAGGTGGTCGCGGAAGGTCGCGAAGCAGTTAAAAATCAACAGTTCCGTAAATACATCAATCAATCAATAATACAAAATTAACTAGCTGTTGCCCGCGACTTCGTCCGCGTTTCCGTTATTTTTCGTAAAATAAGTAACCTATGTTCTTCCTCACGGTTCTGTGGTTTTGATGTAACAGACAAATTTTCCTTCACTGCTCTGCTCCTATTGATTGTAGCGTAATGAAAAGTATACTATAACCTGCCCAGGAGTATGAAGAATAATTGTACCAAGTTTCATTAAAATCCGTCGAGTAGTTTTTGTTTTTATAACGAACATACAGATAGACAGACAAAAATTTTACTGATTGCATTTTTGGCATCAGTATCGATCACTAATCACCCCCTGATAGTTATTTTGGAAATATATTTCATGTACAGAATTGACCTCATTACAGATTTATTATAAGTATAGATAATTTATTTTATTTTATCGATACCTAACTGTGAATATAAATACAACTGTACGGATTTCATAATTGTACTATAATAAAATTCATACACATTCGAAACCGTGGAGGGTAGGGGGTCGCGTCATGAAAAAGATTGGAAACACTGAATTATACTATAAACAATTTTTAACATAACATTTAACCTCTGTTTGATGCGAACCCTCACGTGCAATACATTTATTAGTAGTAACCGCCACGTACACAGTATGGAGGAAAGAAATAAGGAAAATGGAGGCAGTGAGTAAGAAACTTATAATTATGAGGAAAATGACAAAAAGACTATAGTGCCTACAAAAAATATTAAATTAAATAATTGCTAATAAAATTATAGAGTTAGAAAAAAATCATGACGGCGTGAATTTACTGGGTACAGAGGAATAACACCTGAGTCCTCAGGAATGGCAACGCTTGGGAGATATCATGGGAGAAACAGTATACTCCGTTATGTCCATGGTACTGCTCATGTCTATAGGCGGCGGTTACCACTTTCCATCAGGTGGGCCGTCAGCTTGTTAGCCATTCTAAGTTGTGTAAAAAAAAACATGGACGCAGCCGGTCCCGTGGAGTAGGCGGCGCAAGTGTGACCCCGGGGCCCCCGGCGCGGCGCGGCCTGCGCGTGCGTCCCTTGTTTTTCTCCTAGCACAGCCGCCTCGTGGCCGTTGGCTTTTTTTTCTCATTTTGCTTTAAAATACAATACGTTCCACCTCTTAAAATTGCCAACGTTCGAGAACTTTTTTTTTATTAACTCATAAAACTAAATTATACTCAGGTATTTTAATTACTTTATCATTGATGATTTGGTTAGAATTATTTTGTTCACCACCTAATGTAGTAAAATATAATTACTCCATATTAAAAAAAAATATTCAGAATATGAGCGTGTAGTGATATAATCAATAAGCCACCCCTTTCTTTCCCGTGGATGTCGTTAAAGGCAACTAAGGGATCTTAATTGTCGAGGAATGGGCAGCAGCGCCCCTCATAAAACTTATGCCTAATTGCGGTTGCCAATCCACCTGCCAAGCTTGGCAACTACTGGCAAAACCCCCCAAGAGGGTGGCCTATGTTCAGCAGTGGACAGTTACTCGTTGATATCATATCTTCATCTAATAATTCCTCCTCAAACCAGAATGACAACTCTTTGCTGTGACCTGCGCATCTGCCCATCCCTCGACCAACACTTAAATACATGATGAAAATAAAATATTTATAACGCAATATTCAAGATGATACTTCCTATAACTGCGACTTGATTATACGGCGCGGTACTAAAGCTTATTATGTCCATCAATCAATTGTAATAAACCAATACATTGTAGGAGGCCTTCTGTATAAAATATTTATAACACTAAGTAATATCTAGTGAACCCTGCGTCTGGGCCACCGGAGATTTTTTTTTTTACATACATACATATCTGTCACGCCTGTCTCCCATTAGGGTAGGCAGAAACAATGGAATATATATATATATATATATATATATATATATATATATATATATATATATATATATATATATATATATATAGCTATTTTGTAATTTACTAATTATGTGCACGAATTACAAAATTCGTAAGGGAGGGAGGAAGTTACAGTGAAAGTTAATGGTTTACTAATAAATGTTATAAAATTTGTCATTACATACATATTTTCAATTCAAATTCAATTTATGAGTAAAATATGATCAATAATTGTCCCTCTAGCAGTTAATTAAACTTTAATTAATGCTATACATATTATGATTATTTTAAGTAAATAAATGCCACCAAACAAATAGTTCCAAATTATGGTAAGTAAGGCTAAGTTATGGGTGCAAGACAACGGGTAAACCTACTTGGTTTTTTTTTTCATTTTAAATACTTACCCCGTGTACATAGAAAAACATAAACTTATATTGTGAAAAGATTTGAGAATACACGTTTCAATCGAAGTTACGTTTATTATGAAATTCTCAATTAGATTAAATAATTTTTAACCGCCTGCAAAATAAAAGAGATTTTCAATTTGGTTGTATTATTTTTATTCACGTTTTTACCTCATAACTCTGACAGTTTTGTAAAGATATAAACTCACAGATTGGTTCCATAAAAATTTTATTAAAATAGATTCAGTAGTTTAGTTTTTAAACCAAAACTGGTTTTGTCACAAGATTTACTCCCATATTAATATTGTGACGATTAAAGCCGCCGGTTTTCTTTGTAGAAATTAGTAAATTTTACGAATCTTCTTGACGCAATAACAAAATTTAATGACAAAATTCACTTGTAGACGTAATAATTCTATATTCTTAATTCAAATATTTTCAATCTAATGTGTCTATGAAACGTATCTCGTTATTAATTAGTATGGGTTTTTATGTCCAGTATTTTTTTTATATTTATTTTATATCATCATCATTATATCAGCCTTTAACTGTCCACTGCTGAAGACAAGCCTCCCCCTTGGGGGGTACTGCCAGTAGTTGCCACGCTTGGCAGGCGGATTGACAACCGCAGTTAGACTTTAGAGACGTTTAAGAGGGACGCTGTTACCCGTCCCTCGTTTAGTCGTCTCTTACGGCACCCCTGGGAAAGGAAGGGGTGGCCTATTCTATGCCGGGACCACACGGCCAGTTATTTTTCATATTACCTAAACCTTATTATTATTAGGAAGGTTGGCATCAGGCAGGCGGCCGGTTGTACCTACATAAAACTAAAAGCTAAATATTTTTATAAATTATATGTATAATATAAAAAAAAACATTACGTCGACTCCAAACAATATCGATAAGGACAGGAAGGTGCTAAATATTATACATAATTACATACATAGAAACTGTAATAGATATGTTATATTAAAACATCATACGTAGAAAAAAGTAATTTTCAGAAATGATACAATTTATTTCATTACTCACTATGTACTTTATAAAAAATATACTATTATTAAAAAAGTTCTTGAGCACGGCCCGTGAAATTAGAATGATTCGCCACTCAGAGGCAGTGTGACGCACGTAATGACTCGAAGGTGTGTAAGTTTTTATGTACCTACGTATTAATTACAAACAAATTAAAGTTTGTGTCCCACAAAAAATCCGACGGCCGAATATTTTCTAATATTTTTTTTTATACAACTTAGAATGGCAAACAAGCTGACGGCCCACCTGATGGAAAGTGGTAACCGTCGCCTATAGACATGAGCAGTACCATGGACATAGCAGAGTATACTGTTTCGCCAATGATACCCCCATGCGTTGCTATTCCTGAGGACTCAGGTGTTATTCCTCTGTACCCTATAAATTCACGCCATATCCCACCCTTCAAACCGAAACATAGCCATGCAAACACAACTACTTTACAGTTGAAACAAGAATAGGACAGAGTGGGCCAAGCAAACGACTTTTGTACAAAGTCTCCCTCTTGTAAAAAATCGGTTTATTATTTTAGTTTTAAAACCAAAATAACTGGTTTTGCCACAAAGTCAATTTTTCCTGTGGCATCTTTCTCATTCAATAAGAATTAATCACGATGGTTTCTAGGGGGAACCGCGTGGAGGTCGACCCTGTCAATATACACGTATTGCCAGCAATGTGGTTGTTAGACCACATTACTAATAATCCTTTTATCCTTCATCACCGGTGTTGGAGTATAATGCATCACCATCACAGGTGACTTAATTTTTATATTTAGAAGTTCGACATTCTGTCATGTATTTTTTTAAAGCGAGAATAATTTTTTCACGACTAAAATATCATAAGGGTTGGTTTAGAAATAATCTATAATACCTATGTTCGGGGGGAAAGGGATTGTTAGTAATGGAGACTGAGAATCCCATTGCTAGCAATATGCCCAACCTGGTCGACCTCCTCGCGGTTCCCCCTGGAAACTATCATGGTTAATTCCTGATGAATTCATCATGACGGGCTAACTGGCCTGTTTTCATTCTCAACTACCACCCTTCACTAGTGCTCCGCCAGCGTATCCCGTTAGCGCAAGCGGGGTTACCATACCATTTTCACCCATAAAAAAAATACCTATGTTCGGCAGTGGGCAGTTAACGGCTGAAATGACGATTATATAATACCAGAATATTAGCTGTTTAAATTCTTTAGTAACTGGCAAGCACTAAAACTTCTTGTCTTTGAACGTTGTACAACGCCTGCAGTCGCATTATTACAATAATTGTACCATAGTGTGCGTTCACCCTAAAACTAGATTAATGTAATAAGTATGTATTGTATATATAATTATGTAAATTATACAAATGCAGTTATCCATACGCGTCCGCCTGTCTGTCTGTCTATGGACAGGTCTATTACTAAATCCAACAGTAACACACAATTGTAATTGCTAATAATGACATACGCCACCGGTTTCGTTTGGTTTGCATGTTCAGTTCAAAAGCACTGCCTCTAATAAAGGCTTGGTTTGTTTTTGTGTTTGTAAATCACTTATAACCGACTTCGTATGGGGAGGTTCTTAGATTAATTCCAGATGAATTCATCATGATGAGCTAACTGGCCTGTTTTCATTCTCATCGATCACCCTTCACTGGTGCTCCGCCAGCGTATCCCGTTAGCGCAGACGGAGTTACCATTCCATTTTCATCCAATAAAACATGCCAATCTTCTTGTACGGATACACTTCTAGGTTTATTTATGTATGATGTAAAAATAGCATTGTAGAATCAATTTCACAGCAGACAAGTAGGGTAAATAGGCGTAGTTAGACGCGAGTAGATAGCTCGTCACACTCCCATTGCACGCATTGCGCGCCTCTACCTACCACACTACCGGCGCGCACCGAGCTGCATCTTGCCTAGATTTCTACTCGTTCTACGCTGAATCATATTTAGATACAATTAAATCTCCGTGAATAAGGGTAGGCATGAGTTTAATTCTCGGTCAGATCAATTTGTGTAACTTTTTTTTTTTTAATTTATATTCGTTGTCCAGTTTCTCATAACACACTAACATTATTAGATTTAGAATTTATTTATTTGCTAAAATATGGTAAATTTTTATAGGTGTATTCAGGCGCATCACTAGTCGGTCGCAATCGACTTGCTAGTAATGTCCCAACACTAACACTGAAACCATATTGTATTTCAAGAAGTAAAAATTGACTCAGTTCGATTATCTAATTTAATATAAAATATATTAATACAAATATTGGAGTCATTAAAGTTTATTTAAATCGAGAACCAATACACATCCAAACTGAAACAAGGTGTTACATTTCCAAAGCCGTAAACATATTACGAAAAGAAAAAAAAGTGTTACATTAAAAGAAAATTATAGTCGAATCTTATTCTGCCACATTATAGGCGCGGAATTATTAAAATTTAATATACAAAAAATTAAAATAATAAACTCTTTGGAATTACAAATACATATTGCAATAATATTTTGTCACTTTTTGTATGTAATAGAACAGTTTATGGTTTCACTAAAATTTATAAGCACAAAATAAAAATATAAAAAAAAAAACACCATCCACAAACCTAACTTAAGCAAGCAATGCGGTATTCATGAACACACACCATTTTCATTACAATACATATTTTCTTCACTTACGGAGTATGTATTAATTCATGATTTTGTACCATAAAGAGAAAAAAAAATTCAATACGAGTAGTAACAAAGTAAGGCCAACGTAGTATTATATTATCTGTGGCAAAAGTCAACTGTATCGATTACGAAATCGAATATATATAAATCGTAACAATTAAATATTAAATTAAATATTTGAACATTTTAGAGTCGCTTAAAAATTTATCACAATAAAGTATAATAGAAAATATCGAGATTAGAATTACCTACATTTAATTTTGATCAAACGCTAAATGCGTATCTCGAAGTACAGTCTTCATAGATGTTTGATATCATATGTAAATATTTTTCTGCAGCTCACGCAACGCTTCACGAACAAATGTTATGATACAGCTCGGAACAATTCTGTCTGATTGCGAAAGTTGATATGTATCCTTATACTAACTTTATGAATGCAAAAGTGAGTTTATTTTGCTACATCCCCAATAGTCATTCAATTTACTATACACGTGATTACACCGTGCTTTAAATGACCAAAGACTGAGAAACAAATTTTATACATAAAGAAGCATATGACTTTTTTGCGCAAATAAGTTGTCTTTAATATTTGCAAAATACTTATTTTTGTTTAAGTAACTCGTCCCTTCAGTGCAACTCTAGGCTACGCAGTCATTTTTTTTTTTTGCAATATGTAATTTAATTAAATCGTTTTTATACAAAAAAAATCATAATATAGCTAACCTAACCAGCGATTTAAAAAAAATTACCGTCACGGTGTATACCTTAAGTTCCATAAAACTGTGCCAGCAACGCATCAGTACTATTTTTTTCTGTGTTTCATATTATTTGAGGTAAATGACATTTTACAAAATATATTACGCTGTACAGCTTCGTAGTCATTCACCTCAGTTAATAATATAATTAGCATTTATATTTTTTGAAAAATAAAAACGCCCATAGAATTGTAAATACTTTTTATTTTAACATTCTAATTGCGCCTTTTTATCTTTTCACTGTAGTGTGACTCAACTTCTTTGTTGACGTCGTAATACCGTTTTAAATTACTTTTACTCGTGCTATGTCTGGAACATTTATAATCACTTTTATCGTACTCTCTGCTGTCTCTTGAATCTCTATCCTTGTAGCTTCTATAATACGTTTCTTCTCGATCCTTCTTTCTAGAACTTTCACGATAATATTTATTGTCTTCATGTGTAGTTGTTGACTGTTTATATTTCTCATCTGTATGATAGTATTTCTTCTCACTTCCATTATCATATCTCTTTCTATGATCGTAACTTCTCGTATCATCACATTTAGATCTATCTCTATAGGAATCTCTTTCGTTTTCTTTCCTTTCTCTATCTCTGTCGTGTCTTTTGTTCTCCAATCTGTTTTGCTTACTTGCATTTTCATCTTCGTTATATCTTCTTACATCTCTCTTGCGTTCATGTTTATAATAGACATCTTCTGATTTATATTTTTCTAATTTATTACTATTGTCCGATTTTCTTTCGATATTGGCGTTAGCTTTGGTAGTGATGGTAGCTTTTATTGCTGCTCCACTAACTTCTGTGTACGTCTCCATCTGAAAGCAATAACTTGGATACAGAGGCAATACACACGTTGATTTTTTTAATGAAAACGGTCTTTTTTTATGGGTGATAATGGAATGGTAACCCCACCCGCGCTATCGTTATACACCGGCGGGGCACCAGTGAGGGATGATGATAGGTGAGGATGAAGCAGGTCAGTTAGCCCATCGTGACGAATTCAACAAGAATTGTTCACGATGGTTTCCAGGGGGAACCACGTGGAGGTCGACCTAATAGGGCATATTGTTAGCAATGGGGCTGTCAAACTCCATTGCTAACAATCCCTTCCCGCCCTAATGAAAGCGTTTGGTCTCTTGTTGGACCTCTAATAGATCTCTGTTAGGGCTCCACACACCTTATCAAATTTGGACCCATATTAATTATACGTACAAAATTAATGGTATCTTACTACTATTATAAACGCAAAGATGAAGACGTATGGATGAACCATTGTTACTCTTTCACGCAAAAACTATGGAATTGAATAAAATTTGCAAGGATACGATATATCCTATCCACCAGAGGGAGACTTTGTACAGAAGTCGATTGCTTGGGTACCTCTGTCCCATTCGTGTTTCAACCGTGAAGCAGTTGTGTTTGCATAGCTGTGTTTCGGTTTGAAGTGTGGAATATGGCATGAATTTACTGGGTACAGAGGAATAACACCTGAGTCCTCAGGAATGGCAACACATGTGGGGTATCATGGGCGAAACAGTATACTCTGTTATGTCCATGGTACTGTTCATGTCTATAGGCGACGGTTACCACTTTCCATCAGGTGGCCGTCAGCATGTTTGCCATTCTAAGTTGTATAAAAAATAAAAAAAAAAATCTGCATAATCATATAACTATTTAATTCGGAGAGAAAAGGATCGTATCGTCAGTAATGGGGTCTAACAGCCTCATTGTTATATACCTTAAGCAGGTCGATTTCCAAGCAATCCTAACTAACCAGTGTGATTATTTCATTGTCACCCATTAAAAAAAAAGTATTTGGTTAATCTTATCATTTTTATGTAAATTTAAACATTTCCGAACGCAATACCGCAATATGCTTCTACCCTCATTATCTATCCATATTACCGATCAAATCTGGAATCATATTGGGGGTTAGATGGCTACAAAATCAGTCTATAGTTCCAACTGTGCATCGAGCAGATCACGTTCCGCAAATCACTAATAAATTTCCACCAGTTGCGTACTACTCAATCAGTCGCGATTTCCGCGCAACATACAGTGAAACATGAGCAAATCTACAAAAGTATTGGGAAAATTTGGCGTAAAACAAGAACGCGTATAAAAAGACCTACGCGTGGGCACTACGTGTACCAGGTTTGTTCTTCACCCTTATTTTTATGTAACAGTATTGAATTCAATTCAAATAACAGAGATTGGCGTCCCCTTTACAATGATAATACTTCTTCACAGACACGCTGGTTGCAAGTAATAAATAGATAGATAGATAGATAATCTTTATTACCAGTAATAATATTTAAAAAAAAATTAACAATAAAAAGAAAAAATGATTTTGCTGGTAATAGGAGCCGCCTCAGCTGTTGCTATATATGTACAGCTCCAGCGTGATGTACCTATATAGCGCTGATTTTCAGGCGGCCCCTTAACTCCTTTACCTTTAGCATGCGTGCGAGTCGCCAATACTCATAATAAAGACTCAATACGCTTAACAATAAATACAAAAAACATTACAACCTTTTGATAAAAAAAAAAAACATTACAACCAAAACTAAAAAGAACAAACTCTGAAAAATACTTAAGTGAAAAATATTGAATATAAAGGTAAGCAAGCACCTGTGTTCTGATGACATCCCGCAGCACGTCTGAGTAGTTGCGCGTCTTGGCGGCGACGCGGTACTTGGTGCGGCGTCGCTTCATGTCGCGCAGCTCCGCCAGCACCTCCAGCCGCGACTTGGCGCCCGACGGCTTCGAGCCCTCGCCCTCGCTGGAACTATTTATTATTGTATTAAACGAGCTGTTTCAAGCAGAAAAAGCCTGTTACACTGCGAACTTTTCATGATGTTTCGTCCTCACTCTTTTATAAATTTCGCTGCTAATTCCTATTAATGATAGAAATTTTAAGATATTTTTTTGTAGCGATGTTTTTATCTCCTCAGGACACAGAGTGTGTTTTCCAAAAGAATAGAATAGAATAAATATTTATTTATTATATTCTAAATATAATATTATAATAAATATCTATTCTATTCTAAAAAAAAAAGAGATATATCGTTTATGTATAAGTAGGCTACAGCCATAAATTCAGTGCTGCGACGTTTCTTGCTCACTGTGACAAAATCTGCAAACACTTTTTGAATATAAGCCTAGTTGGCCCATATGCTTGTTTTGTTTGCAGTCTCCAATGAGAGCCCTTGTTTATACACACATATTATTTTGAAAACATTGGAACTAACGATTTTAACATTATTTAGTTTAAAGTGGTGTCTAAAAATTAATAGATATATTGGATAGAGCTCATACTCAAGTACTTTCATTTGTTACTGGGGGAGAATGAGACAATTCCATCACGTAAAACTGTGTATTTTAGATTTCTAGTATAATAAGAGACATATTTACCTTGGCAGAGCCAAATCAGCGAGATCATGGCAAGAGGGTGCTGCTTTCACGACGGCATCGTATATAGCGCGGCGCTCGTCCGCCGAGTACACGGTCTGCAGCCGCGCCAGCGTCAGCGGCTCGCATCCATCGCATCCTGAACCTTGTTATTGAGGAAACTTATTTTTAGAACAGCAAAGTGCTTATACTCTGTGTGGTCCTGGCATTGAATGGCACACCGTTTCCTTTCTTGTGGGTGTTATAAGAAGCGATTAAGGGAATTAAATGGTCAAGACGCAGCAGCGTCCTCTTAAAATATCACTAAAGCTAACTGCAGTTGCCAATCCACTTGCAAACGTGGCAACCACTGGTAAAACACCCCTTACAGGAGAGGCCTATGTCCAGTAGTGGACAAATTAATGGCCGATATGATTATAATGGTATTTACACACCCTGCTTCATAAATAAATCCAGAAGATTTTAGATGACTTCTTATTTATATTATAAGTGTGAAAATGAATTTATTTGTTACCTTATAGTGCCTTAATGATTTAACCAATTAATATGAAATTTGATATACACATACATATACATGGGATGGAGAACGACATAGGCTACTTTTTATCCTGATCAATGAACATATCCCGGTCACACGGATGAAGTCACGGGTAAAAGCTAGCAAGTGAATAATTTATGACAGTATATTTTACTTAACAAAATACTTGACACAATTGAAGTAGCTCCACAAAGACCAGGAGCAAAAACTGCTTTTAATTAATTATAAAACTGACTTATAAAAAAAATTGACTTTTATGATATAACAAATTGTATCACGATTCATTTTATATCATGGGATGACATCTTATGGGAAATAAATGTCCAGAAATAGAACAATAATGGGTTGTTATGGTATACTACAGTTGATATGTAAAATATAATGTACTATCTAAAAAGGATACATTAGTTGAGTGCCAATGTAAGCAAATTATCAATAGAACTGCAAAAATAAAAACATTCATGTCAAATTTATAATACCAATGTGAAATACAAGATGGTCAATTGAACATTAGAAAATAAATTACCTTTTCTGAACAATGGATCAGTGTGTGAAGCAGCATTTAGTATCTCTTGTATATCATATTTACCTGAAATTGTAAATACAAATTAATTGTTGTATGTGATTATTATTGAAAGAGATATACATATATATATACTCATTAGAAATAAATAGACTACACCTTTATCTATTAAAACTTTAACATGCACTTTACACATGTAATGAAAAGTAAAAATTAACAGCTATCACAAAGGAATATAGACAAAGTATGAAAATAAAGTTTGAACCTGCCAATGTGATTAAGCCATGTTCAAGCATAGAATGAGCCATTGCTTTCTTTCCCGTGGATATAGTAAGAGGTGATTAGAGAATTTAATGGTCAAGGGATGGGCAGTAGCAACCTTCATAAAAACATCAAAGCCTAACTGCAGTTGCCAACCTGCCTGCCAAATGTGCACAATTCTGGCAACCAACCCTCCCCCCTTATAGGGGAGGCCTATTCTCAACAGTAAACAGTTAATGGCTGATATGATGATGATAATGATGATGTAATTTGCATTATATTATCATTATTAATTCAGCAGTTAGTAGTAAAAGGGAGAAAATGTTAGGACACTTGATACAACATAATGAACATAGGAACGTCATGGTAGAAAGAAAGAGGGGAAAGAGGAGACTAAGGTACAATTACATCAGGTAAATCAATGAAAAAATTGGTGTTATGTCATATCCAGAAATGAAGAAACTCGCTAAAAATTGTAGCAAGTGGCGAGAGCTCCATCTATAGGAGCAATGTTCTTAAATAGGAATGAATTAATCACTTTAGCAGAGTCACATAAAATGCAGCTCTACATAGAGCCAAAGGGAACTATTTGTTTTTCTTAATACACATTGACAATTACAGTATAAGACACATATTCAACCAATGGGAAAGAAAGGTTCTTGATGACCCAATACTGGTAAACAGTGTAGGAAGATCCCCCCTACCAGATGGAGTTACCCTTGACACCTCAATGTGTTGCTGGGAGTCAGCGGGTGCAAGTAGCTCAGGACCATTCCTTTTGGCAGTCTATTATGGAAGCCTATGTTCAGCAGTGGATAGTTAATATCTGACATGATAATTATGAGACCCAGATAATTTTTTATACTACTACTGCTTATAAAACATGTTCACAAAATATATAAATCCAAATGAATAATTTTTTTTATAACAAAGTACTCGCAATCTAGCATACTGCCTGTCTGATAGTAAATGGTCACTTTAATCCATGGATGTCGGCAACACAAGGAGTAATACATGCTTGTTGCCAATCCTGAAAAAAATTTAATACACCCTTTTTGAAGAGCCCCATAATGTAGCCTCTTGAGAAAACCTTAGCAGGGAGCTCTTTTCACAGTCCTCCTATGAACAATCCTATAGGTACTTTGAAATATCCAGTGTGGTCCCTAATTCAGCATTCCCTGGTTGTTATACATTACATTAATTAACAAGGTTAGGAATAAATGGCTGTATCATACCGAATGTAACAGTGTTGCTTGTGATATCAGAAGGATCAGGTAAAAGAACATCTTCTTTGGAATAGCCAAGGTGCCTCAACAGGCACTGCTTCTCGTGTTCTTCCTTCCTTTCAGTGGGCACTCTATGATTATTGTCAAATTTACAAGATACCATAGAGCCTTTCTGGAACAATAACAATAAGTTTCATTCAATACAATATTTGTACTACAATTAATATTTAATAATATATAACCTATTCTATATGTGTAGACTGAATATCTGTCTAACTAACCTCTAATAGACTTTTTCTATCCCACTGGAGACTCTGTAGAATCATTGTCACTTCGGCTTCTACGTTTTCTACATATAATTTCAAGTCTAACAACTGTTTTTGTCTAATTTCCATTTTGAAGAACTATTATATTCATCAATAAGACAATAAATGAATTCAATATAACAAAAAAAATTTAACTCGATACTAATCACTGATTCAGTTTAGATATTTAAATACGTAGATAGTGAATACTCAATATTCAGCATTTTAGTGAAAATTAAAAACGCAAATATCAACAAAACACAAAATAAGTAATCACTACGTTATAAGAGTCGGCAGTGGATTTTTCTCTCAATACTTGAATCTATTATTTGTATGTTACCTTTTCAAAGCAACAATAATGAAATAAATGGACATTTACAGTGTCATACTACTTACTATTTTACCTCCGTGCAAAATATCGATATCGACTGTTTTAAAAATCCTATCTATTGCATTATGTAAAATTTTTAAATTTCATGAAAAAAAATTTTGTTATTTTTTTTGGTTCTATTTAAATTTTGAACATATATTTTTTTTAGTAGGTGAGTAATACAAATTCTCTTAAGCGCATTAAACTATAGATATCTTTTTATATAAATCTTATGCCAAAATAAATAGTTTAAGAGGTCGGTGGTTATGAAATAAAACTCGTGTCATTATAGGGGAATCCAACTCATGTATTAACAGTTCCACAACTTTGCAATTAAAATACATTTGTATTAAAGCGACTTACCAAATTATACGTCTTTACTGATCAATGTTCAATCCACAACTGTTCACTGTTCGTTGTTACTTCTAGTTTTTATGTCGACTGTTTTGGCGGGTAAATAATTATTCCGGAAATGACAAATCACCATTTTGTAGTTAAATCAAATCAGCAACAGTGGCACTTGACAACAGTTATGATACAAATATAATAAAATATTGGTATACTAAATGTAAAGATGCTAACAGTCGGCCTTTCCTGACATTTTCACGTCTCGTGAAATAGAATAGAGAAAAAAAAAAAGTATATTATATAATGCTATTCATATTATGTGTCGTGAATTATTGATATATGTAGCTCCTTCATGTCTTCAATGTGTCTCTAAATTATCTAATTACATTACGATACTAATTGTTGTAGCCCCTTCATATCCACAACAATATCACATTGAAGCCTCTTCATGTCTTCAATGTGTCTCTGAAATATCTAATTAAATTACTATACTAATTGTTGGAGCCCCTTCATGTCTACAACAATATCACATTGAAGCCCCTTCATGTCTTCAATGTGTCTCTGAAATATCTAATTAAATTACTATACTAATTGTTGTAGCCCCTTCATGTCTACAACAATATCACATTGAAGCCCCTTCATGTCTTCAATGTGTCTCTAACTTATCTAATTAAATCACTATACTAATTGTTGTAGCCCCTTCATGTCTACAACAATATCACATTGAAGCCTCTTCATGTCTTCAATGTGTCTCTGAAATATCTAATTAAATTACTATACTAATTGTTGTAGCCCCTTCATGTCTACAACAATATCACATTGAAGCCCCTTCATGTCTTCAATGTGTCTCTGAAATATCTAATTAAATTACTATACTAATTGTTGTAGCCCCTTCATGTCTACAACAATATCACATTGAAGCCCCTTCATGTCTTCAATGTGTCTCTAACTTATCTAATTAAATCACTATACTAATTGTTGTAGCCCCTTCATGTCTACAACAATATCACATTGAAGCCCCTTCATGTCTTCAATGTGTCTCTAACTTATCTAATTAAATCACTATACTAATTGTTGTAGCCCCTTCATGTCTACAACAATATCACATTGAAGCCCCTTCATGTCTTCAATGTGTCTCTAACTTATCTAATTAAATCACTATACTAATTGTTGTAGCCCCTTCATGTCTACAACAATATCACATTGAAGCCCCTTCATGTCTTCAATGTGTCTCTAACTTATTTAATTAAATTACTATACTAATTGTTGTAGCCCCTTCATGTCTACAACAATATCACATTGAAGCCCCTTCATGTCTTCAATGTGTCTCTAACTTATCTAATTAAATCACTATACTAATTGTTGTAGCCCCTTCATGTCTACAACAATATCACATTGAAGCCCCTTCATGTCTTCAATGTGTCTCTAACTTATTTAATTAAATTACTATACTAATTGTTGTAGCCCCTTCATGTCTACAACAATATCACATTGAAGCCCCTTCATGTCTTCAATGTGTCTCTAACTTATCTAATTAAATTACTATACTAATTGTTGTAGCCCCTCCATGTCTACAACAATATCACGTTAAAGCCTCATACATATCTTCAACGTGTCCTTAAGTTTTATATTTGTTTATTAATAATTCTTGTTACTGAAACTTGGTAAAACCAGTATACAGGTTAATATAATTAAACAATACTTAAACTCTTCCACAAAAAATATTAATCCTTTATATAAATTAATTGACAATCTCATTTATATATATAGTGTACAGAATTCAATCAAACAACTAATTTCAATGACATTTGATATATAAATTGACTACTTAAATCACTATAAGTACCATTATTTTGATAGTTATATAACTTAACAATATGTACATATATGTATATAAACTAATTTAAACAATATGCAATCAATCAAACGATCAGACTAGTATTCGTCCGCGCTATTTGAATCTGTATCATTCCCGGTTCTGTTTAAATGAGCCATGGATGTATTTTATCATAAGTCTTATCAAATCCAAAGTGACCCATATCATCATGATTAGCTTTTAGTATCTGCCATCTTACTCCCTTAGGGACAACCCAACGATCACCGTCAGCCGTTTTCCTACAAAGTAACCCCCTTTTTTTTTTACCACCAACATTTTTTTTTTTTAAATCTAAATTACTGTTAGTCTCGTTATCATTTAATATATTTATAATACGCATTAATTCTGAATCACCTTGTTAAACGGTAGCTATCCAATCTGTGCTAATATTTCGAACTTCGGAACAATTCAATGGGACCTCAATAGGATTACGGCTGAGGGCGTCAACATGGGACATTGTTGTACCTGGCTTATAAATGATCTTAAAATTATACCCCTGCATGGCACTCCACCATCTGGCAACCCCAGGTAATATATCGCGTTTTTCGAACATAGCACGAAGAGAATTACAGTCGGTAACTACAGTAAAGGGGATGCCCAGTAGACATACTCTAAATTTCTGCAAAGAGGTTACTACGACCAAGGTCTCTAGATCATAAAAACTAAACCTGGTTTCTTCAGGAGATGTATGTCTGCTATAATAGGATACGGCATTAAAGGTAAATCCTTGTTGGCCCTTTGGAGTAAGATACCGGCTAAACCCATTTTTAATGGGCTGATGACATTATCCATATCTAAAACCGTATAATATTTAAAATCTGATAAATTATCTAATTGATCATCTATCCTTGGCAATGGATAGTGTTCTTTTATAGTCGTTTTGGTCAAAGCACAGAAATCAATACATAGACGACAGTCACCAATTTTCTTTTGAACCAACAGAACTGGGGACGCGTATGAGGACGTAGACGATCTAACAATTCCAGCGCTCTCTAATTCATGTACTATATTGCGGACTATTTCTCGTTCGGAATAAGATAAGCGATATGGACGATAAACTACTGGAGAAGTGTCATTAAGATTACTCATTTTTACTCATTTTGTTTTTATACAACTTAGAATGGCAAACAAGCTGACGGCCTACCTGATGGAAAGTGGTAACCGTCGTCTATAGACATGAGCAGTACCATGGACATAACAGAGTATACTGTGTCGCCCATGATACCCCCCCCCCATGCGTTGCCTCTCCTGAGGAGTCAGATGTTATTCCTCTGTACCCTTCAAACCGAACTGCTATATCCCACCCTTCAAACCGAAACACAGCCATGCAAACACAACTACTTCACGGTAGAAACACGAATGGGACAGAGGTACCCAAGCAATCGACTTTTGTACAACTTCTCCCTCTGGTTCTTGTTCGGTCTGGCCTAATAGGAGGGGTACTTGTATGAAATGGTCTGTTACAATAAGTGATTCTACTATAGCAGTTACAGAATCTACCTCAATGTTAACTTTACATTTAGCTACACAATTTACTATGGAATTACGGAAACCCCTCAATATCGGTAATTCCGTCGTTTCCCATGAACTTACTAATTTATTTGCAACTGATTCTTTTAACATCGTAATTTGACTATGAAACTTAACTGTGACTAACCTAAAATATTTGGAATCATTATCTTGTTCTTAAGATATGCGTAAGACGGTTTTATTAGTACTAGGGGTAATTTCCTTCTTATCACAGCCATCACTAGCCAAATGCCCAACTTTACGACATACGTCGCATCGTTTGATTGGTTGCTTACATTTAAAATATGAATGCCCGTCCTCTCCGCAATTATAACATTTATAGTTTACTCTAGACTCAACACTGGACAAATTATATTTTATTTTAGGGCGTTTAATTTCGAAATTGCTTGATTGTATGGGTACTCCATTTCTTTCAATTTTCCTAATAACTTTAACATTTCTAAGAAAAACTAATAATTTATCGGGTTCAGAAAACTGTGCTGCTTCAGCGCTAGTTCTTATAGACATATCCTCTATACCTAATAGAATACAGTCAATTGCATTTTTCCCAGTAATATTGCACCTATTTAATAATCCCATTTTCTCATAGTAATATTCCTCTAAGGACTCGTCAAATCGCGCCTTACAAGCAAGCATTTCCGTTAACAATTGCCCATAATTTTCAGCACTAGGAAATGCTAAATGTAACTTATTCTGCCATTCCTCCCAAGTAAAAAGTAATGTTGGTAAACCTTGATACCATTTTTGGGCTAACCCTACTAACTTAGGTAAAGCATAGTGAATAATTTGGCGCTCTGTCCAATTATAAATAGCAGCACATTCGTTTACTTTTAAAATCCAAGTATCTATAGTCTGATTTCGTTTGGCTGGATCAAATTCAGGAATAACATTAATAACCGGAAAACGATCATTATTACTATAGTTCATATTTTGTAACACTTCTTTAAATATTGTTATTAACTCTAAAGAGCCACTCGTTGACGTACTCACTGGTGGCACTGGTGTCGATGAAACTTGCTCGCTGTTGCCCTTCGTCTCATGCGACTGACACTGAGGACTGCGACGCCGAGGACTCCGGCTACGTCTTTCGCTGCGCCGTGTTCGCTGCTCCCTTGTTGAACCAAAACTACGAAGTCGCGAACGAAAATTGTTTCCACTCGATTCAGAACTCGTAGAAACATCATGACGTTTAGTTCGCTTACATCTCTTTTCTCTGCCCATTTTATACTGGAAAATTGTAAAAATACTACAAAAGTAACTGTTCGTTAGGAAAATATTAGTAATTAGATATTTAATAATGTCACATGCAAGTGACAAATTTATAACAATTTACAAAGATTAAAGTTTTGCAATAAAAGATAAATGATTAACTTACAAAAGAAAAAAAAATGTGGGGTACATTTATTTGAATAGTCATATATAAAAAAAGTAATTTTAAATTCAATTTTTTTTAATAATAAGTTGCTTAATTTACACTATACTCAATAAAGAATACATATATTGAAGCTATTGGTAAGTATTTATTATAATTGTCAATAGCTTCAATATATTATTGGGCGCTAAGTTTATCATCAAGGCTATATTGCCTGGATGTGATCCCACTTCTGACCTTTAAGAGGTCGGTGGTTATGAAATAAAACTCGTGTCATTATAGGGGAATCCAACTCATGTATTAACAGTTCCACAACTTTGCAATTAAAATACATTTGTATTAAAGCGACTTACCAAATTATACGTCTTTACTGATCAATGTTCAATCCACAACTGTTCACTGTTCGTTGTTACTTCTAGTTTTTATGTCGACTGTTTTGGCGGGTAAATAATTATTCCGGAAATGACAAATCACCATTTTGTAGTTAAATCAAATCAGCAACAGTGGCACTTGACAACAGTTATGATACAAATATAATAAAATATTGGTATACTAAATGTAAAGATGCTAACAATAGCATCTAAAATACATATAATAGAACACAGTTTCTTTATATTGATTATTCTCAGGTAAAATAGTTTCATACAAAATGTTATTGTTCCAACAGACGCCGACTTGAAAATAAAAAAAAATGTTGAAAGTGAGCAGATATATGTTCTATTATTTCTCGTCCTGTTCCCAGTCTTTTGTAAGTAGCATATTGGACTACATGAGCTCACTGCTAATATATTTTATTATTATATATATTATCTAGAGGTCTGCGACAGTCGGAGCATAATTGTTGGAATTACAATTTTCTATGGAAATATGTTACTACAGATTGAAAAAATCTAACATGGCGGATCATAGCCATCTTAATCAGGTGCTAAAACAGTCAGAGTTATGGTGCCATTTCAAAAACAGCGCTTCACTTTTAAATACACTTTTTAAAATTTAAAATACAACTAACATGTGTTTTAATAAATTACGTATTAAAAATAGAAATATAAATAAATTTGTGTTTAATATGATATAATACAAAGGATAAACGACAATTTTAGCTTAATTTTTAATAGATTTGAACCACTTACTGGTTCAAATAATCATAATTAATCTGGTTAAATATAATTAAAATTTGCATATTAAATCATCTAAATTATTAACATGTTTGTTCATATAATAGCCGAACTGATTTTTATATAATATTAAAAATTTTGCTAAACTTGTAAACTTAACTAATATCCATCCAAGTTATTCTTACCATGATTCTTACTATTTATCGATATAAACTGAAATTGAATAATAAGTAACGACATATTAATATTATTTATGTAATATATCATTATTATTATATATTATAAAGATAAATAGTACTTAAAATTATTTATGAATACTTAATTAAATTTATAGTATGCTGTTTCTGGTTAAAATGTCACCTTTTAATTTAAAAATAATTTTAATCATATTATAATTATATGTAAATGAAATAATGTTATGACTACAAATAGAACTATTCCTCTTATATGCATAATATAGCACGTAAAAATTCTTTAGAATTAAATACGTATTTTTTTTAATTAATGTTTGCCTCGGCATAATATTTAATGCGCCAAAGAAAGATTGCATTACTCGCCCATAAAAAAATTAAAGTAAAAATTGTAGTAGAGTAAAATAAAGTAACTAAACATAGACACTTGTTTTATTTTCGATATTTTTCGTAAAATTTGAAAATTTATATTAAGAACTAGCTAAGATTTTTTTTATGACAACTGCCAATATCGACATATTGTATGAAGGTATATATAGATAGTGGTACAACACTATAGATATTCTTTTTTTTATTGTATTATAACTTCGGAAATGTAACTATGTACTAAAATTTCTTTTTCTACAGGTTCCGTTGATATAAGGCCAGTGCCAACTCTTATAATGTAGTAATTACTTGCTCTGTAATTATCTGTCAAAATTATAAAAAAAAATGTTATTGAAGATTTGACATTGTTCTTATATTGACAAAAATAGTGAATAAATCTATGCAATCATTATATATCAATATTTTTTTATAAATATTCATCTTATATGAGTATTTATAATACGTCTGTGACAAAAATAATGATGCAAATATGTATCATAAACGATGTAACGGATTTATAAATCTACATTTTCAAATCTATTAATGGTTACATTGATTTTATATAAACTTAATTTAAGTGACTTTATCAAATGCATGGATTGAATGACAGCTGTCGATTGACTGATTGACTAGCAGCAAAAGATAAATGAAGTGATAAAATTAGGATGTAGAATAAGATCTGCAGTATTCTTTTTCTACGAGATTTACGACATTTTAGGAACTCAATTATTTAATTCTATTACTGTTTAGATATTTTTTTTATGATTGTTTAAAATAGAGATTAATATAATCAATTATAGCTAAAAATCAATTAACTCCATTCTTTAATATTCTTTTTTTTATAAATTACAGTCACAATACTTAGTTAATTGTTCTTTTTGTTTTTGACTTCAATATTAATGGTCAATATGCACATAAAAAATTGAATCGATTTTTAAGAGATATCCTGAAACCTACAGACTGAATCAGGATGAGTCGGTCTATGTCCAGCAATAATATATACCTAGATATAGCTTCTGAAGTTAATGGTACATTAGAAAGCAGTTGATCGTTTAGATACTTTGATGTGCATTTTTGACAGTTCCGCAGTTTCTTCTCTTCCAGATCTTTTTAATCTATGTCCCAATGCTGCAGGACGTGTGCTTTCGTAAAGAATTTTTTTGAATGTCTGGAAAATGGCAGATTCTGAGGTAAATTTCTGTTTTTAGTGTATAATATCACAGTGAAATTATGAATAAACTATTTACTCATTTATATGTCGACAGGTTTTAAAAAGATTGAAAGATATACCATTTAAAATCCAAACCGCAAGTTTGAAAGGAAGACGTGAAGTGCTCGAGGAAATACAGAATGTTCTTTCTACTCCAGGTATATTGGATATTACCTCTATATTTTCATTAATATTCCATAATCACCAGTCAAGTCAGAGCAATATGGGGTAGATGGCACAATACAGTAGGTTATGTTGACCTAACTTAGCTGTATTGATCCGGTGCTCCAGGTGTTTTGCCCAGTTATATGTCAGTCACTCAGTACATAAATCGTATGCTAAAACTTTCGAATGTCGTAGAAGTGATAGTTATTTATATTAATTATTGCTTATCCTAATAACTTATTAAACTTGTTTCCATATCATTACCAATTTAATTATTATTTTTTATTTAGGTACTGAATTTTTTTTATACATGTTTGCCAATATATTAAATGTTGAATAGTCTGACATTGGATTTTATTAGCTTAATTTTAACCTACTTTATTATAACCTACTATTTAAAATTCAAGTAGCTTCAATTTAATATGATTTAGAATATTCTTATTGCAAAGATTATACTCCTTTCTTTGATCTTTTTTCCATTAATGATTAAATTAAGCTTCTAAAATATTAGTTTTTTTTTTAAATAATAGTTTCAACTATTGTAATAATCATTCAAGTGAAATCTCAAATGATTAATTATAACTATTAATTCATTTTTAATTCTCTCCTAGATTACCATACCTTTGTGTATATATTACATACTAACTGTATCATACAGCTCTGCCTATATTATGAATAGGTGAAATTTCTTGATGCTCAATTGAACCATTATAAACCAAATAGTATTAAACAAATAAACCATTATAATATTATTTAGAAGTTAATTAAGTTATATACTAATTAAATATAGCAAATAAATTAAAATTATTATTTATATAGGTATCACAGAGCCAGCGGTACGATTTGTGTGCCGTGTGGTTGCATCCACACTGCACCGATATCGAGACTCCACCTCGCAATCATATGTAAAGAGCCTGCTCGCATACCTGGCCACCAACCATAGGGAATGGACATTACGCAACTTGTTGCCTGTGCTATTAGATATATCAGAACAACTTAAAAATACAGCAACTTCGTGAGTATTATTAGATTATTGTTATTAAATATATTTTATATACATTTTTTATATCATAGATTCTATAATATATATATATATATATATATAAAGAACTAGAAATTTCCCAGCAGTCATCTGTAGAGAGAGACACTAATTGTGAAAATGTTTAGAACAGTAATAAGAAATATAGACCAGTAGTGTAACTACCTATAGTCATAAGTTTTAGTTTTAGTGTTATGTGTAAAAAAAAGAAAATAGAAGCCATCTTGGGGGGAGACATGTCATATATTACACTTGTGGGTACTTAGAAATAACCAGTCTGGTTTTATGTCAAATGAATGAATATGTGTGCTCTGACAAATTTAAAATTCCCTGGCTGTTACACATTATTCTCTTTATTATAGTTTATTAAACTATGGTTAATTTAAGAAGAACACAATTCTTGTATACTTTGCAGTAAGAGCATATGTCAAAGTGGTCTGTATGCACTGCGATGGTCAACAGTAGTGGTGCAAAATTCTCTCACAGCCACCGAGGAAGATGGAGTGGACTACAACTCACTGGTCTTGTCACAAGCAAATCTATTGGCAGTTGTTACTGCTTATGGTGATAAGAGGAAAAATGATAAAGCATATTCAATGGTGAGTTTAATTCACATGACTTTTTTTTTTAATAATATAAAAAATAACAAACCAGTAAGTGCTTTTGCTCTACACATGAAACACCCACTGTGGGACAACAGGGTCACAAAATTTAAATGGAAATAACATAGGAATAAACTTTAACTTCTTTATTCATAAAAACTAATTTTCCATTTAATAATACTGATAAATAGAACTTAGCATTAAGTTATAATCACAATACCCATACAAATGTAAAATTATATTTTACATAAAATGCTTACTCAATCTCGAGTAGACGATTACTACGCTGTAAGGAGAAAGAGAACTAGCATCATTGTTACACAAGCTTTGGACAAGCATCAACAGCATTCTGATAGTATTAGGCGGGAAATATAACATTTCATTCAGATGCTGATCTAGTTGGCTGGGCCACTCTGAGTGAATTGCTTTAGTTGAACAAAATGGAGCAAATTGTAGCCTGAAAATATTTTTTTTTATTATTATTTAGAAAGAGTAACTGTTGAGTTTCTTGCAAGTTCTTCTCAACAGATAACACCATTCTGAACCCAGCAGTACAATCATAAAAAATTGACTATTTAATAGAGCTTGTAAACAGGACTATTTGAATAAAGATTATTTTCTATTCTGTTCTAAAATCTTCTACAAATCTATTTTAACTATTACACTATTTTGTCACTTTCTCACATATTGGGAATTTAACTCAAAAGAAAGAGATAAAACAATTCAATAGCTAAAATAGATTTATTCTAGGTTTGATGTTTTTATGAATAAGGAGGATATCAATGCAAAAAGAATGACCAAAATCAGTTCAAAATTGGCAAAGATATTACAGTAAACATACATGTGTATTTTGAAATTACCTCCTCTCATTTTTTGAAGTTATTTAATAATTTTCATTTGGACATCAAACTGAAAACGATAAAATAGGAAATCGAGACATTCTGTAAAAAATATCAGTCCAGATTGGATAGGCATAGAAATGAATTGGCCTCTCAATTACAGGGATCGGGAAGCATTAGTTTCTCTCGATTAAAAAGACACAGTATCCAAGGACTGGTAGAAAGATTTACTGACAGACTCTGAGAGCTGGTTAATGGATTGGCCTCATTATATATATATTAATAACATTTAAACCTGACATCCAAACAGCAGATTGAATTATTGTTCTATAAGGAACAGATTGCCAATTAGCAGATTAGAAAAAGAAAAAAACATTAATAATTTTCAAATTGACTATTCATGATTTGTGATGATGTTTACAGCTGCACACTTCATGGTGCGCCATCAGCAAGCAGAGGTGGAGCAAGTGGCTGGAGGTGCTGGTGGCGCAGGCAGCCGACTCTGGGCCACATGTTTGTGTTGCGTTCTCTGCTCTCTGCAGGCACTGTAAACAAGTTGGAGACGAAGACACTATTGCACAACACAAGGTACTAGCTAATTTTGCAGTTCCTTACACTGAATATTTTTTCTGGTCTATATGTTTACCTTTATAACTTAAGTTCTGTTACATTCTGCTGTATCAATAAACTGTTTTTATTGGAATATCATTATCCCTTTAGTGTAAAGTAGCGAATGCTATCATTGTTGGTCTAATCTTGAGTATAAATGCAATAACATTTTATTCTCTCTAATTTTCATCTATAACCTATCTTAAACTGATAAAAGTCCGTATTTATAGTAAATTTAATATATATTGGATATCTAAAATATATTCTAGAAAGTGAATTTTGTTAGAAAGCTAAGAAATTTGATAATCTGTAACAATAATAGTATCAATTATTCAAATAGAAAAGAATGTTGGAGAGTTTCATAAAGAGCCTGATCAGCGTCAAGTGCCGTCCAAACGCCAACTACATCAAAGGTTGCTGGGACCTGCTCCACATATTAAATTGCAACGAGGTGCACGAGAACTTATTGCCGGCGTTACAAAAAGCCATGTTGCGAAGTCCAGAGACCATAATACAAGCAGTCGGCGAAGTCATGGCCAATTTGGACGTAGACCTGGACGGGATCGCCATTGATATTGGAAAGAGCTTGATTGGTAAGTGTTAGTAGATATTCTGATTTTTTGTTTTGCATCGTGATTATAAAACTAAATAATTTTTCGCATTAGTCCAATACTTATTTTGTCACGATTTAAGTATTTTATTTTTCGAAGCAAAGTGTTACATTGTTGAGTACTAACAATGAGCGTACTGGCTGCCAGTGAACCTCCACTCGAAGGACCCGTGGGTGCGCGACGAGGCGCTGGCGGCGCTGAGCCGGCTGGCGCAGCGCTGCTCGTCGGCCGCCGCCGCGCAGGCGCTGCTCGACCACGCCTTCGCCGAGTACAACGGCGCCGGCGGCAAGCTCACCTCGAGCGAGGACAAGATCGCCGTGCTCAACGTGAGTATAACGAGATCGTCAGAATTTTTCATGGCATTCGTAGACAGGTGTATAAGTAATCACTCGGTCGCACAGGGCGTGAGCGCGCTGAGCTCCGTCCGCGTGTCGGCAGAGGAGCGGGAGCAGCTGAGCAGCGCCGCCAGCGCGCAGTGCGCGCGCGTGCTGGACAGCGAGTCGCACGACCGCACGCTGTGCGGCGCCCTGCTCGCGCTGCGCACCTGGGCCCGCCCGCGCCCGCCGCCTCACCTCGCCCACATACTCAAGGTACGCCCCGCGCCGCCTGCACAGTGCGCGCGTGCTGGACAGCGAGTCGCACGACCGCACGCTGTGCGGCGCCCTGCTCGCGCTGCGCACCTGGGCCCGCCCGCGCCGCCTCACCTCGCCCACATACTCAAGGTACGCCCCGCGCCGCCTGCACAGTGCGCGCGTGCTGGACAGCGAGTCGCACGACCGCACGCTGTGCGGCGCCCTGCTCGCGCTGCGCACCTGGGCCCGCCAGCGCCCGAGCCGCCGCCTCACCTCGCCCACATACTCAAGGTACGCCCCGCGCCGCCTGCACAGTGCGCGCGTGCTGGACAGCGAGTCGCACGACCGCACGCTGTGCGGCGCCCTGCTCGCGCTGCGCACCTGGGCCCGCCCGCGCCCGCGCCCGCCGCCTCACCTCGCCCACATACTCAAGGTACGCCCCGCGCCGCCTGCACAGTGCGCGCGTGCTGGACAGCGAGAGACCGCACGCTGTGCGGCGCCCTGCTCGCGCTGCGCACCTGGGCCCGCCCGCGCCCGCGCCCGCCGCCTCACCTCGCCCACATACTCAAGGTACGCCCCGCGCCGCCTGCACAGTGCGCGCGTGCTGGACAGCGAGTCGCACGACCGCACGCTGTGCGGCGCCCTGCTCGCGCTGCGCACCTGGGCCCGCCCGCGCCCGCCGCCTCACCTCGCCCACATACTCAAGGTACGCCCCGCGCCGCCTGCACAGTGCGCGCGTGCTGGACAGCGAGTCGCACGACCGCACGCTGTGCGGCGCCCTGCTCGCGCTGCGCACCTGGGCCCGCCCGCGCCCGCCGCCTCACCTCGCCCACATACTCAAGGTACGCCCCGCGCCGCCTGCACAGTGCGCGCGTGCTGGACAGCGAACGACCGCAACAGCTCGCGCTGCGCAAACCTCGCCCACATACTCAAACGCCCCGCGCCGCCTGCACAGTGCGCGCGTGCTGGACAGCGAGTCGCACGACCGCACGCTGTGCGGCGCCCTGCTCGCGCTGCGCACCTGGGCCCGCCCGCGCCCGCCGCCTCACCTCGCCCACAATAAAGGTACGCCCCGCGCCGCCTGCACAGTGCGCGCGTGCTGGACAGCGAGTCGCACGACCGCACGCTGTGCGGCGCCCTAACCTCGCCCACATACTCAAGGTACGCCCCGCGCCGCCTGCACAGTGCGCGCGTGCTGGACAGCGAGTCGCACGACCGCACGCTGTGCGGCGCCCTGCTCGCGCTGCGCACCTGGGCCCGCCCGCGCCCGCGCCCGCCGCCTCACCTCGCCCACATATTTGCACAGTGCGCGCGTGCTGGACAAACCGCACGCTGTGCGGCGCCCTGCTCGCGCTGCGCATCGCCCACATACTTACGCCCCGCGCCGCCTGCACAGTGCGCGCGTGCTGGACAGCGAGTCGCACGACCGCACGCTGTGCGGCGCCCTGCTCGCGCTGCGCACGGACGCCCGCCGCCTCACCTCGCCCACATAAAAAGGTACGCCCCGCGCCGCCTGCACAGTGCGCGCGTGCTGGACAGCGAGTCGCACGACCGCACGCTGTGCGGCGCCCTCTCTCGCTGCGCACCTTTTTCGCCCGCGCCCGCCGCCTCACCTCGCCCACATTTATTTTCGCGTGCTGGACAGCGAGTCGCACGAGACGCACCACCACTCAATGCAGAAATTATCTCTTATTTATTTATTTATTCACCAGAGAACCAGGGCTGCACCAGAGCAAATAGGTGCAGTTTACGATCGCAAATCTAGTCACTAATAGGTTTTTGCAAATAGCAACAATATAGATAATAGCATACAAAGCGGCAAAAACAGAAATTACCAAAAAAATGGTAATTTAACCAAATTTATTTGTTCTTTACTAAAAAACACATGTTATTTCAGAAAAACTTGTCAGCCAAGAATACGTCGCAAGTGGTACGCATAGCGTACATGTCACTGCTGTCGCACGTGCTGCGGGATGCGAAAGCTGAGAGCGGTGAGGCAGCAGAACCCGAGACGGACACGCTGCGACCGCTGCTACTCAGCGCTGTCGACAAAGCAGTCCAGCAGCCACTGCAGGTCAGACTGAATAATTCTTACTAATCATATGAAATCTGTATACAAAGCAAGATTAGAGTTTCTTTTTGGATAAAACTACTTACAAATATCCTATATAAATATAAAAATAAATAAATAAAACTTTTAAAAGTCATGTGTGCACATACCTTTATCTTACTCCTTTTTATACTAATTAAAAAAATACTATATTACAATGTACTTCTATTCAAATTAAAATCATCTTTATTCAAATACAGAGGTTCCCAAACTTATTTTGTCTACTGCCCACTTTGAGAATAAATTATTTTTTTAGTCCTCCCATTTTTCACCTACTTCAAAACCACTATTACTTCAAGATCAACAAATCATCCTCCAAGCCTCTACACAACGCCCCCATTTTTTCTGCGTCTCTTACCACTTTGGGAAAGGCTGTTCAAATAGACTTGTTTACAAGCACTTTTTTTTTGTTAGAGAGAGTATTACAATTTATAATTCCATAATTATGAATACATAAATGTATTTTACAGCACTTGGTGGTGAGCGAAGGGATCTGTGCCCTAGCATCACTGGTGCTGCTAGATAAAGGCGGGTCGCGCGAACTGCTGTCGCGGGCAGCGCTGTTGCCGAGCCTACTACACGACCGCGTGCTGGCCGCCGCTTCCGATGACGGTACTACACCAACCATCTCACTACTACCCGCTCTCCCCCCACTGCCTCCACCTCCCCACGATGATACTGCACCACTCAACTCACTACTACCCATACTCCCCCCACTGGCTCCGCCTCCCCACGATGGTACTGCACCACCCACCTTACTACTACCCGCACTCCCCATACTGGCTCCGCCTCCCCATAATGGTACTGCACCGCCCACTTCATTACTAAACCCCCCCCCCCACACACTGGCTCCGCCCCCCCACAATGGTACTGCACCGCCCACTTCATTACAACCCCCCCCCCCATACCCACTGGCTCCGCCTCCCCATGACGATACTGCACCACCCAACTCACTACTACCGCAATCCCCCCACTGACTCCACCTCCCCACGATGATACTGCACCACTCAACTCACTACTACCCGCACTCCCCCACTGGCCTCACCACCCCACGATGGTACTACACCATCCACCTCACTACTACCCGCACTCCTCCCACTGGCTCCGCCTCCCCACGATGGTACTACATCATCCACCTCACTACTACCTACCTTTCCAATCGAGTCATAATGGCTTTTCTTTCTCTAAACTTAGAACATATTCAAACAAATGATGTATGTCATATGGATTAAAATATGTATGTTGCTTTATCCAATTTAAATTATATCTTTTAATCTATTTTAGAAAGTTTTCTTTCTTCATATTGTAAATATTTGTAAAAATGTTTACATATTTGGATTATGATTATTTAATTCATACTTAAAAGATGGAATGGATTTAAAATCAATTTTATATTAGCTTATAATGTAATATGCTATATGTGAAAACCTATTAGTGGCTTATTTTGTTATCCTAAAACTGTATCTATTTGCTGTTGTGTAGCCCTGGTTTTCCTATGAATAAATAAATAAATAAATATGGTTGACATTTAGATTGTTACTCATTGCCATGGATAATCATTTGCAGAAATAATATCCTATAGTGTATTTGTATATTATATTATAAACAACAACCATATTATATTATAAGCTAATATAAAAAATATGCCTTGCTTTATGTCGCCGATGTAAAATGTACATTTTATTTTGCTGTGAACTGCCTTAGTAGCACTATAACATTTACCCCTTTATAGTCCTAATACAGGTGGTGTTGCTATGCAGAACAGTGTTAGAAGACTACCCAAATGTTGCCAGTGAACAGAACTCGGCAGTGTACAGAGCGTTCATACTAGTCATGCTATCGCCCGTGAAGTCTGTACGGACCACTGCTATAGAAGAAGTGAAATCGTTACTCGCCAAAGAAGACAGAGCCTCACTGGCGAGGTATTTAGTGCTTAAGTTGAACGAAGTGCTGGAGGAGGGCAAGATCTTCAGCAGTAAGGAGAAGTCGCCGACCGAGGAGAAAGGGAGTGATGTGACTGGGAAGATGATATTGGATTGTGTTCAAGCACTGTGTTCATATAGAGGTGAGTGTCTAATTTTCCTTTGCACATTTTTTATTCAGTTTTTAAAAGAAGATTGTTCTAAAAAGCGACTGTTACATGATTATGTCGCTAAATACCATTTTTTTTTTTTTAATTTTTACGTTACTTTTCATATTAATTTTGTAATGATTAAAGGTGTTGCTTGTTATTATTTAGCAGTAAATTGTTTGTTGTAGAACAAATTCTATAACATTTATAATGTAAGGTATCTACCGAATATGTTATCGTTTATCAGTATGTGTGTGTGTGTCTGTCAAACGATAAAAAAGCGGTACAGAAAATAAGAAACTTTTGCATTTTCGATGCAACTTTCTCTGTAAAATAATATGTTCTTATTGTCATATTTTAAAATCTAATTATTTCAATGTAACTTAAACCTTATGTGCAAATTATAAAGCATGATTTTGATGTAGTAAAATGAATAGTTCTAAGTTTCTGCGAACTTTACGTATACAGTCAACTTTGTGCCAATTTCTCTCTAATTCATAATCCTTTATCACCCTCCATTTATTTTAATTGAATTTTGTTCCTAGATTACCCAGTAGTGGACGCGCAAAGCTTAGCCATAGACGTGTTGCCGAGCTGCCACCACCCGCTCGTGGTGGCGGTCAACGGCCGCGCATGGCACAAGCTCGTCTGCTACCTACGTCTCGAGCCCAAGAAACTGGTCGGACAGTATGCTAATAACTTGAAGAACACCTACATCAATGGATATACACCGAATGAGGTCAGTGCCAATTTCCCTTTTTTTTACTATAAGATTGACTAGAAAGAACATGTTGATGTTTCAAGACAGACACTGCTGTCTATCGCTCTACCATTAAATTCCTAATTCTCCTCTTACGACTCCCACAGGGAAGGAAGGTGTGGCCCATTCTATACTGGGACCACATGGCAATGACATGTGTATTTATTTTTATAAAAAGACAACAATGTTTTAACAAGCGCAAGCATCTATCATCTGTTAACACGAATACCAAGTGTATTACATTCATATCGTCATAGTCGTAGAATACTGACGGATCTATATATGTAATATTTGGCAGATCCGTCAGTATTCTACGACTTTTTTTTCGATGGACGATTATGGAATGGTAAACCCACCCGCGCTATCGGTATACACCGGCGGGGCACCAGTGAAGGATGATAGGTGAGGATGAAGTAGGTCAATTAGCCCATCGTGACGAATTCAACAAGAATTGTTCACGATGGTTTCCAGGAGGAACCACGTGGAGGTCGACCTAATAAGGCATATTGCTAGCAATGGGGCTGTCAAACTCCATTGCTAACAATCCCTTTCCCCCGAGTATTCTATGACTATGACAATATACATTTTTTTTTTCCTTTTTTAATGCAACTTAGAATGACAAAACATCATTAGACACCTTTTAAGGACACGACATTCAGTAATGAAGTGGATGAAGAGAGAGAGAATGGCAAACAAGCTGAAGGCCCACCTGATAGAAAGTGGTAATCGTCGCCTATAGACATGAATGGACATAACACTGTTTCGCCCATGATACCCCCATGCGTTGCCATTCCTGAGGACTCAGGTGTTATTCCTCTGTATCCTGTAAATTCACTGCTATATTCCACCCTTCAAACCGAATCACAGCCATGCAAACACAATTGCTTCATGGTAGAAGTTTGAGTGGGGCAGAGTTCCCAAGCAAACTACTTTTGTACAAAGTATTTATTTTCAAAATTTTTAAGTACCTCAAAAAAGAGAACCTCATCAAAATTTTTTTTTTAATTATTTGTATTTAAATTGTTTCCCTGCAGACGTTGTCAAACGTAGTGTCGACATTGGTAGCGACGAACGCGGAGGTGATCGCGGGCAGCGCCATACAGATCGCGCTGCAAACGCTGCAGGACGCCGAGCTGCTGCGAGTCACGCGCGATGAGTACTTCACGTACCTCACACCTGACGGCGAGCTGTACGACAAGAGCTCCGTGCCCGGGTATGTATTTTATATACGACTAGGAATAATAAATAAACTTACATTTGTTCTGTAATATTGTAAGAGGAAATATGTAACTATAGTGACATCTTTGATTTTGTGTTTATATTTATTTTCAAAATCTATTTCAATATTTCTCCACTTCTGTAAATTTAATTTAATTTTGCATACTTTATTGATTTTTATTTATTTTCTTTAAGTGAATGTATAACATCCGGCTCGAAGGACTATTTTATGTATATATTATATATTTTATGTACTCTTTTACTGTACTTATCGTATATGTACTAATAAAATTAGTTGCTGGAACATAAACTGATCAATAGATCAATATTTCATTATTTCTATTTTAATTATTGATGATGTATCTATAATACTGTTTTGATGGACCCTTCATCAATCACTTGTCACTTAGATAGATATTTTTTATTGCTACAGTAATGAGGATAGCAAAGAGATGAACATGAAACGTGAGAGCAAAGCGTACAGCTACAAGGACCAGCTCGAGGAACTGCAACTACGGCGCGAGCTCGAGGAGAAGCGGCGCAAGGAAGGAAAAATTAAAGAGGTCAGTTGTGTACTGCATATGGTAATAGAACATCTTTTGCGATCATATAATAATAGAAAAATTAAAAAAATAGTGTTTGATTTAATATAAATATGGACTCACATATGTGTGCCTCGGTTCCGCCTCGGCCTACATATGCACGTTCGTCCATCAATGCCTCAGTTGCTGGCCGCTGGAGTAATGTATTAATATTAAAATAACTACAGGTGCCGTTAACAGCCAAGCAAAAGGAAGCTATAAAAGCCCAACTCGCCAAGGAGAGTGCTATCCGACAGAGACTAAGCGTGGTGAGTATTAGCATAAAAAGTGGTATGTTCTGGAAAATAAAACTTTATAAGTGATATATACATATATTTTATATATTCTCCTACATGTTACCAAGTGAAGAAGATTTCTTGAAATGCAAAATGGAAGTCAAAAATTTTTATCTCAATTATGATCTTTGTATTCCATTTCACTTCTATACCAAAAAAAGTTTTTTTTTATACCACTGAGGTGGCAAACAAACATACGGGCCACCTGATGGTAAGCGGTTACCATGCGCGCGTTGCCGACCCTGAAGAAACCTCTTTACCCCCTTTTTGAAGAACCTCATGCTGTAATCTCTTGGGAAAACCTCGGCAGGGAGTTCATTCTATAACCTGAGTGTTCGTGGAAGACCCATTTACAGAGGCTGTCTGGAAGTCCGTAGTAGGGCAATTTCGATAGAAGACCCCGATGCTAGACCCGATTAAATGCCTTTGCAATATCAAGACCGACAGCGAGCGCCTCACCTTGACTCTCAATGGCTGATACCCATCGATGCGGAAGATATACCAAGAGGTCACCAGTTGAGCGACTATGGCGAAAGCCATATTGCCGGTCACTCAATAAGTCGTGATCCTCTAGGTATCTTTACAGCTGTGCGTTAACTATACGCTCCATCACCTTAGAGAGAAGGGAAACGATCGCAATTCGCCTGTAAGCAGGTGGTCTACCATGAAATGAAATTCTGAAATTTCGGGCTCAATTTCGTGTTTTTGTTCGTATCAAAATCGGCCCAGTAAATGGAGCTTAACATTTCATTCATCATAAATCCTATCCTAATAGTCCAGAGGAACGATATTTTAACATTTTTAATAATTTTAAACGGCATGTATTATGTAATTTTAACATCAAATTTCTGTTTGGTTCGTGCCCGAAATTTCGGAAAATACTTCATGGTAGGCCCTCTGATTCAGTGAGTGTAGCGTATAGAGGGAGAGGTGGAGCGTAGTAGTGTGATGGTTGTGAGCGGTGGGCGTGTGGTGTGGTGTGGTGGCAGCTGAACGCGCGCGTGGTGGTGGCGGTGCGGCTGGTGGCGGCGGTGCAGCGCGGCGCGGCGGGCGCGGTGTGCGCGGCGGCGCGGCGGCTGGTGGGCGCGCTGCTGGCGGCGCTGCGCAGCCCGCTGGCCGCGCCGCTGCTGGCGCCGCTCTACTGCGCGCTGCGGCCCGCGCTGCTGCCGCTGCCCGCGCACCGCGACCTCGGCCGCGCCGTCGCCGTGCTCACGCTCAGGTCAGCTCGCGCACACGCACGCACGCACGCACGCACGCACGCACACACACACACACACGCACACACACACACGCACGCACACGCACACACACGCGCACACGCGCGCACACACACACACACACACACACACACACACACACACACACACACACACACACACACACAATTTTATATATGCATATAAAACAGTATTATTAGTTATGGATATACTACAATAATGAATTACTAGTAGATTAGAATACAGAGCCTCTAGACAAGTGGCAGGCGAATTCGTCGATGGAATCGACATCGTTAGCGAGTCCGTGAGTTAGAATGAGTCACCCGGCGATGCTATCCCATTCTATCTCATGGACTCGCTAGCGATGTCGATTCTATCGACGAATTCGCCTGCCACTTGTCTAGAGGGCCAGTTATAGATTAGAGAATATAAGTTTGGCAATGCTGAAGAAAGCTTGAATAAAAAATGGGATTAAAAACTAAAAAAAACATTTGATTAACTTTTATCATATAATTTTATATTATCAACTTAAACTAAAGGAGAAATCTAGTTTTATCTGTATCAACTAGCATCATACTAAAATAAACTTTTTCTCAATTTAGACTACACAAGCCCCAGTGCGATCTCGACCCTAGCTGGGAAGAGGAAGACTTAGAAAAGGCCACCATCCGCACTATCAACCTTGTACACACCGCCACAGCCGAGATCAAGGTCGCCTCGGAAGACGGCACCAGTACTCCTGCACAAAAGGCCAACTACTTCACAGCGCCGGGCTTCTGTTACGTGTTCCCGTTACTAAAAGAAGGTATTTACTGTATTTCATTTGAATTGTTTACAAATCATTATTTATTTTTATGTTTCTGGTGAATTATGAGAATGGAATAGCAGAGAGAGACTTTGTACAAAAGTCGATTGCTTGTGTACCTAGTCCCATACCTGTCCCATTCGTGTTTCAACCGGGAAGCAGTTGTGTTTGCATGGCTGTGTTTCGGTTTTTTCAGGGTTTTCACTTTTTTTTTTTTATGGCATGAATTTACAAACAGAGGAATAACACCTGATGTCCTCAGGAATGACAACGCACAATGGGGGTATCATGCGGTTGAAACAGTATACTCTGTTATGTCCATGGTACTGCTCATTTTTATAGGCGACGGTTTATTTCCACTTTTCTATCAGGTGGGCCGTCAGCTAGTTTGCCATTCTAAGTTGTATAAGAAAAAAAGTTACATTTACCCAAGTTTTGGATGCAATGCCGTGTCAGCGGTCTCAATGGTGGCTCGCTATGTAACTGGTGCAATAAAGAGTTAAATAAATATTTATTGTACATAATATAGGATGAAATATATATATATATATATATATATATATATATATATATATATATATATATATATAATATCTATCGTCGATTCGATAGAAAGGCGACTAAGCAATTTCGCGTTTTGTTCACCAGGTCTAACGGCGCCGGCGACCCGCAAAGATGAATCGACGATGGTGAACGGTTTGTCGGTGATCGCCCGCCACGCTGCTCTTCGCTCCGACCATGAAATGCTGCAGCCCACGCTATTTCCTATCGACCACATGTTTAGACTGCTCATTGATCTTATTAGTGAGTACTTCGGAAGAGAATTAACAAAAATATTCAAATTCAGATAGATACAACCTTTTTTCAATTTTTTACTTTTTTTTTTATACCATCGAAGTGGTAAACAAGCATACAGTTCACCTGATGTATTACTGTAGTTTATTAACGCCTACAATACTAGGAATATTACACGCGCGTTGACGACCCGTGGGAAGGTCCCCCCCCCCCTCCTTTAAAATATCTCATGCTGTATGCTAATTTTTTGGAAAAACCTCGGCAGGGAGTTTATTTCATTAAATGTTCGTAAGAAAAAACATCTTTGAAACCGCGCTGTACGCGACTATCTAGGCTATAAGTTACGAGAGTGATAGTAGAAAGTGGCCGTGGGTATCATATTGAACAATTCCTCTGAGCACAATTCGTTATACAAGCGGTAGAACATGCAGTTTAAGCAGTTGTCTTTGTATAGGTGTTTTGGATTGAAGGCTGGGATATGGTATTAATTTTATTTATTTATTTATTTTATTATTATTTTATTATATTTATTATTATTTTATTATTAATGATTTAGATATTTCCTTAACTTATTTTTAATGCCATAGTGAAGAAATGTTTTGTATTGTTGAATAGGAATTTGTTGTTGGTAATGTTTGTGCAGACATTTAGTTTGCGCACCATGCACTGTGTACTATGTGTATGTATGTGTGTGCGCGTGCGGCAGGCAGCACGAGCGGGCGCGTGGCGGCGGCGTGCACGGTGGCGCTGCTGGAGACGGCGCAGTGCGGCGCGCGCGGACTCGTCGCGCCCGCCGACGTCGCCTGCCTGCTCGCCGGCCTGCAGAGCCCGCTCGAGGTACTGCCGCCGCCACTCCACCGCGATACACACATACATACATACACTTACACCACACAAATTATAACAGAAACAGACTTTTACAACTTAGAATGGCAAACAAGCTGACGGCCCACCTGATGGAAAGTGGCAACCGTCGCCTATAGACATGAGCAGTACCATGGACATAACAAAAAAAAATAAAAGATACAGATATACATAAAAAGGTGAGTTAAAAGAAATTATTAAAAAAAATACATAAAGCCAACTGCAATTTTTCCTTTTGACCGTGTGCCATAACAACACATGAAGTCGGCACATGGTGAAGAATTCGACAAGAATTAACCACGATGGTTTCCAAGGGGAACCCCGTGGAGGACGACCTGATTGCTAGCAATAGGGCTGTTAGAAACAATCCCCCTCCCCTCCCTCCATACATAATAGCAATATTTTTGTGCAGGTGGTACGCGATGCAGCGTTGCGTGCTCTGTTGTGCGTGGTAGAATGTCTGCCGGCGTTGCTGGAGGACCCCGAGTACGCCATGAATCTCACTAAACGCCTGCTAGTCGCTACCTTCGATGTTTCCGATGATAACAAGTAAGTTAATTCGGGCAGCAGTCTGTACCGTGCCCGCCATAGTTATAATTTCTTATTGAATTCAACCATGTTGAGTATTTTTTTTAATGGGTGATAATGGCATGGTAACCCCGTCTGCGCTATTGGTATACACTGGCGGGACACCAGTGATGGATGACAGATGAAGATAAAAGTAAGTCAGTTAGCCTATCCTGACAAATTAAACTAGAATTAGTCACGATGGTTTCCAGGGGGAACCATGCGTGGAGGTCGACCTGACAGGGTATATTGCTAGTAATAGGGCTATTTGACCCCATTACTAACAATCCTTTTCCCCCCTACCACGTTGAGAATTGTAAAACAATTGTGGGCCCCATGAACATAAATTGCAGTATAAAATTTGCTGGATTCTTTGTACAATGGATGTGATACATGGTGAATGTAAGTAAATCTTTTTGTAGATTTATTATCTCTACTAAGATTTTTTGTCCGCATCAAATATTCAGATTTATACAGTTTTAATGTATTTAACACTTTATTTTATAGCATACTAGTGACTCGGCCCGGCTTCGCACGGATGCACATTACCATCACATTACATTAGAAACCTCTAAAATTATCAGTGTTTCTCTACTATATTATGCATGTATTATACATATAAACCTTCCTCTTGAATCACTCTATCTATTAAAAAAAAAACTGCTTTAAAATCTGTTGTGTAGTTTTAAAGATCTAAGCGTACATAGGGACGGACAGACAGCGACAGCGATTTTATTATATACTATGTAGTGATGAAATACGCTATAAAGGTAGTATTATCTGAGACTTGTCCATTACACCTGTTTGTGTTTCATAACTCGATTTATTGGTAAAAGGTAACTTTAAGATTATTTACTAAATAATACAGTAGTTCGATTATGTTTCAAAATGTTTACAGAGTAAACATGTGATTGTTGTGAGTGAACAGAGCATGTAACATGTGCCCCTGGGCATGGTCGCGCAGGAAGCTGGCGAGCGAGCTGTGGGCGCAGCTGCCGCTGGCGCAGGCGTGGAGCCGCGAGCGCGCGCTGCTGGAGCTGCTGCTGGCGGAGGCGCAGCACCCCGCCGAGCCGCTGCAGCGCGCCGCCGCCGCCGCGCTCGCGCACCTGCTGCACGCGCACCACCCCGACGCCGTCCACCACGTGCTGCAGCGCCTGCAGGACATATACACAGACAAGCTGCCCGTACGCACACTCTCCTCCTGCCGTACATAGCTTTACAGTTGCATCTCCCCGTGTTGATTGTTCTCTTGTTAGAGGCAAGTTCGTACCGCTGCCTCTGAGTAGAATTCATTCGACATCTTGAAAGATTCTTAAGTAAACATACTGCTAACTGCTCTGTTAATAAATTTTTACCTATACTAAATTTTTACTATACATATATGTAACACTTGTCTCCTAATGCAATTAGTAGAAACAATAGAACGCCAAGTGTTCCAATTTATAGCGACCTCGTCCATTACCTTCGCATTCGTCTCTTCATGCAGTAGCTTACATATGAATACTTTCAATTTGACCCGTAATAATATAATAGCAAAATTATGAACCTCTGGGTTTTTTCAGTTTAATTATTTTTATTTATTCTTTGTATGTTTATAAGGATAATCCCCCGCACTATTGATTAACTTGGTATTGTCCAGCTTATCGTATGATAACTTATATATTTAAGTAAACAAGGACTTTTACTTATCTCTAAATACGGATATTATTAAGTAGTAGATTACTTAAATCAGTTAAAACTTCGTACGCAATTCACACTTTATCTATTCGAAATTATTTTATATGTTTTTGATAAATTCTATCGTGGTCACCTTGACTTTGTAATTTGAAATTATTTTGTCTGTTTTTGATACATATTGACGTGGTCACCTTGACTTTATACGATATAAAGGTGAATGAGTACTAACTATTGTGTATATAACACATTTTTATTAATATATTCGTTTTTACCCGCGACTTCGTTCGTGAGACCAGGATTGGAAGATGTTTACTGACCGGGATAAAAAGTAACCTATATTCATCTCCAATCTGTATAATACATGTATGCCAAATTTCATAATAATTGGTTAAACTATTTAGACATTGTAAGGCGATAAACAAACTCACTTTTACATTTACAATTTTAGTAAAGACTCCATTTCTTTAAATTGTTTAGATTCATTGCTATTATGTATATCTATATGTAAAATAAATAAAATAATGTCGAAAACGGTTTACGAACAGCTTTTACCTTGTCCTTCTTTATACCAAATAGTATGTGTATACCAAATTTCATGAGAATCAGTTGAGCCGTTAAGGCGCCGAGGGGTTACAAACTCATTTTCACATTTATAATATTAGTAAGAATTCGTATTATGGTCCCTCGAGCCGGATAAGTAAAATGAGCCGGTGGTGATGCGAGTGGCGTGCGGTGCGCAGCTGATCCCGGCGCGGCTGGACCAGTTCGGGCACGAGGTGGAGGCGGCGGTGGACGAGTGGGGCGCGCGGCGCGGCGCGGGGCTGGCGCTGCGCGCGCTGGCGCCGCAGCTGGCGCCGGCCGCCGTGGAGGCCGCCATGCGCTTCTTCGTCGAGCGCGCGCTCGCCGACCGCCACGAGCGCGTGCGCGCCGACATGCTCGACGCCGCCATGGCCATCGTCGACCTGCACGGCAAGGTACCCACTTCACTCCTCATCACAATATTTCCTAGATACCCTCGACCCATCACTCTAGTTCTAATACCAGCGCCACATTCAGCGATTCTGCCGCTGCGATTAATCTATCTTCAAAATTCTCAAAACTTACTCGAGAACAATATATAATATTGTTAACGTAACCTATTCCTGAAAACTGAAAATCGATCATACACAGGCTTTTTAATTACCAGTCATTTTAAACATAGTACATTTGAATAAATAAACTATTGAGTTTCTTGCGGGCTCCTCTCAACAGGTAATAAATAGCTTTCTAAATTTAAAAGTGCTTGTAAACAAGTCTATTTGAATAAGGATTATTTGGATTTAAAATTAATTATACATATAATAATAATAATAATAAAATTAATTTGTAATCCTTGATAAGTCGTTGCAAAATAACATTTACGTCGAATCACCTTTAAACGCGGCATAACGAAATTAATCAGACTTTGTAATTGATTAATTTTTTTTTTTTTTTTTTTTATTTATTTAGGTCAACAAACAGTAAACACAATAACAATATATATATATATATATATATATATATATATATATATATATATATATATATATATATATATATTTTACTATAAAACAAAATATGCAAAATGGTTGTGTGCAACTACTTGTACAAAACTAAACATATACACATACATGAATGACAGAATTATAAAGAGGTGCGTACCAGTGATACACTCAAAATCAAAGAATTTTCTGCATCATGAGTACATAGTATCCATTCTACTTTGAAAATTTTTAACTCAAAATTGGCAATATTAATCTATTTATGTAATCTGTAACAGTTATGATTGTTACAATACTCATACCCATTCGTGTTTCAACCGTGAAGCAGTTGTGTTTGCATGGCTGTGTTTCGGTTTGAAGGGTAAGATATGGCAGTGAATTTACTGGGTACAGAGGAATAACACCTGAGTCCTCAGGAATGGCAACGCATGAGGGTTATCATGGGCGAAACAGTATACTCTGTTATGTCCACGGTACTGCTCATGTGTATAGGCGACGGTTACCACTTTCCATCAGGTGGGCCGTCAGCTTGTTTGTCATTCTAAGCTGTATAAAAAAAAAACTCATATCCATACGTTATTGACTCATCATGGTAAATAAACATTAACATCGTGCTATACTTGAGTGTGTTCCCGGTGCACTGGGGACATTGAAATATACATGTGATAAACATATATCCATTATAAAAGTATTACAAATATCAGATACGACGTTAATCTAATCGTACCTAATACATGTTCAATACACCTGGTATCTGTTAAGTATGTTTTTGTTGTTGCTCGAAAGATAGTGGAAATATGACCCTCAATAGTTTTTATTAGCCGATAAATACGTTCTTACAGGGCCTTAAGACGTTGTTACAGAACAATGCAATTGTTTTTAGGTACAGATAAAACATATGACTTTTTTAAAATTAACGTCTGCCATTTTTATTGTTGCCATAACTAAAATATAATAACATGTACTTGTATTAGTGGGGATACGGATTTTTTATTCAGTTGGTGTCAAACACTTTTTTTAATGGATGATAATGGAATGGTGTTTGTGTTTAAATCATATTCAATTTTTATTTCTCTTGTTGTACGGCTAACTTCATACTGTGCTACCTGATCGTAGATGTTAGACAACGCAAACACTTATGAACTTAGTTCCAATAAAGTAACATAAGCAAATACACGTCTTTATCTTTGCAAAAATCATAGTGCAAGTCTCATCATCCGGCTCGAAGGACCATGTGATCTATACAAATGGTAATTCCCTCTGCGCTGTAGGTAAATGCAGGCGGGGTACCAGTGAAGTATGACATGATAAGCAATCCTCGGTTATCATCCTATACCGAAATTGACCATTTCGATTTATCAAAATCAGTTCACAATTCGTGAATATAATTAAATGAAATGTATAAATATTTATAATATATATAAACATATTAAATATTACATTTTTTATTTCCTCTATGCAATAATGCACTACCTACTTATTTCTCGGTTTGTCCAATGGTTGACTGATAGAGAACATAGTTTCACTGTGCATTACAGTTTAAATATATAAAATATTGTTATATTATTATAATAAATAAATATATTTAGAATATAAGTAAATATACTGCTTATATAAATATATTCTTTATGTGCATATTGCACATAAACAATAGACACGAATTGGCTACCTCTTTTAAAGTCGGTTTAATGAGTAGATTTGTATACTACTACTGTACATATAGTCTACTACAGGGTCTTCAGTAAACAACAAAATTAGTTCACTATTGACCACATAGATGGCGTTTTTTTTTTTTTGGGTGATAATGGAATGGTAACCCTGCTATATGCTAATGCTAATGCGCTAACGGGATACGCTGGCGGAGCACCAGTGAGGGGTGATCGATGACAATGAAAACAGGCCAGTTAGCCCATCATGATGAATCCATCAAGAATTAATCATGATAGTTTCCTGGGAGAACCGCGAGGAGGTCGACCTGGTTGGGTATATTGCTAGCAATGGGATTTTTAATCTCCATTACTAACATTCGCTTTCCCCCCCCACATAGATGGCGTTAGGTAAATATTGCATCGCGATATATATTCTAATGTTCCATTACAATATAGTGATTTGTTTTTTTTGTATTAAAATGATTAATAAAGCTAAAAATACTCGGTGCAGTGTTTTCATTTAACACTGTAGTGAACACAGGGGTTCTCAGAGGGGTCGACATAAACGAAAACAGATTGTAGGTGTCGACGAGGTCTAAAAAACGATCCCTATTAATTAACGCAATTTGTTATTTGGAACTTTCAAGATACTGTAAAGTAGTGTTACGTGTACCAATTTGTTATAAGAATGCGAAAGTGCACTTTGATGCTACACTATTAGCAACTCTCAGCCATTGTTCTTTGTACGCACCCCAACGTTGCGATTGCGTGCACGTCGATTACTATCGGCACCGCCGGTTCGCACCTGTACTGCTCAGTTTGCTCCCACTTATCAGGCTATTTTTCTGCTTAATTCTCTGTTTGCTGAGCAAATATTGATATTTTTAATGACAAATTAGATCCTCTAAAAGTTGTTTAAAATTTTTGAATTTGTAAAATGAATCCATGGTTCACTACATGTTTTGGGAAACTGTAAGTGTAGTGAGAAATTTATAAATAAATAAATAATGGCTAATATTTTAACAGGCAGTATTGTTGTTGTACTTTTTATGTCTATTTATTTTATTAAACTTTGATGAGAAAATAATGTCATGTTTACTCAAATAACCCAACCATAAATTGTTTAAATTGGTATTTTATATCAATAGGTAACTAACTAGAGATAGAATTTTATTGTAATTTGGCTGGAGGGCAGCGGCGGCCTTAAGGGGTGGCGAACAGGGCAATCGCCCGGGGGCTCGCTCTTGCAGGGGCCTCGCGTAACAACCCAAACAAATTTTAAACAACCAGTGTGTGGCATTTTGTTTTGTCTAGTGACAAGTTGCAAAAACTTCCCGATTTAGGCATTTCAATTACGAATGGACAAAATTACCAACACTAAAATATACTAAAAATATACAAATAAAAAAAATCTATTGAAAAAAAAAATGTAAAATAAGACATAGTTTTCTTGAATCAGCGGAAAATTTCCAATAATTTTAAACTCAAATTTTATTCATTTGTATAACTTTAACATTTCTCGTCAAACATGACAAATAACTTAATTAAACAACTAGACCTAGTTTCGCATTACATACTTTTCACGAAGGACAAAGGGCCTCGCAAAGACCAACCGCCCGGGGCCACGCAATATGTAAAGCCGCCGCTGATGGGGGGAACAGGGGTTTGAGTTATCAGTTTATTTTGGAAAAGCGGTCTCTTACTACAGACAGATAATAATTCTAAAATTTTTTTTTTTTTTTTTTTTTTTTTGTTTTAATTGAGGCCCCCTTATTTCAAATTATTCTGTAATATCTTCTATATATAGGAGTAGATATCGTATAATAAATAGTTTAATACCATTCATTTTACTAAATAAAAAAAGAACATCTCTACCATCCGTCTGAATGTTCAGCCAATCCTTCCACAATCCTTCAGCTGATCAATTTAATCGAAATACTTGTTAGAATCAAGCTTTATTTCTAAGAGAATCTACATATATATATGAGTATATATCTGTCACGCCTATCTCCCATTGGAGTAGGCAAACAAAGGAATTCCAAGTGATCCGAATCAAACGGACCTCTTTCGCTTCTCAAATAGTCATCAATCTTTTCATTTATGTTCATCATTTTTTTTTGTTTAATGTTTTTTTTGCAACTTAGAATGGCAAACAAGCCTACGGCCCACCTTATAGAAAGTGGTAACCGTTGCATATAGACATGACCAATACCATGGACATAACAGAATATACTGTTTCGCCCATGATACTCTCCTTGCGTTGCCATTCCTGAGGACTCAGGTGTTATTCCTCTGTACCCTGTAAATTCACTGCGATATCCCACCCTTCAAACCGAAACACAGCCATGCAAACACAACTGCTTCACGGTTGAAACACGAATGGGACAGAAATGGCCAAGCAAACGATTTTTGTACAAAGTCTCACTCTCGATTACATGTACTTATATTTTTTAAAATCGTTAACCTCTCTCATATGAAGATGTTTTCTCCCAGTATACATTAATTTCACTGTCATGTCTCAACTTTCAAACCAGAATACAGAAAGCTATTAGCTGATTTGCAGCCGAATTAATAGCTGAAATCGAGTTAGTTGCAGATGGCTTTGTTTTATGCAAATTATATCCAAATCCGTTTTTAATTTCTCAAAACTAAGTTACCCTTATTTTGTGTGACCTATATCACTTCAAACTATGACAATTTTAAACAATACGTATTGTATTTCTGATTGTTAAACCCTGTATATTGTTTTATTATTATTACCAAGGAAATTAAGCTGTCCGTTTAAGCTCTAAGCTTACGTTGAGATTAAATATTAATCAGGACGAGAGATGCGATAACAGTAAATTAATTAGGGCAATATATAAAGGGCCGCGGTTGTTTTTACAACATAAAATCGTCTGTAGCCGAAAGGACAGCGACAATGATTGTCGAAATAATAACAGCATGTTGCGGCGCCGTAGTTCTCTGCGCGAGCCTCGTGTACTACCTTTTAACGTATAACTATGGCTACTGGAAGAAGAGAGGCGTCGTGTCACCAGTGCCTCAAGTATTTTTTGGTAACTCCAAAAACACCATGTTACGGCGATCGACTTTCACAGAGGCGTTCAAAGGATTTTACGATTCTTTCCCCGACCAGAAAATAGTTGGCTTCTACCGCACTTGGACTCCGTCGTTACTCGTGCGAGACCTGGACATTATCAAATATATAATGATCAGCGACTTCGACAACTTCATGGACCGTGGCTTCGCCTTCAGTAGTAAGGGCCTCGGCATGAACCTGTTCACTGCCGACGGCGATACGTGGCGCATCCTGCGCAACCGCCTCACGCCCCTCTTCACCTCGGGCAAGCTTAAGAATATGTTTGGATTGATCGATCAACGCAGTGATATATTTATGAACTACATGAAGCCTATCGTCGACGAAAATCCCGAACGAGACATTTATACTTTGATCCAGAAATTCACTCTCGGCACCATAGCCGCGTGCGCGTTCGGCCTGGACCTTGACATTAATGATAGTGACAGTATGCTCACGAAAATCGACAACTTGATATTTAAATCAAATTACACGATTGAATTGGATTCGATGTTTCCCGGCATACTCAAGAAACTGGACATGTCCTTCTTCCCTAACGTTATCAACAACTTCTTCTACGGACTCGTGAAAACCGTCATAAAGGAGCGAAACGGCATGCCCTCCAACAGGAAAGATTTCATGGACCTGCTTCTGGAATTAAGGAACGCCGGGGAGATCGTCGGCACCAAAAAACATGAGAACGAAAAGGATCGCACCCTCAAGATAACTGACGACGTAATGGCTGCGCAGGCGTTTGTGTTCTACGCGGCGGGCTACGAGACCAGCGCTACGACCATGTCGTTTTTACTGCACCAACTCGCGCTCAATCAGGATATCCAGGACAAGGTTGTCAAGGAAATAAATGACGTTCTGTACAAACACGACGGAAAATTAACTTTCGACGTGTTGAAAGATTTCACGTACTTGAACCAAGTGTTTGACGAGACACTTAGGATGTACCCTGTGGTAGACCCGTTGACCAGACAAGCGCTGTGCGACTACAATATTCCTGGTACGGATGTGACGGTGGAAGCAGGGACTGTGCTGTTCGTGTCGGCGCGGGGCGTCCACTACGATGAGAAGTACTATCCGGATCCGTACAAGTTCGATCCGGAGAGGTTCTCACCGGAAAATTCGAAAGGGAGACACCCATGCGCATACATGCCTTTTGGCATTGGACCACGTAATTGCATTGGTGAGTATTGTTATATCGTATTATTTGCAATTAATAATATGAATTGAAACGCCATGAAAGGGAAACGAGGTTCTGGATTTGATCTTTACCGAATCAATTGAGAATATTATCAGAATTGACTCACTCCGAAGCTAATTATTTCCTAGATGGTTAACATCACAGAGTATCTTACTGCTAGCCAACTAACTTGAGTACCACTCGCCTACTGCGATAGTGTGACTCGTTTTATTATTGCTTTACTATTATTTTAATAATTTTAAATTCCCGTGTGCTCCCAGCATAGAATAGGCCACCCCCTCTTTTTCCGTGGGTGTCGTAAGAGACAACTAAGGGAGGACGAGGTAAGGGCAGCAGCGTCCCTCTTAAACATCTCCAAAGCCTAACTGCGGTTGCCAATCCGCCTACCAACCGTGGCAACTATTGGCAAAACCCTCCTAAGGGGAGGCTTATGTTCAGCATTGGACAGTTAAAGGCTGATATGGTACTGATGGTTATTTTAATGAGGACATAATATTAATTGTTGTAAAATTTGTGGCAGGTATGCGTTTCGCTCAGGTACAGTCCCGGGTATGTTTAGTGAAGTTGCTGCGTCGGTACCGAGTGGAGCCCAGCTCGCAGACGCGCCCCACGATGGAATACAACGCCGAGCGGCCCATACTGGGCCCCAAGCACGGTGTACCGCTCAAAATAGTGGTTAGAACGGCTCAACAGTAATGATAAACTTTATTTAAAATTGTATAAGAAATTGTGTAGGTCTGAAACAGTACTGAAAATGTTTTCATGTGATAGTGAAAAATTATTTGTATAGTAATAATAATCAAGATCAAGCCGTGACATGAAATATCAAATTTATATTGTGATTTAGGGATGGATTTAACATTAAGTAGTGTTTGCGTGTAAGTTATTCTATATAATCTACTTATTTCGTATCTGATATGATTAATATACTCAAAATTATTGTTTGTGTCAATTTTTAAATAAAATATTATAAAAATAAAAAATAAAATTTATTTATATAAATTATTAGAACATTATATAGTTTTCTTTCAGCTTCTCAAAGGTTGACTTTTAACGAGAGATATGCTCTTGAAAAAGGACTGTATATTTTTACGAAATAATAAGTGTGTGTGTGTGTAGATATATATATATATATATATATATATATATATATATATATATATATATAATATATATATAAAAAATATATATCGTATATATTCAATGTTAAAATAATCATATATATATATATATATATATATATATATATATATATATATATATATATATATATATATATATATATATATATATATATATATATATACACGCCGTTAAAATATAATATACCAGGTTGTCTGTAAGAGATTGCTTTTAGCGATAAGGCCGCCTCTTGTATATGCACATTCTGTATAAATACACCTTGTATACATCTCTACTGTGCGCAATAAAGAGTTTATTATTATTATCTTTTAAATTCTACAAAAATTCACATCTCCCCTCTTAAAGAGAGGGGATGGCAAACAGACCACCGGCAGAAGCACAGTCGGCCGGGGTTCAGGACCCCAGGGAGAGAAACCGGCGTACAATGCGAGCAGAATCTAAGAGCACCGCTTTCTGCATCTTTCCGGGGAGTGAGTCGCCTCGGAATCCCAACCGTCTGAGATGTTGTTCCAGACTGGTTGGGATAAGACCGTTCACCGACATAACGATTGGAATAATTTCGGTGGACATCACCCCCCACATTTCGGTCACACCGTGAGCCCGGTCGAGATATTTTCTCTTTTTCTCGGTTTATTATTATTATTATATCCACTACTGGTAATAGGCCTCCACATAGGTATACACTACTTTTGTTATTAGGCTTTGATGATTAATGATTGTAAGAAAAACACTACTGTCTAATCGTCGACCATTAAGCTCCCTTAGTCGCCTCTTACGACACCCACGGAAAGGTGGCTCATTCTATGCCGGGACCACAATTCGAATTTTATAACTTTACTAGCTGACTCGGTAAACGTTGTTTTACCATAAACATTATTTCTAGATCTATACATGAAAATGTATCGTACTACAATTATTATATTTGATTGTCATCTTACAACCCTATTGCAGCATATAAAAATCGCGATTAAACAACAGGGGTTGATCGTAAAAGGTTGAAAGTTTGAATCTGTATGTATTTTTCAATGCTAAATCATATTAAAATTAAAAATTGTCAAAAAAATAAAAAAAATATATTTAGAGGTGGGTCACCCCTATCATTGAGAGGTATAAAAAATAGATGTTGGTCAATTCTCAAACCTACCCAATATGCACACAAAATTTCATAAATATCGGTAAAGTCGTTTCGGAGGAGTTTGGTAACAAACACCGTGACACGAGAATTTTATATATAAGATAATATTCAAATACTGAATATCGAACAATCCAAATGATACTCGTGCGCATTATAATTATTAACAGACGATTCGTTCGTATTATTTTATTATCCGCTAGTTTTTACTCGCGACCTCGTCCGCCTGATATATTTACTAACCGGTATAAAAAGTAACCTAAATCCTTCTCCATCTTATATAATACGTGGATACCAAATCTCATAGTGATTGATTGAGCCGTTAAGGTGCTATTATTACTATTATTATTACTATTATTATTATTATTATATATAAGTACTATTTACCAGAGGGAGACTTTATACAAAGTGTACAAAGTCGATTTCTTGGGTACCTCTGTCCCATTCATGTTTCAACCGTGAAGCAGTTGTGTTTGCATGGCTGTGTTTCGGTTTGAACGGTGGGATATGGTGTGAATTTACAGGGTACAGAGGAATAACACCTGAGTCCTCAGGAATGGCAACGCATGGGGGGTATCATGGGCGAAACAGTATACTCTGTTATGTCCATGGTACTGCTCATGTGCATAGGCGACGGTTACCGCTTTCCATCAAGTGGACCGTTAGCTTGTTTGCCATTCTAAGTTGTATAAAAAAAAAATATTTTTCACCACATCTGCCCTTCATACGCTTTCTGTTTTTACATAATGGTTAGCTGGTAGAGAATGCCGTATGGCGTTAAGCTTGCCACTTGTACAGAGTTTTATTGTGCAATAAAGAATAAATTTAAATAACATTTATAATCCAGGGACAAACAAAGCACTCAATGTGTTACTCTACGCATTAAATCCGTTTAATTGTGTATATTTTCAATATCAGACAAGTCTACGACTAATGTGTGATAATCTTCGGCCGTAGTTACGTTTATCAATTAATATTTGTATTGTTGTCATGTTATCAGCTTGCAGTGCAATAGGTACACATGGACGCGTTGTCTAGGGAAGTGTACAAGCATACGACATGAACAGTATAGGCGTCCGCATTCCATTCTACTACAGCCGGTGTTGATAACTAATTCATCGAATTTAGGCTTTTTTTTTTATATATTTTTATACTAGATTTCTATAATATACGATTATAAATATAAGTAACCTAATATTTTTTGCTAATTATTGTGACCAAATTTTTTTAATTTTTTTTTTAAAAATAAAAATAACTATTTCTGTAATCTACATATATTGATCAACATATTAATTTTGTATACACAAAGAATAATACAAACTATACTTTATAAATTAAATCATCATCAAAAACCATGAAATGCACATATATTTCACAAACATAATATACACAAACATACATATACATGAATATATATACACATATAAAATATATAAATTTTTATATCATACACATATACATAATACGTCAGCATAGTGATAAGTAATGCTCTCTTAGACGACGCTTAAACATGTATGCAATGCAAAGTTCACGATGGCAGATATATCTACACACACGGATATAACTTAAAGGATTCCCAAAAGCCTGGAAGATGATTTAAAAAATCGTTCTAAATATCTCTAAAATATAAATATTATTCTAAATTTTATTATATATTTATCGCTGTTTTATATTATTATTCTTATATATTTATACTATAAACATCTCTTGCACACATATTTTTTGCTATTTATTGTGACCAAATTTTTTTAATTTTTTTTATTTGACAGATTTTAATAACTATTTTTCTAATCTACCTCCTGTTGATCTCTGTTACATTTTTTGTTTTTTATATGTTTTTCTTTTATTCTTGAATTCAAATTGGTAAAATAGTAATATTTTTATATAATTGTGTATTTAATTATGATGTTGTTTTGTCAGATGTGCATGTATAATTTATATTATTTTTGCTTAAAAGATATATTTAATAGAAATGAAAAGTTTTTTTAGTGTATGTGTAAATAAATAAATAAATCAATAAATATTTATCAAACTTGGAATGGTAAACAAACTGATGTTCCAGCGGTTACTGTAGCCTATGCCGTTACCGACCCTGAAGAAACCTCTTTACCCCCTTTTGATGCTGGATCTACTTGACCATTACAGAATAGATATTCCATAGATAGATTCGATAGATCGTTCTATTTCGTTTGACGTTCTAATCACACACAACATTATTTATCAAATAGATAATGGTAAAACAACATAAGATTTATAAAAAGTGGATTGTTTCCTATTATGTGTGATCACTATATCATTACAATACACTGTGATACTATGGTACTCCTCAGGCGTTCCCATTCCGCCTTTATATTTTTATTTTTTACTGTCATATTCTACAAACCGGAACAAAGCAACAGCTATTCCATGACAAGACAGGGGCACCGTAAAAGAATCCCTCGGATAAGATAAATTGATACGAATGATCGGTGCGGGATGGTGCAGGAGACGCTGAGCAGCCAGCTGCCGGTGTTCGAGAACTTCCTGGACCGCGCGCCCAAGTCGGGCGGCTACGACGCCGTGCGGCAGAGCGTGGTGCTGCTGGTGGGGTCGCTGGCGCGGCACCTGGCGCCCGCCGACGCGCGCGTCAAGCCCATCGCGCTACGCCTCGTCGCCGCGCTCTCCACGCCCAGCCAGCAGGTATGTCATCCATGATGACGGAATGGTGCTCTTGTAAGGTCTTTTTTATGGACGATAATTGAATGGTAACCCCGCCTGCGCTATCGGTGTACACCGGCGGGGCACCAGTGACAGATGTTATGTGAGGATGCAGCAGGTCAGTTAGCCCATCGTGACGAATTCAACATGAATTACCCACGACGGTTTCCATGGGGTCGACCCGATAGGGTATATTGTTAGCAATGGTACTGTCAAACCCCATTACTAACAATCCCTTTCCCCCGCTATTGTAAGGTTCTACGTTAACAGAAGAATAGCAAGGCATTTGTTAAAACTGAAGTGATAAGGATTAATAATGAAACCTTTGGTGGATAAAGGAAGCACATGAAAGTTGGATGAGAGTAAATTGTAGCAATGGGATCGCTGGATCCTGTTAGTAACAATCAACTGTCAATTCTACTTCAACCGTGTTTCTACCGTGAAGCAGTTGTGTTTGCATGGATGTGTTTCGATTTGAAGGGTGGGATATGGCGTGAATTTACTGGGTACAGAGGAATAACACCTGAGTCCTCAGGAATGGCAACGCATGGGGGGTATCATGGGCGAAACAGTATGTGTGTGTACTGTTATGTCCATGGTACTGCTCATGTGTATAGGCGACGGTTACCACTTTCCATCAGGTGTTTGCCATTCTAAGTCGTATAAGAAAAAAAAAACTTTAAATACTTGTTTAGTATTAAATATACTTAGTATTTCACCGTATGTGCCCCAGCATACGATTGGCCACCTCTACTTTTCCCATGGGTGTCTTAAGAGGCGACTAAGGGTGGGCAAGGAATGGGCAGCAGCGTCCCTCTTAAAACATCTCTAAAACCCTAACTGCGGTTGCCAACCCGCATGCCAAACGTGGCAACTACTGGCAAAACTCCCCTTATGGGAAAGGCTTATGTCCAACAGTGGACAGTTAACGGCTGAAATAATAATAAAATATTTAGTATTATTGATAATGAGTAAGCAGCGCTTAGGGACTTCGAAGGAGAAGGAAGAGAATGGTCGACTACCTGGCACGCGACCTCCCCCTAGAGTCCTAGAGTCGACCGACCGTAAACCGCTGTGAAATTACAAGAAGTCGTTTATAGATTTCACCAATAATGTCAAAATAACATAGAAATGTATTTATTTATTTAAATTAAAATACAAAGAACTAAAGAATAATAATGAAATATGTTCGTATATTGTCAGGTACAAGAAGCTGTAAGCAACTGCCTGCCGCACCTGGTGACCTCGCCGGCGCTCGAGGAGGAGATCCCTGTAATCATGAACAAGCTTATGAAGCAACTTCTCACCGCCGAGAAGTATGGAGACAGAAAGGTAACGCACGCCCCGGTATAACCAAGATCTATTTAGGATCACCAACATAAGATACAGTGAAATATTTCAATACAATATTAGGTCTAACTGTTCTTGCACTTAGAAGGAACCACAGCATGCTTTGTGTTTAAAATTTTAATTATTTGTTATTATAATATTGCATCGCCACTGCAGGGCGCCGCGTACGGCATCGCAGGCATCATCAAAGGGCTCGGCATATTGTCGCTGAAACAATTAGACGTGATGGGCAAACTCACTGAAGCTATACAGGAGAAGAAGAATTACAAGTATCGCGAAGGTGATTTATTTATTTGAAAACATTATTGTTATATCAATATGAATTTGATTTAATATTTAATTTTTTTTATACAACCTAGAATGGCAGACAAGCTGAGGGTCATCTGATGGAAAGTGGTAACCGTCGCCTATACACATGAGCAGTACTATGTACATAACAGAGTATACTGTTTCCCCATGATACGACCCCATGCGTTGCCATTCCTGAGGACTCAGGTGTTATTCCTTTGTACCCAGTAAATTCACGCCATATCCCACCCTTCAAACCGAAACACATCCATGCAAACGCAACTGCTTCACGGTAGAAACACGAATGGGACAGAGGTACGCAAGCAATCGACTTTTGTACAAAGTCTCCCTCTGGTAAAATGTCGTGGTTAAAATTTATTGTTGTTTATTTTTACCTTTATTATTATATTGTTGTTGGTAATAAAGAATCTATCTATCTAAAATCTAAAACAGTTAAAATTGTCAACTTTAGAAGTACGCCAGTAGCACGCCAACATCTACAAATACGAGCAGTTATAAGGTTACTAATATAAATAACGTTGCTATGTGCAGGCGCGCTGTTCGGCTTCGAGATGCTGTGCTACAAGCTGGGCCGGCTGTTCGAGCCGTACATCGTGCACGTGCTGCCTCACCTGCTGCTGTGCTTCGGCGACAGCTCGCAGTACGTGCGCGCCGCCGCCGACGACACCGCCAAGCTCATCATGAGCAAGCTCAGCGCGCACGGCGTCAAGCTCGTGCTGCCCTCGCTGCTGCAGGCGCTGCAGGACGACAACTGGCGCACCAAGGCCGGTACGTCGCACCACTTCACTATATAGTGTCGCAGTAACCAATATAGACGTCCATTAAGGGCTGATCATGGATCTAGGTCACTCAAGATAGAAGTGCTTCGATTGCTTTCTTGTCACAGATATGTGGTCGTTACTCTGTACCAGTGTCAGGTGTCCTTCGCTGTGTATATTTACAATGAATAAAATAATAATATGACACAGATACCATGTGGTCCCGGCATAGAATAGGCCACCACTTTCATTCCCGTGGGTGTAGTAAGAGGAGACTAAGGGAGGGTCAGGGATGGGCAGCAGCATTCCTCTTGAAACATCAGAGGGAGACTTTGTACAAAAGTTGATTGCTTGGGTACCTCTGTCCCATTCGTGTTTCAACCGTGAAGCAGCTGTGTTTGCATGGCTGTGTTTCGGTTTGAAGGGTAGGATATGGTGTGAATTTACAGGGTACAGAGGAATAACACCCGAGTCCTCAGGAATGGCAACGCATAGAGGGTATCATGGGTGATACAGTAATCTTTGTTATGTCTATGGTGCTGCTCATGTCTATAGGCGACGGTAACCACTTTCCATCAGGTGGACCGTCAGCTTGAATAACTGCATTACATTTTTATTTTACACTAACTAAATCACTTACAAAAATGCACCAAATTTGTTACTATATTACTGTATCATATTTACCTGTATTATATTATATTTTAAAAAGTTTAACACTCCTTTAAGGAATTTTGTCAGTAAATAATTTGGGATAAAAATGAAAAGCAAAAGAATGCTGTCATCATCTTAACGAACCAGAAAGGTAGTGATCATATAGGCGGGTATCTGTTACTGTTCGTTGCGATGAGAGAGTTGACGCAAGCTGCGGTGTGGCAGGGTCGATCGAGCTGCTGGGCGCGATGGCGTACTGTGCGCCGAAGCAGCTGTCGTCGTGCCTGCCGTCCATCGTGCCCAAGCTCATCGAGGTGCTGAGCGACTCACACATGCGCGTGCAGCACGCCGGTGCAGAGGCGCTCCGCGTCATCGGCTCCGTCATCCGCAATCCCGAGATACAGGGTACGTCCGCGCCACGCTCACCACCAACAACACTAGCACCACCGACAACACTAGCACCACCGACAACACTAGCACCACCGACAACACTAGCACCACCAACAACACTAACACCACCAACAACACTAACACCACCAACAACACTAGGGGGAAAGAGATTGTTAGTAATGAGATTTAATACCAGGTCACGCGGTTCCCCCTAGAAACCATAGTGGTTAATTTTTGTTCAATTGGTCACTATGGGCCAATTGACCTGCCTTCATCTTTACCTGTCACCCTTCACTAGTGCCCTGCCAACGTATACCGATAGCGCAGGCGCGGCTACCATTCCATTTCCATCCATTAAAAATAACCACTAACATTACCAACGCCATCGCCGCGTTTTTATTAAAAAAATAACCTTAATTAAGTAAATAATCGGTTGTTCGTCTTACTAATATTAAAGAATAGATCTTTCTGCTGAACTTCTCTAAAAATCTTTTGTGTATATACTATGTGTATATACATACTTTGTGTATATATATACTTGCAGTAGTTATTATAATATAATTAAAACAACAGAAAAAAAGATTTTTTGACAGAAAAAATAATTAGTTTTTAATTGTTGAAGAATACACACAAAAACAGTAAATAAGAACTTCTTGTTTTTCACAGTTGAATACGAATCCTTAACAGAGGGTCTTCTATTAAATATTTTCCGAGATATTAAGGCTGAAGGAAACACAATTATTAATTAACATTAAAATTTCATATTGCATACCGTTTATAATATTAAACATATTAGAATATCGTTCCTTCACACTATTATGATAGGATTTATGATGAACGAAGTGTTAAGCTCCATTTATAGAACTGAACTGATTTCAGTACGAACAAGAACACAAAATTGAGCCCCGAAACTTCAGAATATCATTTCATGGTAGACCCCCTTGATTATAGCTCTAAATTTGTTACACATATGGAATATATACTAATTTTCTTATTCATAAAAATAAAAACCTACAAACTTATTTTATTTAACTATTACACTTTTTTATCATTTTTTTAAATTTAAAATGTTAGCGTAAAAGAAAAAGACAAACAATGCAATAGCTAAAATAAACTTAGGACAGGTTTGATGTTTTTTATGATATAAGTGAGTAAAATAATACATTTGAAACTTTTGATTCATGTTAAAATCAGCTGAACTACTTGAGGTTCAGAGGATTAACGTCAAACGTGTGGTTATTCCAGAAAGAGTTTCTACATGTGTGTTTCCTTAGTCCCGCTATTAGATATGTGTGTATGTGTGTGTGTGTGTGCAGCGATCGTGCCGGTGCTGCTGAGCGCGCTGCAGGACCCGTCCAACAAGACGTCGGCGTGCCTGCAGACGCTGCTCGACACCAAGTTCGTGCACTTCATCGACGCGCCGTCGCTGGCGCTCATCATGCCCGTGGTGCAGCGCGCCTTCCTCGACCGCAGCACCGAGACGCGCAAGATGGCCGCGCAGATCATTGGCAACATGTACTCGCTCACCGACCAGAAGGACCTCATGCCCTACCTGCCCAACATCATACCGGGCCTCAAGAGTTCGCTGCTCGACCCCGTGCCCGAGGTCAGTTCGCCCTTTGGTTACCTCCACTTGTCTATTGTATATTGAAAGAATTGTCGCCGAAGTTTCGCAGATTAATATGTTAAAATGCTAACTTAAAATGACTTAATTAATTAATGACTTAATGACCTAGGAATGGACAGCAGCATCCTTTTTAAAACATTACATCAGTCTAAATATAGTTTTTTTAATAGGTGATAATGTAATGGTAAACCCACCCGCGCTATCGGTATACACTGACAGGGCACCAGTGAGAGATGTTATGTGAGGATGAAGCAGGTCAGTTAGCCCATCGTGACGAATTCAACAAGAATTGTTCGCGATGGTTTCCAGGGGGAACACGTGGAGATCGACCTAATAGGGCATATTGCTAGCAATGGGGCTGTCAAACTCCATTGCGAACAATCCCTTTCCCCCTCTAAGTGTAAATATAGTTACTAACCCATCTACCAAGCGAGGTAACTGCAGACAAAACCCCAGAGTCAGGTAACTGTTGAGGCCTATGTTCAGCTGTGGGATTAACTATCCACCGACTGATGTCTGATGGAAAGATGACAGATAAGACAAAATTAATACCTATTTTTTTTTTCATTTCTCTAGTAAATTCAGTGTTGCCATTCTCAAATGATGCACGTACAAATAAACAACATTTTTTTTTTTTTGCGTCAGGTGCGCTCAGTGTCCGCGCGCGCGCTGGGCGCGATGGTGAAGGGCATGGGCGAGAGCAGCTTCGAGGAGCTGCTGCCGTGGCTGATGCACACGCTCACCTCGGAGACCAGCAGCGTCGACCGCTCGGGCGCCGCGCAGGGGCTCTCCGAGGTCGTCGCCGGGCTCGGCGTGCACAAGCTGCACAAGATCATGCCAGGTCAGTTCCGATTCAGACTTTGTTACAATGGTTTTTATCTTCTGGCATAATTTATAAATTATTCTATACTTATCCCGCGGAAAACTTTGCTTACAAATAAATAGATTTTATAATATAAGCAGTAGAGTAACCAGAGGGAGACTTTGTACAAAAGTCGATTGCTTGGGTACCTCTGTCCCATTCGTGTTTCAACCGTGAAGCAGCTGTGTTTGCATGGCTGTGTTTCGGTTTGAAGGGTGGGATATGGCAGTGAATTCACTGGGTACAGAGGAATAACACCTGAGTCCTCAGGAATGGCAACGCATGGAGGGTATCATGGGCGAAACAGTATACTCTGTTATGTCCACGGTACTACTCATGTCTATAGGCAACGGTTACCACTATCCATCAGATGGGGCGACAGCTTGTTTGCCATTCTAAGTTGTATAAAAAAAAAACTCGCTATCTTTTAACACAATAGATGCAAACAAACATACAGCTATATATAAGTTGTACATACCAATGTGAAGCTTCAGTTTTTTATATATATTCACTGAATGTTTTAATAGAACTTGTGTAAATGTTTGCGCAGACATAATAGCGACGGCGGAGCGCACGGACATCGCGCCGCACGTGAAGGACGGCTACATAATGATGTTCATATACATGCCGGGCGCGTTCACGGACGAGTTCACGCCCTACATCGGGCAGATCATCAACCCGATCCTGAAGGCGCTCGCCGACGAAAACGAGTACGTCCGCGAGACCGCGCTCAAGGCCGGCCAGCGGATCGTCAACTTGTACGCGGAGTCCGCCATCATGCTGCTGCTGCCCGAACTGGAGCGGGGGCTCTTCGACGACAACTGGCGAATCCGGTACAGCTCCGTGCAACTCCTCGGAGACCTGCTGTACCGCATTTCGGGCGTCTCCGGCAAGATGAGCACGGAGACCGCGTCCGAGGACGACAACTTCGGCACCGAGCACTCGCACAAGGCGATCATGAACGCGCTGGGCGTGGAGCGCAGGAACAGGGTGCTTGCCGGCCTCTACATGGGCCGCAGCGATGTCGCGCTCATGGTCCGCCAGGCGGCGCTGCACGTCTGGAAGGTCAGTATCAATTTTAGTTTGTTACTTAACTTCTATATACATATGAATGTCTTCTATTAGCATTTCTGCTATTATACTGTTTGTATTCTATGTCATATGGTCCCGGCATAGAATGGGCCACCTCTTCCTTTTCCATGGATGTCGTAAGAGGTGATGAAGGGCAGCAGCAGTCCTCTTAAAATATCACCAAAATTCTTCCTAATTACGGTTGTCAACTCGCTTGCCAAGTGCGGCAACTATTGGCAAAACCCCCCTTTAAACTAAGCCTATATTCTGCAGTGAACGGTTGATGGGTGATATGGTGATGATGATGATGATGACTGTTTGTATTTATGGATATGTTATTAAATATATAACGATAGAGTTCTTTGGAATATTATTATTTCTCCCTACCCTATTAAAATTGGGAATAATGATTTCATACTAGTATCAGTCTGTTAACCTTTAATAGCCTGATTTTTTAAATCAAATTAAAAATATATAAGTGTATATAGTGTACCCTTTACTGTGTTTACTAATGGGGAAAAATAGTAAAAAAAAAAAATCAAAACGATATTTTTATATATTTATTTTGAAAAAAACAACAACAAAACATTGGTAACATGTAAATAGCCAAATATTAAAATAAAATCGATTGTAGGCACCCAATGTGATTTATAACCCCGGTATCAAATTTGAAACTTCAGATATTTAAGGGTTAAGACATGTGGTTCCGGCATAGAATAGGCCACCCCTTCCTTTACCGTGGGTGTCGTAAGAGACGACTAAGGGAGGGCGAGGGATGGACAGCAGCGTCAAACGTTTTTAAGAGAGATGAAACATCTCTAAACCCTAACTGCGTTTACTAATCCGCCTGCCAAGCGCGGCAACTACTGGCAAAACCCCCCAAGGGGGAGGCTTACATTCAGCAATAGATAGTTAAAGGCTGATATGGTGATGATCAGTCTGTTATATCTTTGTAACTTTTAAAGAATTTTTATTTTAACCTTCGGTGTTGCCATAATGCAGAGGAACTGCTTAGACTTTAAATTTTTTTTTATATACAACTTAGAATGGCAAACAAGCTGACGGCCCACCTGATGGAAAGTGGTAACCGTCGCCTATACACATGATGGACATAACAGAGTCTGTTATATCCATGATAATACGTTTTCCTGAGGATTCAGGTGTTATTTTGTACCTAGTAAATTCACGTATCCCCATAATGAAACACAGCTATGCAAACACAACTGCTTCACGGGAAACACGATATAGGCAAGCAAACAAAGCTCCCTCTGGAAACTTTGTACAAAATTTTTGCACAAAAGTTGCAAAATTTTTATTCTTTTGCTTTGCTGTTTTATTCTAAAGGATAAACAATCTCTGACTATAACACTGTTAGCGCAGACAAGTGTTGAGTTAATAACAGGTCGAGTTAACAGTTGAAGGATGCATGTATAAACCACGGTTACTGTTTAACATCAAGTACTTGTTAGCCATTTTTTATAAAACATTTTTTTTTTATTAATACTCTGCCTATTGTTACTATGAGCATGGATGATTTCAGGTGGTAGTAACGAATACCCCAAAAACACTGCGCGAGATCCTGCCGACGCTGTTCGGGCTGCTGCTGGGCTGCCTCGCGTCCACCAGCTACGACAAACGGCAAGTCGCCGCGCGCACACTCGGCGACCTCGTCAGAAAGGTCTGTTGATATAGAACAGGAGTGGTCAACCGGTCGATTGCGATCGATAATAATCAATTAATCGCAATCGCGTCTCTAATAATAATTTTTAGTTTCATGTTTTCCCTCCTTAATAAAAAAAAAATTACAATACTACGTAATTGTGTACTGAAATATGTTTTAATAATAATATAATTATTTATGTCTTTGTCTCACACACACACTTGGGTCACGATGCAAAATGCACACGCACACTGGCGCACACGCACACGCACACGCACACGCACACACACACTCGCGCACACACACGCACACACTCGTACACACACACGCACACACATACATATTTATTTATTCATTTATTCACAATTTGTGTTTCTTTGTTGTATTGACATTATTTTTACCGGCACCTTCCCTGCACTGGATTACCCAAATTATTTTCTCTCTAACTACACTGGGTTAAGCTATTGAAACATCTTTTCAAGAAAATATTTATACTATAATAATTTATCTGTTATTTTTAGTTTTTTTCACTAATTGCTCACCTGATGTATTGTTCAAATGCAATATATAATAATATAATGGTAATAATTTATTTGAATGTTGTCTGTTCCAAAACTATTTTCCGAATACGTTATTGTCGGACCGTTGTGCGTATGACTCGTGGCTAGCAGCCAACCGATCCTGGAGCGCGGGCTTCGGTCGGAGCGCGCCGACCAGCGTTCAGGGATTCTGCATCGTTGATCGGAGAGATCCTCGCCTCCATCGCGCGACGCCGTTTCTCAGCTTCGCCGACGGATTCACAATTTGTGTTTGTTTGTTGTATTTACATTATTTTCACCGCCCACTGACCCACAGACACACCATATTATTTTCGTCTACTACACTGGATTCAAGATTTTGACACTAGATAATACAATTTAAACATTGTTAAAATTGAACATGTATTGTTCAATTGCAATAAAGAGTATATAAAATATAATATTTTTTGAATGTTGTCTGATCAATGGAATGTGAATACCTCATCTGTCGGCAGCTGGGCGATACGCTGGCGGGAGATCACCGATCCTGAAGCGCGGATGCGGTGAGAATGCCGAAAGACAGGGCGTCTGCATCGGCCCGGAGAGATGAATACACCTCGCGCGACGCCGTTCAGCACACGGATGGTTTCACACCGCCCATCACCCACAGACATCATCCTGACAATGTTCAAATTGAATATAGTATATGGTTATAATTGATGAATCAGTATATAAGAATATATTGTTATATATGACAATGGATTGATCACATACCTCAAAGAACTGACAACCGATGGTGAAGAAAGGTTCTTGTGTGGCTTCTTTATATGAACAAACATAGTGTAAGACGATCCCTCATTAGATGGAGTGATGACATCAAATGCATTGCAGGACGTCAATGGGTGCAGGTGGCTTGCGACTGTACGTTATAGCAATCTAGGGCTATGTCCAACAGTGGGCAAGTTATAGCTTAAATGATGATGATAATATAAGAAATATAATTGGTCGCGTACAGCGCGATTTTTCTCCCACAAATGTTTTGAGCTCCCACGAACCCAAGAGACTACAGGTTATGTAACATTAAAGAGGTTTCTTCAGGGTCGGCAACGCGCGCGTAATACCTCTGGTATTGCAGGCGTTCATAGGTTATGGTAACCACTTACTATCCGGTGGGCCGTATGCTTGTTTGCCATTCTAAGTTGTATAAAAAAAAATAAAAAGTGACGTGTGTTGTGGGCGGCAGGTGCCGACGGTGCGCACGGCGCTGTGCGACCCGCTGGCGGAGGTGCGGCTGGCGGCGGCGCGCACGTTCGACAGCCTGCACGCCACCATCGGCAACAAGGCGCTCGACGACATCCTGCCGCACCTGCTGCGGGCGCTCAACGACCCCGACCGCGACCTCGCCGACGCCGCGCTCGACGGCCTCAAGCAAGTGTGTACCCCTCCACATATGGCCACATCCAGTGGTAACCCCCCCCCGACCTACCCGCCGGTCGAATGACGATAAGGGAGAATGAAGTTAGCTCCGCTGTCGTAGTGACATGGCGGACCGTGCAAGCTAAGCTTGGATATATCACACTTGATATTTATTTATTGAAAATGCTATAAGTTACATACATTAAATAAAATCGCAAATAATCGTTGCGTCCGGATTTATTTGTGAGTTATAAATCTACGCTCGGTTAAGATGGTCGGCTAAGTTATATAAAGTGATCGAATAAACACGTTATCACACTGCATTAAAATGTCTATTTGCTCGTTACTATTATAAATATATATATATATATATATATTTTATTTTCAATAAAAATCACTATTTGTAATTTGCCACTCGTGAACATTATTGTGAATAATAATAATTTCACTGATACAAGCATTTACGTATCTAAGTGTAGCGTATTACTGGCTATATGCCTATAATATGCTTTTTATATTTTTATACTGATTTTCTATTGTCTTATGTTTTATAATTTTGTCATATATAGTCTTTATGTTTCCCTGATGAAGATGTGATAAAAGAGACCTTTAATATGAAGCATGTTAATTATCAATTGGTTTCTCTTAACAAGTATGTATCAATACGTATGTGATGCGCAGATAATGGCGATCAAGTCGCGCGCGGTGCTGCCGTACCTGGTGCCGGTGCTGACGGTGGGCGGCGGCGGCGCGGGCGGCGTGGACACGCGCGCGCTGTCGGCGCTGGCGGCGGCGGCGGGCGGCGCGCTGGGCCGCCACCTGCCGCGCGTGCTGCCCGCGCTGCTGGCCGCGCTGGTGGCCGCGCGCGGCACGCCGCACGAGCCGCGCGAGCTCGACCACTGCCGCGACGCGCTGCTGCCCGTCGCCGACCCGGCCGGCGTGCGCTGGTCAGCCCTCACACCGCCTTACCTTGTACTGCTTTAAGCAATGTATTACATGAAGTGTGTGTGTATTGAACGACTACGTAACGCCGGCAGCATCATCGACACGCTGCTGGAGGCGTCGCGCGGCGGCGTGGCGGGCGCGGGTGGCGCGGGTGGCGCGGGTGCCGCGGGTGGCCCGGCGGACGAGGCGCGGGCGCGGGCGGCGGCGGCGCTGCTGTGCGCGTTCGTGTCGCACACGCGCGCCGAGCTGGCGCCGCACGTGCCGGCGCTGCTGCGCGGCCTGCTGCTGCTGTTCGCGGCCGACGAGCGCGACGTGCTGCAGATGGCGTGGGAGGCGCTGGCCGCGCTCACGCGCACGCTCGACCCCGAGCGCCAGATCCTGCACGTGCAGGACGTGCGCCAGGCCGTGCGCTACGCCGCCGCCGACCTGCGCCAAGACCTGCTGCCCGGCTTCTGTCTGCCCAAGGTGCGCGCTCTCCGCCCCCTCTATCCATCTGCATGAACATCTCACTTTATCCGAGTTCGATTAGAGATTATGTCGATTAAAAAATTTTTCAAAATGACAAAGCAAAAATATGATATATATTGGTGTATATATTCAGGTACCAATATTATTAGAAAAATCTCTAATTTTCTTAACAAATGGTCACGAAAATTTAACGTAGATTGAAAATAGAAAAATTTTCTCGCATAGACGTCTTTACGATCAGTCAACTGTGATAAAAATATTTTAAATTATCTCAAGAATGGAAATCATACTCATATGTATGTCAGTGTGTACAGTGCAGAGGGAACGTGAATTGTATAATACTAGATGTATAAAATGTTTTATTAAACACTGCTTGAACCGTGTTAATATGTCGCCTCAACGTTTCATGTATATTTTCTTTATTCTTATTTAGTGTATAACTTCATAGTTTTCCTCATATTAACAGTCGCAACAAACTACAATAAAGAACGTTATAAACAATTTAAATTTACAGGGCATAGCACCTATCCTACCACTGTTCCGTGAGTCTATCCTGAACGGTCTGCCGGAGGACAAAGAGAACGCGGCGCTGATGCTGGGCGAGGTGATCAAGCTGACGTCGCCGGCCGCCATTCAGCCGTCCGTCGTGCACATCACCGGCCCGCTCATCCGCATCCTCGGCGACCGGTTCAACTGCAACGTGAAGGCCGCCGTGCTGGAGACGCTGGCTGCGTTGTTGTCTAAGGTAATATCTGCTATTTGGTATCATTATGACCAATTACTTATTGGTGTTCTTGTAAGCTTCTTATTCGGGGGCTGCCGCCACTGGGTCGGGGCTTGTACTATTTAGTATCCATAGTACTGTATATGTCAGGGGTCGCCACCCTGTCGTTCGCGACTATTAGTCCAGTCGATTGTGATAAGGCAAAAAAAAAATTTTGCTAATCTAACGAAAGATGCTCAGACGCAATGTTCACACTATTATAAGTAAGTAGTTACAAGGAATAATTTTTAGTTTTATGTTTCCCCTATTAATAAAATAAAAAAATAATACAATACTACATAATTGTGTACTGAACTATATTGTTTCATTTAAGACTTCAAAAATTATATTTAATATATTGCACAGGGTAGTAACAACAGATTTTGAGTCTAGTCAAGTCGCCCGCGCTTGATATATGTTATTTGGTATTTATAATTAAAATAAGTCCTTTGTTTATTTACCTGACGGCTTTTAACTCGCCTACCTAGAAAGATTAGCACGATCTTTAAATAGCTTTTTTTTTTACCAGGTGGGCGTAATGCTGAAGCAGTTCCTGCCGCAGCTACAGACGACATTCCTGAAAGCGCTGAACGACCCGAGCCGGTCGGTGCGGATCAAGGCGGGCGTGGCGCTGTCGCAGCTCGTGGTGATCCACACGCGCGCCGACCCGCTGTTCGTCGAGATGCACAACGGCATCAAGAACACGGACGACCCCGCCATCCGCGAGACCATGCTGCAGGCGCTGCGCAGCATCATCACCGGCGGCGGCGACAAGATGTCGGAGCAGCTCGCGCTCGGCATCCTCGCCACGCTGACCGGGCCGGCGCTGCTGGCGCACCCCGACGACCCGCCGCGTGGTCCCGTGGGCGGCTGCCTGGGCGCGCTGCTGCACTGCCTGCCGCCCGCGCACCGCGACGCCGCGCTGCTGCACCACGTGCTGGCGCCGCTGCCCTCACCCGCCTCCGACCACGACCACCTGCTGCACCACGGCCGCTCGTGCGCGCTCTTCGTCGCGCTCAAGGAGACGCCGGATCACGTCTACCGCGACCCCTTCCAGGACAGGGTCGAGCGCGCGCTGCTCGGCTACCTGGCCAGCGAGCGCACGCCCGTCGCCTGCAACGGCATCCGCGGCATGGGCTACCTCATGCGCCACCTGCTGCACACCGACCGCCCCATCCCGCCCAACATACTCTCGCAGTTCGTCAGGGTCAGTATTCTCGCGGGTATCATATAGAAGAATGGAGTCGTCGTCTGTTACCTTCCACAAGTTAATATTATCGATGTGTGACGTACAGAGCATGAACCACCCGAGCAACGAGGTGAAGCAGCTGATGGCGACCGCGAGCGCGCTGGTGGGGCGCGACGTGCAGCTGGACGGCGAGGCCGGCGAGGCCGGCGAGGGCGGCGGCGGCGGCGGCGGCGAGCTGCTGCGCGCGCTGCTGCCGGCGCTCGTCAACGGCACCAAGGAGAAGAACACCTACGTGCGCGCCAACTCCGAGCTGGCCCTGCGTGCCGTGCTGCGCCTGCCGCACGACGACCACTTCCACCAGGTCAGCCGCACACCCCCACCCCCACACCCGCACCAAGTGCGTGGCTCCTAAATTATTGAAGCCGTTAAACCTGAAAATAAGGTTGCCACACACATAGTTAACAAGTAGCATAAATGTAACATTGGTCGTGTGGTCCTGACATAGAATAGTTCACCCCCACCCTTTTTTTACCGTGGGTGTCGTAAGAGGCGACTAAGGGATGGTGAAGGATGGGCAGCAGTAATTCTCTTATAACATCTCTAAAACCCAACTGCGGTTGCCAACACGCCTACCAAGCAAAATAGTAACAACTACTGGCAAAGCCCCCCAAGAAAAAGGTTTATATATAGTTTTTTTTTTTGGTATGCTCCATGGTACTGCTTATGTGTATAGGCGACGGTTACCACTTTCCATCAGGTGGGCCGTCAGCTTTTTTGCCATTCTAAGTCGTATAAAAAAATTCTTAATATGTAATAATATAATAAAATAACAGTATATAAAGTATCACTGGTGCCCCGCCAGCGTATACTGATAGCGCAGGCGGGGTTACCATTACATTTCCACCCATTAAAAAAAAAACCCCCACGTGTTGCGGTGTGCAGCGCTGCCTGTCGCTGCTGGAGGAGGGCGCGCGCGAGGCGCTGGCGGACGTGGTGGCGCGCGTGCTGCGGCGCGCGCACTCGGACGCGCGCGACGAGGACCTCGACTGCACGCTGCTCACCTGAGCACCGGGCTCGCCGCGCCCTCTATACTACTATTACTGTATTTAATAAAATTATTGTAATACACACCCTCCGGTCGTTTCACTTTTGGCTCATTCTTATTAAAGTGTGCATTTACTGAACGATTAGCTCTGTCCCTGGGCAAATAGATTTATATTAGTAGCTTAGGTATTAAAAAATGTTACTATTCGTATGAAGGTATCACTCCGATTTTAAGTACTTCACAATTAACCCTTCAATTAAAATATGTGACAATTATTGACCTCTGAAAGTGCAAATGAGCAACAATATAAATATTAATGAAGTATATAAGCATAATAGATTATGTAGACAAATTAAAAGTGACTTTCTTATTGATATACTGTTTTAAAATGTGAATTAACCAAATCTTGTTTTATATATCTTTAAACGGAAGACAAAGATTTTAGAAATCTGTTAATAATTGAAGGATTACTTAATTCATTTGAAAGGTCGACTTTTTGATAATATTATATATCAAAGAAAAATACTTAAAATATCTTACATACGTTATCAATAAGTAAACAATCTATCGTGAGTAGGTGCGCATTATTGTTCAGCTTAGCTTTGCTTTTAAAAATTCGTCCAGTCATTTACGTTCGCGTGCGAAAGTATAAGAGTAGCTGGAATAAAGCAATAGTTTAGGGATTCCCTGTAAAACAGACGAAGAGGGTTGCTAATTAAGGAGATTTTAATTTCCTAGTTTATTTCAATAAAAACCATCTGGACGAGTGGCGGTCCTCCACCGTGCGTTTTTCAAGGCACTTTCTCCCACGCACAACCACTCTTTAGAATCAACTTCCAGCAACAGTATTTCCGAACCGATACGACAACATAACCTTAAAGAAAAGAGCATATTTCCTTTTAAAAGGCCGGCCGGACACCTGCAATGCCGCTGGTGTTGTGGGTGATCATGGACGGCGGTAGTCACTTACCATCAGGTGAGCCGCATGCATGTTTGCTCCGTGTTGTAAAAAAAAATTTTACGAAACGCGTTTTTTGAACCCCCTTCCCGCTTCTGTAATGCATTGTAACGTTTACAAGAACCTCTGCCCAATTACGTTACGCAATACTTGAACGTCTCCTATGTAGTCATTTGCTGTCTTAAACTATCTTCGTAAGTAAACTTCTAATTTTGTTGTAGCTATTGTTTTAAAGATAATTCTACCTAAACATACTAACATAGTCTATCATGTTCCGTATTACGCTAAATTAGAGTCGTCAAATCGTAACGCCTCTAGTGTTGCAGGCGTTCATACGTTGCAGTAACTGTTTACTATCAGATGGAATTAATTTATTGCTTATTTGCCACATTCGTGGTATAAACGAAACAAAAAACTGATTCAGTACAAGTCGAAATGTTAATTTATTAACGCAAAGCGTTAACTATTATTTCATGAAGGGGAAGAGATTGCTAGTAATACAGATATCTACGCTTCCCGTTTGAATCCATCATGGTTAAATTTTGACGAATTTATTGCAATGTACCCGACTGCTTTCATCCTCACCTACTATCCCTCACTGATGTCCCGCTAGCGAAAGGGATGGGTTACTATATCATCCATTAAAAAAGTATCTGACACCAATTGAGTAAATAAGCAGGTATCTAAATGAATGTAAGGTACCTTTATAATACTAAAAAAAAAAAAAAAATTCAGTGTGAAATTAGAATGTTTTTTACTTTGTTCTTTATTCCTTTGACTATTATGCTATTATGGTTTTAGTAAAAATACATGAATATTATCGTTTATCTTCTACATTTGACTATGTACACATTTTGTAGTTGATTGATGGAAGTAAGCACTTCTAGATGGTGTTTAATCTTCAAGAATGTAACTGCAAAAAGTTCATCCATCAAATACTTTTTATATGATGCCAGAACACAGACAAAATAAAAAAAAAAGTTGGTTTTGACCAATCTTATTAAGCCTCAAATATACTTTTTTTTTATATGTATACATATTGTCTGATATATAAGTAATAAAAAATAATAATAATAAAAGGTACAAAATAATATTTGGCCTATATATTATACTATTTATATATGTATCACATCTCCCATATTTAGAATTGATAAAATTTTTCATCATGCCCCCCACCAAATTGTTTATAATTACTCCTCTCCATCCAAAGGTTGCCTGGATGAGATCGCTTTCAGCGATAAGGTCGCCCATTGTTTTCTCATTGTGATTATTTCTTGTAATTATTTATATTTATATAAATAATTACAAGAAATAATAATATTGTAATCTTTTGGAGGAAACAATAAAGAATATCTATCTATCTATACTACTATTCTTGTAATATTACTTTGGTTTTAAATTTATTAAAAAAAAAAATTAGATATGATACAACAAAATTAATTATGCTCATCCAATTCTTGGCCTAAAAGTTTGCAATATATGCATCTATTAACAAGTCTACAAATATTAGAAATTGTCATTATGTACATATTATAACACACAAGCAGTCACATGTGCATATTATAAATTATATTTGCTGCAACATGCCATTCTTAACAATTATAAAGGAAAATTAATCCATAAATATGTGATTCACAAACTATTTAATGTAATTTTATTATTAAAAATAAATGTAACATATTTTAACAGCATGTTCAATAAAAACTCAGTGCTTATACTAAATGCTTTCTTGTGCATCACTTTATTCACAAAATACAATGTGAATTCTATATAGTGAACTTTTATTTAATGAAAAACTTCTTAAAATGTAGAAATTGCTAAGGTTTGTTTGGTTTGTATTGTTACCCTTGTATTCAAACACTTGAGTGTTGCAACCAATATCAATAGTGAAACAATACATTGTTATTTAGACCTCAACAAACATTAGTTTCACTGACCTTCAAACAATACTGTCACAGAGACATAAATATTTCATTCTTTAAAGAAAAATTCTTTTTATTTAATGAAGATGATCCCACTATATAGCAAGATTTGAATAAATACAATGAAAGATACAATTCAAATACTGGCATAGTAAAAAAAGAGAAAGATAAGTAACTTTGTTATGTAATTTTTATTTACTTAATTTAGTCAAAATTAAAATTAATTAATATTGTTTTTTTTTTTCACTCTGTTTAATGAAAAATCTTTATAACACATTAAAATACCAGGTCCCTTAAATCTCACTATATAGTAGTAGTCTTGTAAAATATGGTTAATTTAAAGTTTAATCGACAAATCGTCATAGTTGTAGAATACAGACGGATCTGACAAATATTACATATATAGATCCGTCAGTATTCTACGACTATGATGAAATATTGATAGCAAATATAAAATTTATTTATTACATTCCTCTTTTTGAAATACTTTTAATATAATGGAATGAAACTAACAACATTATTCTCCTTAAAATTCAGATTTTTCAGCTTTCTTAGTGAAACCTCTGTTCTGAAGAAGTTCATTACACTCCTGCTGATTAAGTTTGGAAAGTGGAAGGCGCTCGAGTTCTGCATCACTGTCCCCGAGCAGTACTAACTCTGGCGGAGCGCCCGTTATAAATTTGACTTCCAGCCGCTCATAGCCTGGTGCGTCCTCCAGGACGAACTTTTTAACTTCAGGCAAACGGTTTAAGGAACATCCCCTGCAACTCTAGAACAACAAATATTTTATATTGAATTTAGTAATTTATTACTTCATACAGCAGTGGATAGTAACACTAATAATTTGGAATTATCTAGTCACGATAGTGTACCTCAATTCTTGCTGATACTATATCAGAATTTTCATACGCTATGGCACCGGTTACAAATATTAAACAGAAAAGGATATTAACTTTCATTTTGTTGGGTTAGTTAACAAAATTAATGTATAATATATTTTTTATTGGAAAATTCATATAAAAATGAAAGTTATGATTAGGTTGTGTGATTTTTTTTTGGTTCAGTTTTAGTTTTCCCTATGAATAGGGAAGGCAAAAGAACTAATTCTATACAGCCGTTGTCTTATATTTTCTGCGAATTCGTTTGACATTCGACATAAGATGTTGTCAATTTCTTATTGACATCATAACACAGATGAAGAATTGATGCTTCGGAAAAAATGTCTTTTATAGCAAAATTATCAGCTAAATGTAGTATTTTTGCCGCTGAAGCCGATTATATCGGCTTTGGATTATATTAGGGAAGCTGGTACTAATGATAAATGACTGATATTAACCGACAATATGAGTGCTTTGCTGGGCCTTTCAAATACACATCTTAGCAGAACATTTTTTGTTATACAGAAACTTCGACGTAAGCTTTATGATTTAAAGTAAAGCGCACGGATTATTAATTCTTTTGTTTGGATACCTTTACATATTGGTATTACTGACAATGATAAAGCAGACGAACTTGCTAGATTTATAACTAATAGTAAAATTGAAGTACCTAATAGAAAAAAAGTGTCGATACCAGCCTCAGATTTCGTTGCAGAAATCAAACATATTATAAAATCTAGATGGTTACAACAGTGGGACAACTCAATTAATATTAAATAAAAAGGTTCAGAGAAATTCAACAAGATATTAAACCTCCCTGGTTTATGCAAGGAAAATTCAGAGATAGAAGATTTTATACAAGTAAAGAGCATTTGCATAGAATGAAAATAAAAATGGCTTCTTCCCTTACATGTGACTTTTGTTCGGCCAACGAAGTAGTCATTGGACCATTTGTTTTTTCCTGTCAACATTTTGCCTTTAATTTATTTTTAATTATTTAATTAGCATGCAAAACATTAAAAAAACTATGGAATTTTAGTATCACTTGAACCTCTTGGGCTTTTTTATGATACTTTACATTTCGTTCTCAAATTACAATATTTACATTAATATTATGCTATTTTAGCAAGGTTGGACATAGTGATGGGATTCGAGTTGCTTTTCACTCGAGTGACTCGAGTAGTTTTTATATTAATTGCACTCGAGTTAAATTTATGACGACTCGAGTTTCGAGTGACTCGAATTACGAGTGACTCGAGTTGACTCGTACCACTCGAGTGGTTTATACCGAGCCGAGTGAGAAATTCTAATTGTGACAAGTTTACCCGCGGTAGCAGGAAACTTTTAAGAGAGAAAATTCTTCCTGATGCTTATCATGCCGCACGCACTATAATTGTAGATATTCTACATTTAGTTGAATATACGGCTGCTACAACAGATTTATGGACTTCTGACAATAATAAAGCATACCTAACTATTACAATACTTATAATTCAAAACTTTTTTCGCAAATTATTACTACTAGAGAGGTTACGGAGAAACATTCTTCTATTATTTTAGCAAGTGTGCTAAAGTCGATATTATCGAAGCCGTTTGGTAGGGAAAAAATTGATCAATTCATTTTTTTAAAGTAGTTATTACACCAATTTCAGTTAAATTTGCTATCTCATTAAAAATACATTATTTCTGTTTTTTTTTTTGTTGAGTTTATTTAAGTTTCATTTAAGTTAATTTTAAAACACGTATATTATTACATAAATTGTGTAAGAACATAATAAAATTGTTCATATTTGGATCTCATGAAAGTTCCTTGTTAGAATAAATTAAATTGGATTAGAACTTATTAGTAGTAGATTATAATATTTTAATTTGACTGATAGTTAATTTAAGAGGCTTCTTGATTATGTATGACAGGTTTAGTTTGAAGGAAAAATCTATTTTTTACATTTTGTTTGGATTTTTTTTTTTGAGAAAATGAATACACATTTTCTATGTAAAATTAATACTGTTTTATTCGTTTTAAAATTTTGGTCACTCGAGTTTTATATTTCGAGTGACTCGAGTCAATAAAAATCACTCGAGTTTTATCTTCACTCGAGTGGCATGCGAGTGAGTAACTTATCAGTACCGAGTGCCTCGAGTGAAAAAAAATCACTCGAGTCCCATCACTAGTTGGACATTAAATACGCTTTTACTTTAAACTATATGTTTTAACAGTGATATTGTTTCGCAAGTCGGTAAGTAAAGAATTTGCTAATCGTGGTATGACGTAGGCGCTCGTTCAATCGCCATAGTAGTTTTTTGCTCAAATAGTGACTAGTTTATTTTGCTCGGCGCGGGCGGAGCTTGTATATATAGCATGATTTATTTTTGTTTGAATATCCTGTTTAAAGAATTTACCTTTTAGGAGGCAATATTTTACTTTATTATGAATATGTAGGGTTCGACAGTACTCAAACAATTTGGAATCACTTGTGAAATGTGATTTGATTTTAGGCGGGATAATTAATTTTAATATTTTGAGTTGTAATCTATAAAAAGTACTAAGGTAAATTTTGAAACTACGCCCTTAGATGGATAGAACGTTGTACAATAATAGTCTAATTCTAAAGGAATATCGATTTTTTATAAGATAAAATTTAGCTAGAATCGCTCGAAGCTTACCGCAAACTCTTTCAATATGTAGACCTCATGTAAAATTTTTATCAATAAGTAATAATTTTATAATTCGACTACTAAATTAGTTTTATATTAATTTTCGTATCTAAATTATTTTACTTATTAGTAATTAATTACAGCAAAGTCCTTTCTCTGAATCTGTTTATTACTAAGTTCATTCTAGTCTTTATCTATTACTATTAAATTACTATTTTAGTAAAAAAGTTGACGAAATACAAAACCAAATACTAAAATAACAATTTTGTAATACGTGTTGTAACACTTTCGCAATTTGCTATAAAAATTGTATTTACTTTTATTGAAGCTTGATAATTTATACTAAATTTAAATTGGTAACACTTACCATTAAAAATTAAGACATTCTAACAATCGGGAAGACTCGGTTATGTTCGTCTCGACTCTTACATCAACGATTACTGATGAATAATGTTAGTAGTATTTAGTAGTCGGACGACATTAGAAGTTGTTGAAGACACAGTAGTAGTCGAATGAATAAAATTATTAGTCAAATTATTTGAAAATGAATCGAATATTCCAAATGATTTACTCAGTCGAATAATTAGTAGTCGGATTAGTACAGTCGCGCATCGCTATTAGATATGGTGTCACTAATCTGAGCTTAGCTTGCTTATGTACTCTTTGGTTCTTTGTTTGGTGCTTAATAGAATGCGTTTTATTTTTTTGTGTTGTGCGATTTTTATAATTTAGAATGTTATGAAATTTTCGTTATTGTTTTTTTAATTTTATTTAGAGATCTGTTCATTTACTAGTCAATATAATATAAAACACAAAATTTAGACAAAGTGTATTTTAAGTTGTATAAATTCAATTAAATTGACTGCAAAAATATAATTTGTGTCTTGTATTAAAGTACCGACATGGATCCTAAGCACAAAGATGCAATACAAACAAACTTTGTTTCTTTATTAAATCAAACCGACCTTGACGTAATGATCGCATCGCTGTACGAGAAGGGAGTATTTTCAGAACAGATGATAGAACAATACCGGGTAAATCTACCTTAGCTATATTCTAAGTATATTGTTGAAAAATAATAACTTTATAGTAACTTTTATGGCTTTTGTTTTGAATCGTCTCTTTCAAAATACCTCGTGTGAACAATAATATTAATAATTAGTTAGACTACTTTTTTTACATTTTCTATAATTGCATGGAGTAAACAATTTTTTAAACACAGTTGACAGTTTGATCTATCAAACAAAGTTTTGTAAATTAATAGTACTTTTGATGGTATTAATAATTATAACAGAATTTAAAAAAAAATATTGTGGATCTGGTTTAATATTGTAAAGTTCTTATATTTGTATGAATTGTATTAGAAAAGTATTTACCAAGTTTTTCTTATTTTAGAAATTAGTAAAATATTTAGTGTATTAATGTTGTCAGGCAGATTTTACAAATAATTGTAGGGAGAAATTTGTACAATGAATTTTCTGCAAGTGATAAATATGTTTTATTTACACCACTGTGACTTTAAATGGATATAAACATCTCCCTACAGTTTTCTATCTCATTCTTTTGGTGATTTTTTATCCCAATTTTTTCACTTTGCAATATTTTAGATATTTTCTTTCATGTCTTGACTTGTCTTGATATGTCTCAACTTGACAATTAAAAACAAAAAAAGAAAAGAATAAGTCAAGTAGGCACAGGTGTATTGAAATGTTGACCAATAATTTTTATTTATATATAAATTAAATACCATAAAATTATTAAAAATATGCTTTTTACAGAATATTAATATTGATGAGAGAAGTTTGAAGCGCAAATTCTACCTCCATCTGATGAGGCGAGGTCCAAATGCATTTCGTCACCTCATAGATACACTCTGGGAGAATGGTCACTGGGCGTTGGTTGCTGATCTGGACCCTGATGGTGAATTCCATCAGTATTCAAGGAACTCCAATACAAGAAAGAGTAACGGTAACTTTAATGAAACTAACTGCTGCAGTACATCTTTCATTTCATTATTGTTTCATAGTACAAGATGAAAATTTGAATTTAGTTTTAACAAATTTAGAAATATACAGTGAGTGTAAAAAGTATTCGTACACCTAGGATTATTATAAATAAATTCTTTGTGTTGATAGTCTTTTTTTTACAAAGTTAATTTTTATTTGTACTAGAGTATATTAAATTTTTCTTTTTGTTATAAAATAAAATGTAACGTTAAGCTATTTAATGGTATATATTTAAAATAGATAAATAAAAAAAAAGTTTATCAATTTTCTATTTTTTTATAACAACCCTAGGTGTAGGAAATACTTTATACACTTCTCATAAATTGTTTTGATATTTTTAAATCAGTGTTGGTGTGAAACAGGTAAAAACAAGTTTATTAAACTTAATAAGACATTAAGCTAATGGACAGCCACAAACTGTTTTCATTCTCCATCTATTATAAGTGTGAAAGTTTGTGTGTAATGATGAATATTTGTTAGTCTTTTATGCAAAAACTACTATGTTTAGTAGATTTAAATTAATTTTGAACATAACTATTGTATGTAATTATTATATTTTATTAAATCACTGAATTATCTTTCAATGTAATAAAATTATAACTAGATGATATCTGTACATGGGAAATATTTGAGAAAAATTACTATGAGGGGGTTTTAATAAGAGCAATAGGTGCCAAAATTTGCAGAAATCTTGTCCGTCTGCCTGTATGTTTGTTCTGGTATCACATAAAAACTACTGTATCAAATTGGATGCGGTTATCACAGTTATGTTCTGTTAAGCTCTAACTTGGAATCTGGTGTATGTTTTATCTATAAATAATAATAAGAAGATTATCATCATCAGATCCATCAATTTGATTGGTTTTCCTACTTCTAAAATTCACACGTCACAGTAGCGGGCTAAAAAAAGCTAGTATCAAATAAAAACAAAAAGTATTTTTTCTTTCAGAGGCAGAATCAAACGATGAAAGCTCATTTATCAGTCTGCGAGCGGAGAGAAAACAAAAAGAAAATAACAGAAGAAGTAAGTATGGAATGAAATTATATTTCACTGCTCACTGAAATCAAATGAAATGAGTTTACTGTCATTAACAAGTGTTAAAATTATGCAATGTAGTACTATTTTGGCACCTGTTTAATGATCTCAAGTAATGTAGGCATGCAAATATTTACAATTTATTGTAAAACTAGCAACCCGCCCCGGCTTCACACGGGTGCACATTACATCACATCACATTAGAAACCTTTAAATTTATCAGTGTTCCTCCACTATATTATTCATGTATTATAGATATAAACCTTCCTCTTGAATCGCTCTATCTATTAAAAAAAAAAACGCTTCAAAATCCATTGCGTAGTTTTAAAGATTTAAGCATACATAGGGACGGACGGACAGCGACAGCGACTTTGTTTTATACTATGTAGTGATGTAGGTGGATTTATATTATGCATTTAAGTAGATATATGCATATAAATTTAATAAAAGGTAGGAATATATGTTTATATTATTGCATATCCCTTTCAGACTTGAACGATACGGGCGTGAGTTGTAAATTTAAAAAATTCTAAAACCGCGCGCAATTCATTTTTACGCACAAAACTGAAATAACATGATAGTGAGATTCTAAACCAGCCAATAAGAAATCATTTTAGCGGTTAGGTGGTGCAGTAGTCTCGTGCGTGCCGGCAAGATGGCTTGCCTCCAAAACACGAAAATATATTTAATCTGAAAGAAAAAAAATCTTGGGTTTGAAAGGGTTAAATTTTATCTCTATGTGTATTTAAGATAACAAAATTTTCATCTTGCCTCCGATCAAACTGTTTATAACTACTGTTCTCCATTCAAAGGTTACCTGCAAGGGATGGCTTTTAGCGATAAGGCCGCCCATTGTTTTCTCATTGTGAACATTTCTTGTAATTGTATGTATCTATCTATAATAAGTTTACTACTGGAATCTTTTGGAGGAAACAATAAAGAGTATCTGCCTATCTAAGTATAATAAATAATACAATGAATTGTGAATTAGGAAAACGACAATAGAAGGAATCATTGAATCATCATGTTACTGGTGTGTATACCAGTACACATAGAAAACATAACTATCAAAACAACCAATTTGAATTTATGAACTATGTTTGAAATTTCTGAAATCTATTTTTCTCTTATTATTTTTTATGTAATTTCAATAAATCCGTTCTTTATGGCAGTCTATGGGCCTATGAGGCCTATGTTCAGCAGTGGACGGATGATAATTGAGATGATGAAAATATCATTTTTCGAAAGTATGGGGTGAAGGGATTGGTCATATATCACTTCCAGAACTGTCAAAACTATACGAAAATACTTTAGAAATTTAATTCGTATTTTTATTACTTTTTTTTCCTTCAGATGTTATTTTGATTCTTGTTCTGTTCCAGAACAAGCAATAGCCCAAGCACAAGCGATAGCCCAAGCGCAAGCGGTGGCCCAAGCGCAAGCAGTGGCCCAAGCACAAGCGGTGGCCCAAGCCCAGCCGAGTGCGTCTGTGACGCCGTCGCCCGCGCCTGTCTTTGCAGATCCACCATTTCAAGTTAAGAAAGCTACAAAGTTTATTGAAGACAATGGCAAAGGTGAGAGTGAGAGGCCAAAGTTAACGTAATATTCATATTGGAAGGTATGAAAATCGACCCAGTCAGAATTTTAATGGAATGAAAACATACATACATACATACATATCTGTCACGCCTGTCTCCCATTAGGGTAGGCAGAAACAATGGAACGCCAAATGCTTAGGTTCAGACAAATTTCTTTCGCTTGGGATGAAAACAATTTCAAATAATTTAATGCATGCATGTAGGTACATACATATACATTGATTGATTTTTACAAGTTCATTTGAAAGAAAGAGAGAAAGAAAAATTATTTAGCAGCATACATAGACATTACAAAAACTAACAATTAAAACAAATTCTAGATACTAAAAACTTTACCAGAGAGAGACTTTGTACAAAAGTCGATTGCTTGGGTACCTCTGTCCCATTCGTGTTTCAACCGTGAAGCAACTGTGTTTGCATGGCTGTGTTTCGGTTTGAAGGTTTGGATATGGCGTGAATTTACTGGGTACAGAGGAATAACACCTGAGTGCTCAGGAATGGCAACGCATGGGGGGTATCATGGGTGAAACAGTATACTCTGTTATGTCCATAGTACTGCTCATGTCTATAGGCGATGGTTACCACTTTCCATCAGGTGGGCCGTCAGCTGGTTTGCTATTCTAAGTTGTATAAAAAAAAACCTATAGACATGGCCTATAATTTGCTATATAGCTAGTGCATATGTCGTGTTATTATATATATAATGAATGTTGTCCAGGCATCAAAGTGTATCCGATGAGGGGGGGTCTGCGCGTCATGCTGATATTCACTTACAACGAGTTCAGCTGGAACATGGAGGACAAGCGGCTCGGCGCCGAGATCGACTGCCACAACCTCAAGTACCTATTCAAGGAGTTGGACTTCAAGGTGCTTGCATACCCCAACCTCACATATAAGGTATATAATTTTCTTTCAATATTTATTTTATTTAATTATTTTAATATTACATCTGCAATCAACAGCTTATATCTAGACAGAGGGAGACTTTGTACAAAAGTCGATTGCTTGGGTATCTCTCACCCATTCGTGTTTCTACCGAGAAGCAGTTGTGTTTGCATGGCTGTGTTTCGGTTTGAAGGGTGGGATATGGCGTGAATTTACTGAGTACAGAGGAATAACACTTGAGTCCTCAGGAATAGCAACGTATGAGGGTATCATGGGCGAAACAGTATACTCTGTTATGTCCATGGTACCGCTCATGTCTATAGGCGACGGTTACCACTTTCCATCAGGTGGGCCGTCAGCTTGTTTACCATCCTAAGTTGTATAAAAAAAAGACAATTTTATAAGTAGTATGTTGATATTCTTACATATACAAATGTATACACATGCTTACAATGATAATTCACTGTAAATTATGTTCCGAAGCCTTTACTTATACGATTTTTCGTATGGACGGTGGCAGGAGACGCTGGAGCGGCTGGAGGGCATGGCGTGCAGCCTGGCGGGCGCGGACTGCGTTTTCGTGGTGGTGTCGTCGCACGGCTACGCGCGGCCCGACTCGGCCGACCTGGACTTCCGCGTCAGCGACGGCGGCCTCATATCATTCCAGCGATTCGTCGACTACTTCAACAACGAAGCGCTGCCCGACCTGCTCGGCGTGCCCAAGGTCTTCATATTTCAAACGTGCAGGTAACGTATCGCCACACCTCGCCATGTGACTGTTCCTTTTACAGTGTTCGCTTATATCAAAGGTTATTATCGCTTATACCAGAGGGAGACTTTGTTGCTTGGGGACCTCTGTCCCATTCGTGTTTCTACCGTAAAGCAGTTGTGTTTGCATGGCTGTGTTTCGGTTTGAAGGGTAGGATATGGCGTGAATTTACTGGGTACAGAGAAATAACACCTGAGTTCTCAGGAATGGCAACGCATGGGCGGTATCATGGGCGAAACAGTATACTCTGTTATGTCCATGGTACTGCTCATGTCTATAGGCGACGGTTACACTTTCCATCAGGTAGGCTGTCAGCTTGTTTGCCATTCTAAATTGTATAAAAAAAAATACTTATTGTTTTTCAAAATGATCCATAAAATTTACCAGAAATTGGTCTAATTTGCTTTATCAATGATATTCAGGCTACGTAGGTGTACGTACGTAGCCGGCGCGACGGCATAGAACACCCAGAAAGAAAGATACTCGAGAGAACTGTTCTTAAACGTCGTATTTTTAAACGAAACATATGCAATAAAGAAGCAGGTGTGTAGGTACTATTTACCTGTAAAGGCTTTTCCATCGCGTTAAGTTCCGAATGTGTATTTAAAATATGTGTAAACAATGCGAAAGATTAATTTTAACTAGGTAATACGTTGCGATAAGAACACTACTATGAGCAACCAAAGCTTGTGTGCGTAGGGCCCTTGTTACATACGTGATGAAATAATTAGGTTTACGCGGGCTCGCTTAGTCACAAATCGAGGGATACGAGACTCAGGTTATTATAAAAATTGAAATGCAATTGTATATTGTTTAAAAACAATAATAATAAAAGAATACCTATCCTAACCGTTACTAGGTAAATATTATTAGATTAAAATGTTACCATATATTTATTACAAATTTAAATTAGTAGGTACGTACCTGATCCCGTCAATATGAATTCGTTTTCCCCGTTGCAGAGGTTCGAAGGAGGAGCCCCTGCGGCCGACGCACATGCTGCCTCCGGAGCCGGACGCGGCGGGCGATGCGGGCGACGCGGGCGACGCGGGCGACGCGGCGGGCTACGGCGGCGCCGCCTGCGCCGCGCCCGGCCGCGCCGCCCGCGGCGCCACGCCGCCGCAGCACACGCGCGTCTACTCGGACATACTCATCGCGCACTCCACCGTGCCCGGTACGGACCTGCTGCACACACATACCACCACACCGCCGGGGGGGGGGGGACAACGGGATTGTTAGTAATGGAGACTGAGAATCCCATTGCTAGCAATATACCCAACCAGGTCGACTTTCTCGCGGTTGCCCCTGGAAACTATCATGGTTAATTCCTGATGAATTCATCATGATGGGCTAACTGGCCCGTTTTCATTCTCATCTATCACCCTCCACTGGTGCTCCGCCAGCGTATCCCGGTAGCGCAGGCGGGGCTACCATACCATTTTCACCCATCAAAAAAACCACACTTCCGCCGCAAAATATGTATTTGCGGGTTTTAATGAAAATAGCTATCATAATTTAATATTGTAGCACACACGATTGCAATAATTGTTTGCCCCTTTTTGTTATTATTAACTTGTATTAATATTTTGCTGCAGGCTACGTATCCCGGCGGAATCCCAACAAGGGCTCGTGGTATATTCAAACCCTGTGCGAGGTATTCGCTGAGAAAGCAGCCGAACACCACGTCGAGGAGCTGTTCACCTTGGTGGACATCAGCATGGCCGAAAATCACAAGGTGCAGACTTCCTCCGTGGACAAGTGGGGTTTCAACCGGCACCTGTACCTTTACCCTGGACTCAGCAGGCATATGGACAGCCGGTAATAGTGAAGTACCTTGTGTTATGTGCGACCTGGGGCGTTTGGACGCGGCGTCTTGCCTCCGATAGCAAATAACTGATGAATTACCAATCTTGAAAGTCATTTTTATCCTTATAATAATATTTTAGATTATTAATAATTGTATTACCATACTGTCTTCATTATGTCGGTGAAAGTATGTAATAAACGTTTTTTTTTTATTATTATATACTATTCAATAACAATAGCACTTTACGTTTTACAATATTATATACATTGCTGTTGTAAGTGGATAGAATGTATAGGATGCCTTGTGTTACATATGGTTGTATGCATGTCGTATTTTGTGTAACTTTGGCAGATGTATTTTTTTTTTTAATGGACGATAATGGAATGGTAACCCCACCCGCGCTATCGGTATACACCGACGGGACGAAGGATGATAGGTGAGGATGAAGTAGGTCAGTTAGCCCATCGTGACGAATTCAACAAGAATTGTTCACGATGGTTTTCAGGGGGAACCACGTGGAGGTGGACCTGATAGGGCATATTGCTAGCAATGGGGCTGTCAAACTTCATTACTTAAAATCCCTTTCCCCCCCGGCAAATGTATTGCCACACTGCATGTCGTTGAGACGACCTCAACATACCTATAGCTATATTTAAGTGATATTTAGTGGTGCGAGCGCGTCGTTTGCATCGCAATAGTTCTGAAATGTCATTCGCTTATTATTATATCTCTAATATTTGAGTACGTTATAATTATATCAAAACGTTAGAGTTAGAATGACATTTGAGAGTATGACGCAATTGATTGTAACTTCTTATTCCCTAAAATGAGCTCTAACATTACAAATACAATTTGTCATCTCTTTTAAATAATGATTTGTACTTATCTTAGATATAAATTGACAATCTATTAATTTAATGCATATAACAAATGTATGTATGCATTCAGTCTACTTAAATTGAATTTATTGCTATATGTAAAATTAACAATTTTTTAAATCAACATTGTCTCAATAAAAATTTAATTTTAAAAAATGTAATACAATCATCTCAGTTTGTAACGTTCATTACAAACCTTAACAATGACAATATATAAAATATGTAAAGCAATATCTACAGTGTAAATATCCGTCCGTCTCAAACCGAAGATGCGGTCTGGGAGGACCCGAGTGCTAGTTGTTCTAGACTGGTCTCATTATATTGTTACACGCAGTGTGTGATATTCCGTATCTTAGTAGATAAATCATTATGATCTCCCTGCATTTAAGCTGCTATTTTAATATCTAATTTTATTTTTAAACTTATGTTCATTTTTTTTTCAATTAACGGGAATTTATCGAATTCTAAACAAACGACCAAAAGTTTAATAAAATCCCGTTAAGCAATTGATATTATTATTTTAACATATTTTTAAAAAAGACCCCGCCATTAAATAGTGTTGCATAATTATAAGACGTAACGTTACTGTATAAAATAACAAATGTCGATGTATTTTGTAAGTCTTACTATTATAGTTTTCATATGCATTTCAGTACATTTAAAGAACATGGAGAGTGCAGTCACAGAGAAAAATTTGCTAGACATTAATATGAATCTTTCTTATTATTTGTACTTTACAAATGTAAATATTAATAAAATAATGCATACGTACTCGTGCAGTGTTGTGCCCAGCGGGCCTGCTCTCCCTGGGGATGTCTACGCACACGCCGCTTTGAATTTGTATGTATGTATGTACTATAATATATTTTGGACGGAGCGGAGAAGCGATAATTATGTATATTTGTGACAAAGATGGAAACAGTATTATTTAGTGACGAATTACCATAATTTATGTATATTAAAATAATTTATTATTTGCGTATTGTATATACTTTGAATTAACTGTTTTAGTAACATGTACTTGACTGCCGCATGATTTATAAACATTGTTAAAACTTTGTGAGCGTTTTACAGTTCTTTATTTACCTACACGTATGTGATACAGATTGATAGATAGAATAGTGGCATAGCGGTCAACGGAGGGGCTCCCTCTAGCGGTCTCGACTAGAGTAACATTCCTTGGCGCTAAATTAAACCAAATAACTTGTTGATTCGACATTTTCGAGGAGGACCTCTCAGTTGACAGCTGCGCCGCGCCGCTCGATTACAATTACAGTAACTCTGTATTCATAGCTACGCAGGGCGTGTATTATAAATGTACATAAATGCAGGTGCCTCCTGATATTTTAATATGTCACAAGTTGTTATTTTAAATGGACAAAATGGAATGAGATTGCTCAATTTTTATGTAAACTTTAATAATTGAAATTATTTTTATACATTTACATAAAACGATTAATAAAATTGTACTAATATTTTGTTTCTTTTATTATTTATAAATTATAAGAATTACTAATATCAGAATTGGAGAAGACATGAGTGGAGATGTTGCATCTCTGTGCATCTTCTACCGAATTTATCATGGGGAGTGTTCTGAGGAATTGTTCGGATTGATACCTGCTGCTGATTTTTACCAATGTACAGGTAGTGAAAATCTGCAGCAGGCGACATAAACTAAAGTTGCATCCCAACCATCTGGACGAGCGGCGATCTTCTACCATGCGTTTTTCAAGATACTTTCTTCCAGGCATAACCACTCTTTGGGATCACCTTCCAGCAGCAGTATTTCCGAACCGATATCATAAACTTATAGAAAAGAGAAGAGCATATTCCTTTTTAAAAGGCCGGCAGCACATCTGCAATACCTCTGGTGTTGCACATCATGGGCGTCTGTAGTCACTTACCATCAGGTGAGCCGCATGCTTGTTTGCCCCGTGTTGTAGAAAAATTGACCCTGAAGAAACCTCTTCCCATTTCGAAGAACACCATGCTATAGTCTCTTATATATAGTCTCTTGGGAAAATCTCGACAGGGAGCTCATAACATAACCTAAGTGTTCGTGGGAGAAATTTCTCTGAAACCGCGTTGTACGCGACTATCTAAGCTGTAGGGTATGGGGGTGAACTTCCTGTCAATGGTGAGATGGTGGAAGGTAGAAAGCTTTTTTAGACAAAATATGAATGTTGACGAGAGGGACGAAGGGGTGGGTATTTAAACAAACAATATCGTGATAATATCACTTTATTCATATTGCTTTTATTTTGAGCATTTTAACAATGTCGTGTCAATATAATAATTGTATTTTCCAAATTAGTAAAAAGCAGTATATACAGTTCGTTAGTGGTGTGAAGTGAGCGTAGAGTTAGAACGCACTGGGGGGTGGTACGTACGCCGCCGTGTGCTGAATCATTTAAATTTTGTTTCATATGTGGACTTGGATAGACTATTATTATTGTCGTAAACAGTTTTTTTTTTTATACAACTTTGAACGGCAAGCAAGCTGACGGCTCACCTGATGGAAAGTTGTAACCGTTGTCTATAGACATAAGCAGCACCATGGACATAACAGAGTATACTGTTATATGATAAGTAGTTGGTTCACTGGTTCACCTCTCCCTTGGGGAGTTTTGCCAGTAGTTGCCACGCTTGGCAGGCGGATTGGCAACCGCAGTTAGGCTTCCGAGATGTTTTAAGAGGGACGCTGCTGCCCATCCCTCGCCCTCCCTTAGTCGGCTTTTATATCATCCACGCAAAAAGGAAGGGGTGGCCTATTCTATTCCTGGACCACACGGCCAATAGGTTTAGGTTATTAATATATAAAAATAGCTCATATTTGAACTGTACCATTATCGCGGCGGCCGCATCGTAAGTTGTTGAATACATAATACTTATTGTGTTTTATCCTCGTCAGCAATTTCCACCTTATTTCTCCATTCAACACTCACTCATTTTCACCCTCTAACGAACATCATATAGTAATAAATAATTTATTATTGTAGTATTATATATAAAATATTGCAGCCCACAATCTGTTATCGATCAGAGACGGATACGACGAGCGCACTCAGCTTGCTGAAGTTCAGCCATTGCCTGAGACACTGCTGCCGAGCGTCAAGCTTATACCTGTTGCAGCGTCCCGCCTGTCTCGTCAAATCCACATCGATCAGCTTCGGTTTCAACATGTCGGCATACTCATTCATTTTCTCTAACCAACGCTGCATTGGGTTTACTAGTGAGCTCTGATACAACCAGTTCAACACGGACGTCCTCGACCACCATGGCTCGAACGATTTCCAATCGTATGCAACGAAACCATCATACCAATTCTTTTTGATATAGACTTTCTCATGGTACTTGGTCCAGCTTGAGCAGCATTTAAGTGTGCTCGCCGCTATGACTTCTTCTGCTATTAGGTTCTCCACTTCTGATATGTCCATAGTAGAATTTCCGACGTGATTCAAAATTTCATGTTGGAAGCCATGTGACGTGATAATGTTTGTGTTGACAGCGGACGTGGCCAAATTCTTGGAGGCCAGGTACTGGAGCATGGGTAGCCAGGCGCGGGAGACGACGAGGGCGGAGGCGAGGCAGGTGGCGAGGCTGGCCAGGTAGGCGAGCGAGAGTGCGACGCAGGCGGCTGCCGCCCGTAGCAGCTCGCTCACCGCCGCCAGCTCGCACGTCGCACTCAAGTCTGTGTACGTGAAGAACCCGCGCAGCTGCGCTTGCTTCAAAGCCACTTGCCTCTCGAGCCACAGTAAACCCGTTTCAAAGGATTTTTCACTGACGTATACATTCCAATCCTGAAATCAAAAATTAGGTATAATAAACATTTATGCACTTTACACGACAGTGAAGTGGCAACTCTAATACTAGAGGTAGAAGTAAAAGTAAAACACGACTTGTTTGCAGTCTAATTAAGTATTGTATAAATCAATTTAGACATAAATCTGCCCTTCAAAGGTGATTATTTATTTATTTATTCATAGGAAAACCAGGGCTACACTACAGCAAATAGATACAGTTTTAGGATCACAAAATAAGCCACTAATAGGTTTTCACAAATAGCAACAATATAGATACAAGGCGATGTACACAAAGCAACGAAAATAGGAGTAAATAAAAAAAAAGGGAACAAACAAGAGAGAACATATAAAAACAAATAATGATAATAATAAATTATAAAAACAAACAATAATAATGATAAGTAAAATACAAATTAAAGATTAAATGTTTAAATTAAATATTTGACCGAAATATGGCCTTTTTATCCATACAATAGTAATTAAAACAGACTATGAATAAAATGTCTGTTTATGTACTACACAACTTATGGTTACATTGGGATCTTATTTTTTGTTTTACTAAGAATGTCAAATATGTTGATGGTTTCCCTGAATATTAACATTTTTTTTTTAATGGATGATAATGGAATGGTAACCCCACCCGCGCTATCGGTATACACCGGCGGGGCACCAGTGAGAGACGATAGGTGACGATGAAAAGGTAAGTCAGTTAGCTCATCCTGATGAATTCAACGATAAATTGATGGTTTCCAGGGGGAACCGCGTGGAGGTCGACCTGATGGCGTATGTATACAACTTAGAATGGCAAACAAGCTGACGGCCCACCTGATGGAAAGTGGTAACCGTCGCCTATAGACATGAGCAGTACCATGGACAAAACAGAGTATGCTGTTTCGCCCATGATACCCCCCATGTGTTGCCATTCCTGAGGACTCAGGTAGTATTCCTCTGTACCCAGTAAATTCACGCCATATCCAATCCCAACCAATCGACTTTTGTACAAAGTCTCCCTCTGGTATGTATGTCAATTAATATTAAGAGTTATGTAGCACATAAGCAGATATAATATTAAAGATGTTTAAACTTTTATATTTCTATTATTTAAACATAAAAAGATATTTAAATTTAAGAAAAAAAAAAATATTTACAGCACTTACTATAGCATTGAGAAAATCCACTTCTAACTTTTTTAAGTGTTTAAGGTCAATGCCCCCGGAGGCGGCCCACTCGGAACATATCACCTCATCATCTTCCCCATCATCTTGCAAGAACTTGTTGCCAACCATCTGCAATGAAATAATTGTTTGTGATTGTAGGGTTACTTATGCAGAAATCCATGTCATTGATTACTTAGACAAAATTTATCTATTTATTTAAATAAGTTTGTTGAATAAAAAACGTAGTACTTAATTATTGAGACAGGTAAGAAAATAACAATTAATAATAAAATAAAAAAACTCGATTTGATTATGGTACTTTCTGCCATGCGGTTGGGTATAATACCAGACAATTCTAGGATGATCCACCCGGAGGATTTTTCTTTTAGAATGCCTATTAACTTAATGTAATTTAATGGTCAAGAGAGGAGCAGAAGCATTCCTTAAAACATCACCAAAGCCTAAGAGCGGTTGCCAACCTGCCAGCCTAGTGTGGCTACTGGCAAAACCTTTACAAAGGTGAGGCCTATGTTCAGCAGTGGACAGTTAATGGCTGATATGATGATAATCCTTATGACTACACAAATTAGAAACCATAAATAAATAAAAATTAAATTGATAGACACCATAAACTATTGACATATGCACTGTTCAATATAAACACTCCATATCCATCCAGTGTACCACCACTAATAAAACTATACTAACTAAATGTATCTGAAAAGTGGTTCTCTCTACCACATTAAATCATTCTATAAGAGATTTCTTTGCACCAGAGGGAGACTTTGTACAAGTCGATTGCTTGGGTACCTCTGTCGCATTCGTGTTTCAACCGTGAAGCAGTTGTGTTTGCATGGCTGTGTTTCGGTTTGAAGGGTGGGATATTGCGTGAATTTACTGAGTACAGAGGAATAATACCTGAGTCCTCAGGAATGGCAACGCATGGGGGGGTATCATGGGTGAAACAGTATACTATGTCCATGGTACTGCTCATGTCTATAGGCAACGGTTACCACTTTCCATCAGGTGGACCATCAGCTTGTTTGCCATTCTAAGTTGCACAAAAAAAATTCTGTAAGATGTGATCAAAACAGATTACATTTACAGCTTTGTTTAGAAGTATATTTATTTACCAATGAGACAAGAAACAATTCAGCGGGTGCGGCACTTGTAAGGTATTCAGGGTTGCAAGTGTTGAGGCGTTCGAGGTAGAGTATAGCCAGCACGAGGGCGCAGGGCGAGACGCAGGCGCTGCGAGCGATACCCGCGGCCGCGTCCGCGTGCAGCCGCCGCAGCGAGCGCCCGCGCTGCGACACCGACCACAGCTCGCATGAGATCTCTGCAATCAAACAATCATATCTGTGTCACCATATTCTTAGCACTCATTATATGATTTGGCAAATTTATATTGCACATAGTATTTTCATATTTTTTATGTGAAATTTTATTCTATAGTCCATCTTTTGATGTAGTTTTTTGTAATACATATTTTGCTAGCAATTAATTTAATGTTTATTTTATTTACATTAATTTAATTTAAAAAATTTCATTAATTGAATGGGACAAGATATTAAAATGTTTTTAAAGTTAGATTCTAGGAAAATATTTAATGACTATCTCTTCCAGGTGTAAGTTTAAAATTCTATTAATGTTATACAGTACAGAAATGGGTAATATATTTATGTACTGATTCACATGGGCAATGCTGCGGGATATAGCTAGTGTTTAATTAAAACTTAATCAAAATATACTTCATTCATACAACATCATTTGAAACGAACATTTGGATATAAAAAGACAAGTTAACTCGTCAACAGTCAGCAAAGTGTTAATTAGATGTTTTAAAGACAATTAGATTGAAGAGGAAAAAAATATGCTTATAAAATGTACCAGTAACTGGGAGACTCAAGCAGGGCAATGACGGTAACTGCCCATAGTACAGGGTCTTGGTAATGCGCTTCAGGAACTCCTTATGATCACCCATGCTCTGTAAGGAGATATTCAAAACACTCGTCACACATAAAACATCACAAACACGAGTAGATACCAGAATACATGTATTGCTATGCATTTATACTTCTAATTCTGTATCGTAATCAATCTACGAAAGGAGAAAGTAGATAGTAACGTAAAAGTAATATAAATAACAAACTGCTGTAATCAGTTTCAAGAATTATTATTGCAACTATAGTTAGGATATATATTATAAAATATCACCCGGAAAATTATTATGTAGACTCTCCCACTAAGAATGTAATTTTTTGTAAATTAAATATAATCAGTGATATCATGCCAACAGTATGACCTCTTTACGTACCTTTATTTTAGTTCTAGACCCCTCTTTTCTTCTTTTCGATATGTTTGACATAGTTATGAATATTGTAATAGATGAAAACTTTTAATCACTAAATAAATACAAATAATAAATTTTATAATTTATTAAAATTTAAAATTTCTTATAGAAATCTGAAGAGATATACGAATAGAGTAAGTAATCACATCATCTATGGAAATTTACCCCTTTTTCGTCGTAAAACCTATCACAGATTATAAAAACTATACGTGAGTATAGTAATATAGTAGTAGTAGGTACCTATCTACGTTATACTACATCTATGAAAATTGTAAAATGGTAGTGTACTTTAAAAAAACAAATGACGAACGTTATTCGCTACTAGATTTGTTGAAATCATATGAAAATATTTAGGAAATTGAACTGGATCTTATGACTCTATAGACTGTCCAACGGGTTGGGTTTACGGGTTGGCAGACATAAAATAATGAATTTTTATTTATTATGTCTGTGGTAGAAACATAGTATTAAAATCTAAAAATGTAATTTAGAAAAGCATGGTTTTAGGTTTTGGCTATTCCAAAATTTTTGGGTTTTGGTTGGTTTTGATACCAATGTAATGTCAAGTGTCAATGTCAAAACAATCAAAGTCAAATGTGTCAAATAAGGCAGAAGGCACAGCGAGAGAAGGCGGCTGTCTTAAGATCGATAAAACTATAAAATCTAAATTTTTAATAACAATATTACAATTAATTATTAATAATCTAAAACAAGAAAATACCTCAATATTTGCATTTTATTATAAGTAAAAGTACTTAACATGTTTGAATAAAATAATCATCAAATGTGTGCTTCTGTCAGTGATATTGATTTCCTTTATTTGAAAGAGAACAATTCAAAAACGATGTAGGTAGACAGAATGCTGTCCAATTTGTGCATAGTAGACAACGAAAGTGCACAGGAATGATAGTACAAGTGTGTTTATAATGCACCTTCATAATGAAAACTAAGAGTTTTCTCCTGTTCTCTACGTCAGTGTTTGCTATAAGTATATTTCTTATTGTGTTTCATTCACAACCGCCTCAGTCCATACAGAGCATCGTTACACAAACGCATCAACACATAAAGGATTTTCAGGTAAATTAAGTTCTTTTGAAACATAGTTACATATTGACATATTAATATTTTATTGTTTATTGCAATAAACCGATACCTTTCTTTTTTATTCCAAGAAGACTATAAGTTACTACTGTTATCAATCTTGATTTTTATTTTTTTTGTATTAATTTAATGATATTTAATTTCATATGTCACAAAACAGGTGTCTGTATCACCACAGGAGAACTTGCGAGATGTTGAGGAGAACAACCTGGTACAAGAGGAACGCTACTTCAGGCTCCTGGGCCTGGACGGACATGTTGAGCTGTGGCACAACACCACTTTGCCTGTACTGGTTACATATGCCCGTGGGGACTCACATGCCATGGCTGTTAGCTTTGTCCGTGCCGCTGCACGACTGCCATACACTGTACTCCTCTACAACTTAGGATTAAAACCATATTCACTCTCTGTGGTTAGTATTATACATCTATGTTTATCTGTGTTATTAATTTATATTAATTAGATGAATTCATAAATTTAATTACATTTCATAAAATTCTAGATTCTACTACTTCTACATTTCATAACAAAGCTGTATTTATTTTACAATATGATTTAAGATTTACACTCAAAGTATTAGTTATATATTTAATTCAATATCATATAATTGTGTGTGAATGACCTGTCTCAGTATTGGACACTATTCTACCTGTTGGTATTGATGCTCTATTCCACTTTTCAATTTGCTAGAAGATAATTCTTGCAAAGTTCATTTCTTTTTTGTATATTTGCTTTCCATTACCATTTTTCTGTATTAATAAATTATATTAATATTTTAATTATCTTTTGATTGTTTTAAAAACATAATTAGATCTATGTATGATCATTTTTATATTTTAATAATCAATCAATTCTTTGTAGGTATCAAATTACTGCAACTCCTCAAAGTGCGCCATCATTGATTTTGATTTGGAAGCATTCCCTTCGCATGTCAGTGATGAAAGTATCCATGCATTTAGACCACTCATAATTCAAGTGAGTATGATGCATTAGCTTTAGACATGTATTTTTCTATCTAGAATATTTTTGTGATAGTGACAGTCCACCAGAGGGAGACTTTGTACAAAAGTAGATTGCTTGGGTACCTCTGTCCCATTCGTGTTTCAACCGTGCAGCAGTTGTGTTTGCATGGCTGTGTTTCGGTTTGAAGGGTGGGATATGACAGTGAATTTACTGGGTACAGAAGAATATGGGGGTATCATGGGCGAAACAGTATACTCTGTTATGTCCATGGTACTGCTCATGTCTATAGGCGACGATTGTGAATGTGAAAAAGACTCTTATTTTCGGTGCTTAACCTCTCATTTGGGCCGTTGTATGTATGATAAGATAGGTGACGGTTACCACTTTCCATCAGGTGGGCCGTCAGCTTGTTTGCCATTCTAAGTTGTATAAAAAAAGTCAAACATTCTGCCCTCCTGATAGTGACCACAACAACCCATATAAGTTTATTAAACCAGAGGTGTCACATCATTTTTGCTTTCGACTTTTGTAACATGAAGATCTTACCTTTATAAAATGTTTCGTGCATGATAAGTAAGTTAACATATTTGTCTTTTACATTTAAATGTCTGACCTCAAGTTGGGCTGTTTTGTGATATTTAAAATAATAAAGCAAATATAGCTGTACAATAAAAAAAATTAGCTTTTAAAATATGTATGTAAAATACTACTAAATCAAGGCTACTAATGAAAGCTATCAAAGTTCCATTATCTGCCAACAAATCCTATAAAATATGTAATATTATCACGTTATTAAATACAGTTCTAGCATGTCTTTTTAATAAATTAAAAATAAAAACAATAATATGAAATAATAAAAATTAATAAATACAATATCAATAAGCTATTTTTTATTTGATGCATAATTATTTTATTAAAAAAAAAAAAAGCCAAAATTGTTTACAGTTGGCATCGAATATTAAAAAAAAACATATTTTACAATGGTTTCGAGGGCATATTCATTAACGACGGCAATTTGTTAGGTCATATTTCCAAGTAAATTAGGCTTTGCACTAGACAATTAAACTATGACCCCACTAGTAATTGTGGTCAACTAGAGGGGTTAATTCAAGTTTTGCGTATAGTGTTTTGGTTCCATATGGCTGTATGTATGATTAACCCCACAAATGTAATTATTTATGTCGGCATTACTTATATTTTAAATTCAGGGATGCCCACCTAGTTATGGAACTCAGTAGGAGCCCTTATTCATGAGCTCGGTTCACGCCGAAAAGTCGCAACTAAATTCAAAGGACAAGTATGAAGCGCTTGATACTGTCTTAAAATGGACATCAGCATCTCAGCAGTGGCAGAATGTCTGTAACATAAATGCGTTCCCAGTACATTCGTTTCGACAAGAAGTCCGTACTAGCGAGAGAGAAATATTCCATGCCGTGAAAAGTACGCGAGTCCATCGAGATCTGCCGTCGGCTAAATGTCAGTAAAGACCGTGGCTAGATGCTGTGTCCCGTCTGGAAACCACCTGTAATGCTCACAACGAACTTGATTCGGAATGTAGACCTGAAATGTGACACAGACAGGACGGCCTGATTGACCCAGGAATAAAACCCATCACCGCTTAAACACGTTTCCATACAATCGGCCTTACCATCACGATCATCACCGATGAATATAAACAGCACGCTGGTTACGCAGTGCTGCTCGCAACGCGCGCTCATGAAAAAGGCTCTTATTGATTGAGAGTAAGGGCTCTTATTGAGTATGAAACTATTCAGGCATCCCTAAATTTAAAACGTGAATAAAGCCAACATACATAATTCCAATATAGTATGACTCACGATAGCTATTTAACATTATGAGAACCTAAGTTATTTACACATTATTATCTTACTGCAAATGAATGTTAGCAGAACTGTTTGTTTAGCCAGCAAGGCCATACAATGCATTGATAAGATTACCAGGAATGTAGTAAGACATTTTACACATGCTGTACAAGCAGGGTGAGGTAATTTTGAGTAATTTGGTCTATATTGATAGTATTAACTTTCTCTTATTCCTAGTCAAATAAAAAAAATAAAAACTGAAAACATAAATTTTGTTTGTTTCTATTTAGATGCCATGAATATTTCACAGATAGGGTAAACAAATCTTATATTAATGTAAATAAAAAATTTTAATTGGCTCTTAACCTTCTCGATTAACAACATATGGAAAGCTGAAGAAAGCAATGTACAGAATGTTAAATGATGGAAGATTGTAGGTTTCATTAGGGTCATAGATAAGGTTATCGATTGTTATTATTGCGACAGTTTTTTTATGCTACTTTGAACGCCAAAAAATATTTAGGACAAGTTATTTCCTGTATGAGTGGATATTGATCGGTCGCTACTGTCGGGCAGCACGCGCTGAGCCGCGTGGGCGGCGTGGTGTTCTGCGAGAGCTGGCAGCGGTACCGCGGCGCGGACGGTGCCGGCGGCGCGGCGCTGGGCGCGCTGTGGGCGCGGGCGGCGGCGGCGCGCGGCGGCGTGGCGGCGTGGCCGCTGCGCGCCGCCGTCACCTCGCTCACGCACCCGCGCATGTTCCACTACTTCCACGCCGACATCGACGACTTCCTCTTCGTTCAGATGGTGGACGTGTCGCGGCTCGTGGTCGCCAACAAGCCCGCCGTCGGCGACATCATGCGCCCCTGGATACAGTGCGCGCTCACGCTCGACTGCATCATGCCCATAGGTGTGTATTTTTTAAATCAGTTTACGGTGGAAGGTGCTAATGCTATTCTATACTTATATCACTGGTTAATCATGAGAATTAAACGTAATTCTAATGTATTAACCGGTTGTTTGTTACTGTTGCAAAGTTGAGTAATATTATGTAATACAAATATACTCTCAGTATTAATTGAGAGTTAAAAAAAAAGTATTTTTGTTGTCAATTTTGATATTGAATATCAGATTATTAGTATAAAAGTTCAAGAATGGTTTTTTAATGGATGATAATGGAATGGTAACCCTGCCTGCGCTATCGGTATACGCTGGCGGGGGGCACCAGTGACTAATGAGGATGAAAGCAGGTCAGTTGGCCCATGCTGATGAATTCAACTAGAATTAAATACGATGGTTTCCAGAGGGAGCCACGTAGAGATCAACCTGAGAGAGTATATTGCTAGCAATGGGGGTGTAAATCTTCGCTACAAACAATCCCTTCCCCTTCAAGGACGGTTAGAAGGAATGTGATGTTCAGCTTGCTTATCCTAGAAATAAACGCGTGATTGGTGTGCGTCGGCAGGTGCGCAGTCGGGCGGGTGCAGGTTCGACAAGAAGCCGCAGTACCGGTACTCGGGGTGCCACGGGCAGGACGCGTCGGCGCTGAGCATCGTGCTGGGGCTGCGCTCGGGCTTCGAGGAGTCGCAGTACGCGGTGCGCGACGGCGGCGCGTGGGCGCGCGTGGCGGACGCGGCCGCGCGCGCCGAGCTGGCCGGCCTGCAGCGCAACGCCTCCGCAGACGACCCGCCCACCGCCCGCCCGCCACTCTGAACCGCCCTACACTACACTACACTACACTACACTACACTACACTACGCTCCGTCTAACAGTACCAACCCTCATATTTTGCACGTGGAACTTTTTTCTACATTATAAAAAAGTCTCTGACGTAGATTTTTTTTTAAATTAACAAAAATAATACAGTGCAATGCCAACACGTTACGATATGGTGCAAAGTCTGTTCTGTTCTCATGTCGTCGCACCGTTGCCGCCCCTGACGTCTCGCAGGCATTTCCGTTGCTGCTCCGATCTCTCGTACGTAAGGTGCCCAGTTTTATATACGCTTAGATTTTTAATCTATCTATATCAAGATTTCGATTTACCTACGATTATTTAATATTTTTTTTTTATAAAAAATAACGATCATTACTGAATACTCGCAATAGAGAGCTATCGCGTATACTGTTCCGCTTCGAATTAATATAAAAATATTTTTATCGAGTAACACAAAACGCTATTTTTTCTGCTGTGAAAGCCGGGCGTGATGGAATATGTATATAAAAGAATGCGACGTTGATCAGCGCGGTCAGCTGTCGGTGCTGATCATTATGCAATGTTACCTTTTTGCTTTAAAAATTAACTGAAGTGGCAGTCGAACTATCGAAAATGTTATATGTTAAAAAGACACGTTTTATACCATTGTTGAAGATATACCACGGTGTTGTAATCGCGTGTATTCAGGCTACAAAAAAAGACAACTATTTATAACTGGCATATAATATTATTTAAAAATGATAAAAAAAAAAAACCTCTTTGCAATATTCCAATTATTAAAGTCCATTATAGTTTATCATGACACAAGGTAGTAAATTATTAATTTTATATAAATCTAAATTTACTAAATAATGAACAAATCTATCTAGTGTGATTCCTTCTATGTGCACTGTTACGTTAGTTTAAGATTTTTTTTTTTTTTTATTATACTATTTGAATAGTAAACAATGTCAATTTATAACAAGACATAAATGGTGCATGTTTCCTTGCAACAATTGGTGATATTAAGTTGTATATATATTATATATTAATTTAAATTTATTAATTTGGTACTGGCTGTTTATACAAAAAAAAATGTTTGTTTATATTGTGATTGATTAATTATAATTTGAAGTGATGGATGTTTTAAACGAATTAAATGCGACCGAATTCTTCACGCGCCATAGTCATTAATTGTAACATTTACCTCTTAACGGGTATACCTTCTACGTGAGTAGATTCCCATTAGGTACACAAATAGCAAAGAACGGCACGGCACTGCCTTTAGACATTTTTCTTACGTTGATTTGAATGTAATAGTTGAGCTGCGTATGGACTGCGAGGCGAGCGTCGCTCTGTACATAACGTTTGTATACGTGCGAGCGAAACGATATGTGTCGGTAAAGCAGCAATGTACTTTATTGCGAACGCTCGCTGCGCACGCCTTGCAATATTCATACGCGGCTTTAATAGGTTCCGTAAACGGTCAAGCAGCTTGGTTCAAGCATGTACGGTTATTGCCGCTTTTACAGTGATGGAATTACTTCGCCTTGTTTATTTTACAAGTGTCAATGGATGTGTGTTTGATCCGATTCGCTTGATCGTGTATGGGTTCCATAAGATCCGCAACTAATGAGGTTGTGTTTTGTATGTCATGTGCAACAAATTAGTGTGCTCAGTGTGGATACGATTTACATACGGCACTCTGTAATTTTAGTTTGTAAGTCTCGATCAAAAATGGAAGTGAAAATCTAGGAGTCTGGCGAATCTCACCGATCTCGAAGAGGTCAATGAAAATCTCATGTCCTTTTTATTCAGTTTCTATTTGCTAATCCCATGTGGAGGGGGAGGGGTTAATTTTTCATATCTCAGTGTGGGAGGATTTTTCATATTTCAGTAGGAGGGGAGTTTCATATTTCAGTAGGGGGGTAGATTTTTCATATCTCAATGGGGGGGGGGCTATCATATCTCAGTGAGGGGATTTCATATTTCAGTAGGAGGGTAGATCTTTCATATCTCAGCAGGGGGGGATCTTTCATATCTCAGTAAGGGGATTTCATATCTCAATAGGGGGGGGGGGGGGGTTAAAAAGTTAATAAATAAAAACCATTAGCTTGTAATTAATGGACTCGCCGTGTCTCCTTACTTGATCTTCTCTCTTTCTCTCTCATTACTTGACGATTGAGTATCTATGTTCGTATTACAAGATTGAATTATTATATTGTATATATTGCGCACACGCAGCTGTGGTGTGTGGTCGTGTCCGTGCTGGAGCACGTTGTGTTTCGTACAATTATTGATTAGTTCGTGAAGTACAATGTGATATACTTAAGTGTTAGTATTAATGTTATTATTTTGTTGATAAGTGCGATGTCCGAATGTTGTCGCCGGCTCGCGGACTGCTATTTTATTCATTGTCTGAATACTCAATGTAATTCAAATATATACATATGTAAAGTCGAGCGATCAATCGTACGGCGTCCGTTTGGTGTGTTATGTTCGTATGTGTGTGCAAATTCTTATAATTTATTATTGTGCATAATATTGTCAACACGTTTATCATTTTAGTTTTGATATTTTATATATTTTTTTATTATCAATTCTAGAGTGAAGACAGACATCGTGCTGACAGCGTGAAACGTTGATGTTTTTTATCGTAATTAAACACGTAACGCTATTGCACGACTAATGCTTTGGTGTTTTTTTTTTTAATGGGTGATAATGGAATGGTAACCCCACCCGCGCTATCGGTATATACCGGTGGGGCACCAGTGAAGGATGATAGGTGAGGATGAAGCAGGTCAGTTAGGCCATCGTGACGAATTCAACAAGAATTGTTCACGATGGTTTCCAGGGGGAACCACGTGGAGGTCGACCTAATAGAGCATATTGCTAGCAATAGGGCTGTCAAACTCCATTGCTAACAATCCCTTTCCCCCTAATGCTTTGGTGTTAAAAACTGTTTTTATAAAACAGAGACGAGACCGAATGACCAATATACTGAATACTGTAAAGAATTTCCTGTCATGCACTTGATTGGTGGATCCGTCTATCCGCATGGACGATGCCTGTATCCACTCTGAAACGAACGTACGACGGTGGCTCGATTAGTATTATAAAATTGTCGAGTTTAAACGTAAGGATCTCATTGTTACTTAATTCATGTATTTACTACATAATTATAACGACCAATCCGTAACGCTACCAATATACATTCATTTCGTACATGCTGCCGCTTCTGCACGACGTTCGTGGACCGCGCGTCCCCCTACCTACTTATGAGCTTTAAAAAATGTAAATATATTTAAGTTTATTCAAAATCCCATCTTCGGAGGTATGGAGCCAATTTTAAACCACCGATCGACTTGTATTTGAAAACTGAACACTAACTGCTTAACTGTTTATACCCACGGATAACTTTTCATGTGACGAGCTCGTTTCCCTTGTTCTATTGTAATCGGTACGTCGACATCTTGTTAATATTTTAAAACGATCAAGGTTCTATACGAATTTAACATTAAGTCAATTTACAAATGTTTAAAGTTTGCAGTTTGAGACCTTGTCTAAGTGTGACCGTGCGAGCGCACGGTGTCTAAGCGAACGCCGTGCGAAGCGCCATCTATTGCGTTGTGAACACATTATATTAACCGTGAATCCTCAATACCTGAACCAAGCTCGACGCACAGCGTTCATTTGGGCACAATCTTCTAGGTATAGGTTGGAGATATTTTCTCGAAAAAAGTATGTATTTATTCTGATGCTGCGTCCACATGAGAGGCGACAGGATGCGTGCTGTCATTGACATGTTAACTCATCGAGTGAAGTGTCAATGTTGTTTGTCTCTCTCATTATAATACTTTCTTTCGCCTTCATGTGGATCGACTGTTGTCATTTCTATAAATAATTTGTATATATTTTAGCGCAAAATTGCAGCCGATGCTGCATTCCGACTCTATGTACACCTATACAATGTACAGGTGCATACCTACTACGATTGCTGTACACGTTTAGCGATTTCAAAACAAGGCAGCTTTATGGCATATCTTTAATGGCAAGTGAGAATAATTTATTAAATAATGATTATGACGAATTTTTGTTTCAATCTCATCACTGTCCCTTTTACTCCTTTGATTAAATGTAAATCGAGATAAAGGTATAAATTGACAATTAGAAGTTATGGACACATTGGTTTTTGTAAATAACATAAGATTGTGTTCTGTTGTAAATAGGAGGATGCAGTAATAAAACATATATGTATTTGTGATATAAAATAATGTTTATTTATGGAAAAAATACAAGACGTGTCTTATAAAAATCTGACATAGAACAAACATAAAAATAATACATTGTTCTAAAAAACCTCAGTGTCAACAGCCAGTATTAAAACTCCAACATGTTCCACAAAAAATAGACTTCAATTATGGCAAAGTTTGTTATTTTAATTCAAAAAGTAAACTATTGGATCGATTTTGATAAAATTTCCATCAATCTGTAGGTATAAAAAAAATCATTTTAGAACTGAAGGAGTTATGAGGTACCATTTTAACCTAAAGAAATATTAGTCATATTTATATTTCTTTTAAAATCTCTTTAAATTATTGATACTTATTAATTACTATTTTTTTGTAAGTAGGAAAAGTGGATAAAACTGTATATGAGAAATCAGTTCAGGGCTGATATGCCTGTAGAAGGAAAAAAAATTATAAAAAAAACAAATTGAGAATCTTTTGTTTTTTAAATCGGTTGTAAAAAAGTACCAAGATTGTTTTTACTAAATTTGCCTATAACAATCTATTCATATACTTATAAGAAAAAAAAAAAAAAACAGTAAAAACTTCAAAGATATATTTTATTTAAAATTATAAATCACAATGTCAAAAAAAATATATAGAACAAACAAAAGTGGCTATACGAGGTTTGTCCGGAAAGTACGTATAAAAGTTTTTTAAAAATTTTATTTTACAATTATTCAGGTAAATCAATTTTATCCCCTTCAAAGTACTCCCCCTGTGACATAATGCACTTGTGCCAACGCCGTTTCCACTGTGAGAAGGCTCCTTGAAAGTCCTCTGGTTGTAGGTTTCTCAGCTGCCCCGTCGTAGCTTTTTTTATCTCATTTATGTCCCCCAAATGCCGCCCCCGAAGTACCAATTTGGTTTTTGGGAACAAGAAGAAGTCACACGGGGCCAAATCCGGCGAATAGGGGGGTGTTCGGTCACCGTAATGGAATTTTTACTCAAAAACTCACGGACAACAAGAGAGGTGTGGGCAGGGGCATTGTCGTGGTGAAGAATCCAACGCCCCTCTCGCGCCAATTCTGGACGAACTCGTGCCACACGAGCTTTGAGGCGTCTGAGCACATCGACGTAGAATTTTCCATCAACTGTCTGGCCTGGAGGGACGAATTCTTGATGGACAATCCCCCGAACATCGAAAAAAACAATCAACATTGTCTTGACATTTGAGCGGGATTTTCTTGATTTTTTTGTTCGTGGTTCCCCGGATGTCTTCCACTCTTTGCTTTCACGGCCATTCTTGCCGAGTTTCGAGAGAAACTTGATTACGACGCGCTGCTCTTCAACGGAAGCGGGCTCCATGCCGACGGGGTTTCGTTAAGAGGTAACTTCACAGATGGCGTGACAAGCCAGTTCGCACCGCACGGCGGTCAGACCAGAACTGAAGCATTGTTAGGGACATAAGGAAGGGGTCCTGCGCTTACCTGGCCTCCCCACTCCTCTTTCTCGCATTCCAGAACACTTTTATACGAACTTTCCGGACAGACCTCGTATATACACAATAAGTGTTCAGAATAGTTCTCCTATATAATAGTGCGGTTTCTATATAAGTAAAGATATTTACAATACCGTGGTCGACCACAATCGAACATTATAACATGCAGCCGCAATATAGTACAAAATAATACAGGGTACACAGGAATAATACCTGAGTCCTCAGGAATGGCAACGCATGGGGGGTATCATGGGCGAAACAGTATACTCTGTTATGTCCATGGTACTGCTCATGTCTATAGGCGACGGTTACCACTTTCCATCAATTTGGCCGTCAGCTTGTTTGCCATTCTAAGTTGTATAAAAAAATGTTCAACATCTTCAATAAACTAATCTGGCTCCCTGTTATATTTGACGAAATATGAACAAGTCGAGTGTTACGTTCACCACAACCATGGCAGTAGAGAGACGCCTCTGACTACCCCATCAGAGATTGCAGTTGTGATAATATATATAAAAAAAAAACTTGTATAAACAACTAAATATACGTAAGGCGAAATTTTTCATTGTGCATTGACTAGATGTTACATTGTGTGCTTCTAAAAATTCTAAAACACCAACATCTCGATAATAATATACCACGTGTTTGGTTTATAATTAAAAAAAAAACAAAAAAAAAAAAACATAATGCTACGAAGTCGGAAATCATATTATATTGTAATTATATTAATTTATATTATTATTTATATTATTTACCTTTGGGGAGACTTTGTACAAAAGTCGAATGCTTGGGTACCTCTGTCCCACTCGTGTTTCAACTGTGAAGCAGTTGTGTTTGCATGACTGTGTTTCGGTTCGAAGGGTGGAATATGGCGTGAATTTACACGGTACAGAGGAATAACACCTGAGTCCTTAGGAACGGCAACGCATGGGGGTTATCATGGGCGAAACAGTATACGCTGTTATGTCCATGGTACTGCTCATGTCTATAGGCGACGGTTACCACTTTCCATCAAGTGGGCCGTCAGCTTGTCTGCCATTCTAAGTTGTATAAAAAAAATATTCATAAGAGACGCTTACATACTCGTCATATCGCTCCTTACGTTACATTAATGCTATTAGACACCACTGAGGACAAGATTATTATGAGAATGACACAAGTGTAACATTTACTATTACAAAAAAATAAAAAATCAAAAATTTTAAATCTGAGCGAAGTACAAACAATAGTCGCATTCAAAGTCTCAAAGACAAAGTGAAATTTACGCCTCTATGATATCTTATAATAGAAATTCATGATTGCTATATCTACTTTATACTGCAAATATGGCAGAATGCAAGTGTTCATTCTGCAGGTACTTGCACTAGAGTGCAATGTCACAAAATAGACAACTAGACAACTGTACAATGAACTAGCGATATGAACATTACTGACACAGCTTCAACGCAACTACGCACTAAGTAACAAAAATCCCTTTTGATAATTTAGTAAATTTTACATAAGGTGACATATATAATGTACATATCTTATCGTCAAATACCACACCAAATATCATTCAAATCAGTGTGACATTGCGTGCGTGATATATATCTGATATTTGTAAGACATATTACAACTTGGTGTTATCTTAAACAAATTCTCCATTCGTCAACAATGTTTGCAGAGTCCCAAACGGCAAGTTTGTAAACTATACATAGGTTTTTTAAATTCATTACGTGTTTGCATATAAATTATAATGTAGTTATGAATAAATAAGTTATGTCACTTTCTTTAAAATCTTCAAGGCATTCCTGTGTCGAAATGTGCAATTTCGACACAGGCACACACGAGCACACAATGTAAACATTGTAATAATAGACAATTCAATTGTTTCCAACACTTATCAATTGGGGGGAGAAGAGTGTTAGTAATGGGGATTAGTAGCCCCAAAGCTAGCAAAATACCCTGTGAGGTCGACCTCCTCGTGGTTCCCCCTGGAAACCATCGTGATTGATTTATTGCTAGATTCGTAACGATGGGCTAACTGAGCTGCTTCATCCTCACCTATTATCTCTCACTGGTGCCCCGCCGGTGTATGCCGATAGCGCAGGCGGGGTTACCATTCCATTATCACTCATTAAAAAACACTTATCAATTTGTCAATCTCGGCCAGCTGATTACATATCGAGATTGCGACTACATTCAGTGTAGAGAATTCAACATAATATAGGTAAATATAACATCGTTCACCTGTATAGGAATTTCGCTAACGTCTTATCACAAATAAACTGTTCCTTAACATCTAAAAATTTGTTAAATAACATTAAAAACTAAATATCACCCCAAAACATAGGCCTATATTATTTTTCGAAACATTCATAAAGCGTTATAAAAAGTGGATTCCGATACTCTAATTTGTATATATAATATAATATTTGTATGAAATTAATTCTGAGTATATAGAATCTTATTCAAAGATGAATGATATAAAATATAACTGCCAATAGTACAGTGTGCCCTTTACATTCTAATTCATATACATTTTCATGAGAATACCTATAATCATAATATCCTCACGCTTGTTTCGAATTGGCCTCTTTTCACAACTGTATCCTGAGGGCCTACCATGAAATATTTTCTGAAATTTCGGGGACGAACGAAACAGAAATTTGATGTTAAAATAACATAATACATGCCGATTAAAATAATTAAAAATGTTAAAATATCATTCTTCTGGACTATTTTTTTTTATGGGTGATAATGGTATGGTAACCCCGCCTGCGCTAACGGGATACGCCGGCGGAGCACCAGTGAAGGGTGATAGATGAGAATGAAAACAGGCCAGTTAGCCCATCATGATGAATTCATCAGGAATTAACCATGATAGTTTCCAGGGGGAATCACGAGGAGGTCGACCTGGTTGGGAATATTGCTAGCAATGGAGTTTTTAGTCTCCATTACTAACAATCCCTTTCCCCCCCTCTATTAGGATAGGATTTATGATAAACGAAATGTTAAGCTCCATTTACTGGTCCGATTTCGATACGAACAAAAACACGAAATTGAGCCCGAAAATTCGGAATTTTATTTCATGGTAGACCACCAGATTGGATAATTTAATACACACACTTCAATAATGCACAATAAAGTGAGGCGGCAATAATTTCTCTGTGGATAGTGCAGCAGCTTTGTGGGAATACACCAGTATATAGTTTAACAACCCACGCGTGTATATAGGAGCGTAGCACACCATGTAGATCAGTTTTAGCAAGAGTAAAAGTGATAGGTATTTTAAATGTTCTTGTCGATATTTAAAACATATGGTATTCATTTTGCTTTGTCTAATGCTGGTGTTTTCCTTGTATCCGAATGGAAATGTATATATATATATATATATATATATATATGAATATATGAGTATTATATGTGTTATTTTTAAATATTTTTTTTTAATTTAGTATTGTTCATCACGTCGCATCGTCAATTATATTTTCTATTATTCCTGTCTACGGTTGACTGGTAGACAGCACGCCATATGATGTTAAGTCCGCCATTTACACTATCTAGGTGTATTAAAGTTTAATAAATAAATAAATAAGAATCACCGTCTGTTGAACACTAATGAGTTTGTTTGATCTATTATAAAAAACATATGACTTTACATATGTACAGTCACACATAATAATGTAAACACTTTTGTACATTATTGCAGCAAAATAATAATAATGCCACTGTTAATTAATAAGGTATTTACAATATATATATTATTACAACTGTACCTATAATTTGTGCTATTTTCGAAAATATGAATACATTTGTAAGTACTATTGCTATTCACAACAATTAAACCTTTAAACACTTGATAAGATTCACTATACATTCAATTCACAAATGCAATTAGCTACCTATTTAGAATGGCAACGCATGGGGTCGTATCATGGGCGAAACAGTATTCTCTGTTATGTCCATGGTACTGCTCATGTGTATAGGCGACGGTTACTACTTTCCATCAGGTGGGCCGTCAGCTTGTTTGCCATTCTAAGTTGTATAAAAAAAAAAACCTATTTAGAAGTCGTGCAAATATTAATATAGACCTATATGTATATACATAAACGCATTCTCGCGTGGACATTACATTTATAAATTAAAATTATTAAATTAAAACAAAATTATAATAACGTCACACACGTGGCATCGAATCGAAATATCAAGAGTCGTAGGATATTTATGCTGGGGCCACACCAGCATTTGTCGTGTCGAAGTTTTGTATAATAATAGGTACGTATGGTTGAAATCAGCCATTATCAATTATTGTATTGGAAATTAGGACTACGTATTAATTTACTAGCATTGTTTAAGGCAACTATTGTTCTTAGATTGTTAAGAGTTAGTTAATTTAATAATTTTTATTAGTTAGTTAATTTAATTCGTTAACTGTTAACAAGTCGCTAATGTACCCAGCCCTCTTAAAGATTTGGTAAACGAATCCATTTAATCTTAGATTTAGATCCAGATAGAACAGGATATCAATGTGCGATGTGTAATTCTTTTTTGGTGTGCGGTAGATATATCTGCCGATAGACTCGTCAGCCACTTGCTGTAGGGGGTAAAGGCAATAGTACGATATTACAGAATAAAAATTGCTTCGTGACGACAAGTGCAGGTATGTACCCAGCATAAGAATTATTACTTTTTGGTAAAGTAATATATTTAAAACAAATAAAAAATTGTTATTAGGACATTACATGGCAGTCAAAGATGTGATGTGTGTGTGTGTATGTGTCAATCAAACTAGTGCAGTGTCGCGACGGTGGCCGCCAGCGCCACCTTTACCGTGTTTACTTTTTCGGTTGTACTTCTTCCTCTTTGGGGTCGGGCACCTTTTCGTCGTCTTTGAACAGCAGCGGCGTCATGCCCAGGAAACAGCCGAGCGTAATGCCGACTACCCGGCCCTGTGATGTACGTGTACGTGTAAGTTATACTTAACTAGCTTTTGCTCTTGACTTCATAAGTGTGAATATTGGAAGTAGAAACACATACATACATACATACATATCTGTCACGCCTGTCTCCCATTAGGGTAGGCAGAAACAATGGAACACCAAATGCTTCGATCCAAAGAAACCTCTTTCGCTTCTTCCACATTCATCAATCTTGTCATACACGCTCGCCGGCTACGGGTACTTTTAATATGGCCCTTCTTCAGCACGTCGCCTATTTGGTCAACATACGTCCGTCAATGGCGGTTCCTACTGACATCTCCATTCATTCTCGCTCCATAAATCTCTTTCGTAATTCTTCTTTCAAAGTAGAAAATCTAATGAAATAGACAGTTGTCTATTTCATAGACTAGATTCAAGATAAAAAATACACCAAGCACTATGTGTTAGTGCAAGAAAAGAAAAACTCGAAATAGAACCAGTAACATAGTAATAGCTCACTAACATCTTTTCTTGTGATTTCCGTAACATTCAAAAGTGGGGTGAACTGGTTTGATATGTCCATGTACACGAACACATCGCAGCCTGTACGAAGACGAGGTCTACACTTAAAATTGGCAACTTTACGTTGTGCCGAAAGTGACATCTGATAGATGTTTGGATATTACATCACTACGGAGTTACGCATTATTTTTTTTTTATTACCTACTAAATTGTGAATTAAAAATTTTCCAATAAATCAAATAATTGAACAAAACGGTATCATTAATCAACAACCAATGTATTTTTTTATGCGTGAAAATGGCATGGTCACTTAGTAAATATATAAGGTATGGAGTCATAAAATCATAGTTTTCGAGAAGGGCAACGCATTAGACGTGCCAAGGTTATCACAGTATATTTAGTATTGCCCATATTGCTTGTTGTACAAGTCGCCACTTCTTATCATCAATTCTAAGTGTCATAAATCGTTTTTAAAGAATGTACAGCAACTTACCATGTTGGCGAAGCGCCTGCTGACTGGCATGTCGAGCTGTATGGGCGAGAGCGCGGGCGCGCTGAGCCCTAGGATTGCGGCGCCGCGCTCCACATAGTACGACGAGCCGATGCCTATGACGTCACTGAACGTGTTGCCCAGCGCCGCCGCCGCCATCGTCGACAGCGTTATGTACGCGCTCATGCTGCTCTCGATACTGTCGCCCTGCACCGTTGTACACGGATGAAAATAAATAAATGCGCTCATGACAAACTCCACGACATCACTGAATAACTGATAAGTTTTTTTTCTATACCACTGACGTGGCAAATAAGCATACGGCCCACCTGATGGTAAGCGGTTACCGTAGCCTATGAAAGCCTGCAATATCAGATGTATTACGCGCGCGTTGCCGACCCTGAAGAAACCTCTTTACCCCCCTTTTGAAGAACCCCATACTGTAGTCTCTTGGGAAAACCTCAGCAGGGAGCTCATTCCATAACTTGAGTGTTCGAGGTAGAGGTATTTGGAAACTGTTGCTATTGTCGAGAAGTATACATTTTAACACACAATAATGAATCCAGTGTGACAGGATAATTGTTTTAAATGAAAAATAGCAAATTTATTAGAGATACAGTGGACAAGCAATTAAGGTCATTGTACTACTAAAAATATTTTGTTAAAATTTTAAAGTCCCTATTCATTATCAAGTTTCCAAACTTCAGCAACATAATAAATGCTGGTCTGATAGAGCCTTTAAAGAAATTTAAGATATATGTACACAATATCTAAACACAACTACTTTTATCACATTATTGTTATTATAAAGATTAATAATATATTTTTTATACTCACCGCAATTATCATAATGAAGTTGTCTAAAAACCCAAAACCAATGAATGGTATTGAATTTGCAAATAACACTGAAATAAAAAAATACAGATGTGTATATATCTAATGAGTGGTATGTACCACATACAATGTAAATAAACATTAAAAAGCCCAATGTCACTTTGTATAGTTCAGACCATTTTATAATTCAAATCTGATTGAATCTGAACTTTTAAATGTTTTTGTGTAAAATGAGGGTTGCCAAGTAATTCTTGGCATCTGTGGGTGTTTACATTCATCTGAGTAGTAGCTTTAGTAACATAATATCTTGAAAAGTTGTATAAGTGATAAGAAATCAAGTTCCAATTGATTAAAAGCTGTGCCTTAGAATAAATTAATTTAATCAGCTTAATAACAGCATGGCATGTATCGTTGCACATATGTATAGATTATAAGTGTACAAATCTTTCAAATGCAAAGTATTACTGTAGTCTAACTATTTATTGTATAACTAGTATTGTAGTTTTTATAAATTTTCATACTAATAGTTATATATATTATGAATACGCGTGTCGTGGGGGAATTTAATTGAGGCAGGATTTTATAATGTAACCTTATTATATTGTATTTTAAGTAGATATAAATATATACTTTGTTGGTTGTCCTTAAATAAATAAATTACATAATATTTTATCTATCACATTATGAAATAACTGTAACGAAATTAAGTATTATAGTAAATAAACTGAAACAATGTCTAAAATTAGAGTGGAATCAATATAATGTTATCTAAGGTGCCTATTTTTATCAGTAAAATATAAACATGTTTTCTCATTTTATGGCTCCATAAAATATCATTTGTTTTAAAAGAAAAAAAGCCATTGTTATATCTATATAATCTAGTGAACAAACTTGATGTGAAGACACATCTACATCAAGACAGCACTACCTCTAGATGTTGGAGGGTAAGGACTGTTAATGTTAATATACCTTATACCCTGTCAGGTAGACCTCCAGATCCCTCTAGATACTATCATGATCAATTCTTGTTGGATCCTTCACAATAGGTTAACTCACCCAGTTTAATTCTTACTTATCATCACTCACTGGTGTCCCGTCAGCGTAAGTCAATGACACAGGTGGGGTTACCATTCCATTCTCACCCGTTTACCTTATTGCAATTGTGGTTAAAGGAATCAAACAATGCACAGACTATAGCAGCGACTCCATATTTGTGTATCACCATTGTAATAAGTTATTTAGATGCAATACAAGCATTTCTATTTAACTGAATGCAATTCTAACTTCAAAATGCATAATACAAAGTATATAATATCAATATATTGTCAATTATTAATTTAAAAATTTTGATTAAAATATTTAATACTTACAATGAAATAATTCCCTAGTTGTAGGCTTTGGCACTGTAGCAGCTGGAAAACAAATTACACTATATTGTATTTTTTTCCTGACTTAAAGTGTATACAAATTTTAAGAATTGGGAAGTGCTTAGAAATTTGTTTACTAGGTTTGTCTGCACTGATAGAAAAGCAATATAGCAGCTTCTAAATTCAGTTTATTGCTAGTATTAATAAATATTTATATTAAATTTTAATATTGTTAGATGATAACATACATAAGTAAGAGAGGGTGATGATATATGAAATAATTAAAAAAATAAAATACTAACCATACTTTTTCTTTAGCCAGTCCTCTGGAACTGGGCAGTATGTCCCTGTAGGATCAACATCACCTAGTGTAGGTACTTTACTAGGCCTTCCAAACTTACTTCTCCATCGTTGACCAGCCAATTTATCTGAAATTTATAAATCATTAAACTCTATGTGACATATACAAATAATAGTATATCTAATGCATATTCGTTATACCTTCAAATTCCTCCTTAATTCTATTGGATTCGTACTCCTGCAGTGCATTAAGTAATAATTTTCTTTCATCGTCACTCAAATGTAGCACTAATTCATTTGCATGTAACTTGGTCAGAGGACCTGTACGTTGACTTGGCTCTTCAAAATCCTTTGAAGTGGGCCCTAAGCCTAGATTACGAGATTTTAAAAATACAGGATTAAATAGCTTTAAGTTAGAAAATTTCTCTGATGCACTGTGTCGCACTTGTATTACGTGAGTATTTTTACCGTAACATAACGGAAAATTATTTAGAGAAGAACAACAAAATCTTCTAATAACTTGTAGTCCCTTCATATTTTACTTAAAAATATGAAAAATTAAAAATATACGAAAATATAATTAAAACATTCAATTCATTCATTCATGAACTTTCAAGTTTTTGGATTGACATTTTTTCGTTTGTTAGTGACGTTGTTGTCATTTTTGACAACTTGACTTCATAAACTTTGCACGCAATAAAGTTCAGGAAGTTAAACATCTTTGGGCAAAACATAGATTAAATATAGTACACGCAGTTTTAGAAAGTAGGACTGTGTGTACTATATTTACTTTCTACGCTTTTTAAAAGTTAGAAGAAATCAAATATGTATTTATATTAAGTAGGAATGTCTAGATTTTGATCTAGATGAGTACGTACGCCGTGCGTAAAGTTAGACAGTACACTGATACTGATACTGCTAGATTAGTCTATTTTAGTTATTTTCATAGTTTACTCTCTTATGGAATATTACTATGGGGAAAAGCGGCAGATATTAAGAATATATTCATATTACAAAAACGTGCCGTTCGAGCGATCTACTGTATGAAGAGTCGTGACTCATTAAGAGAGAAATTCAAAGAGGCAAATATTCTCACCGTTGCTTCTCAATTTATATATTCAAATATTCTATATGTTCATAAAAATCTTGACTTATTTCCAAAAAACAGCAATATTCATAATATTAATACTAGATTTAAAGACAAACTTGCTGTCCCCAAGTATCGTTTAGAAAAAGTTAATAGGTCTTTTATGGGAATAGGTATAAAAATTTACAATAAGATACCAAAGGATATATTGGAATTACCCTTAAATAAATTCAAAACATCTGTTAAATCATATTTACTGAGCAAAGCCTATTACTCACTAAACGATTACTTGAATGACGAGTGTGCATGGCAATAGTTGTTCATGCACTGAATTTTCATTTAATGTTAGACATAGACACCTATATAAATATACATTGTAAATAAACTGGCTTTAAAAAAAAAAGTAATTCAATTGAGTTTCTTGCCAGTTCTTCTCAATTGGATCTATATACCGAACTGGACGGTAGGGTAAATATAAAATTATAATGTAAAAATTTGACGTTCATAAGCGGCTAAAATGTCCTACATGAATAAATGATTTTTGAATTTTGAATTTTGAATTTTGTACATAGAGTAAATATAATTTCCAATAAGCTTTAGAAAAGACCATAGGTATTATCCTTTATCTATGTTTTAGAATGTAATCTTTGCTATAGTTAATTCTCGATTTGAAAATTAATTATATATATATATACACAATCAACTCATACTCAATCATCTATATAAACAATGTTTTTAATCCTTTGTATAGAATATTCTGTAGCCGAGTAAAAATAAAAACCTATCTGTATCTGCTTTTGACATCTACTTTGAACTGTCACTGTCATATTTTAAAATTTGTTCAAGTCTTTCGCAATTTTTCTGATTTTTGCAGTAATTAGTGCAAAAAAATCAAAACATAACTTTCTTAAAAATTTAAATCTAAATTAAGTAAGCAAAATTACGTAATTTATATTGAAATTCAATATATGAAACATCCGAGTATTATTGTTTCCCTCGAATAACGCAATCAAGGTTTATTTATTTATTTTTTGTTTTTATTTTGCAGATAAATTAATCATTAATTTGTTGTAGAACAGTTGAGCCCCTTAAACTGATCGTCTGGAGCACGATGCACGATGTTGGAGGGTCTGGTGGCTTGGGTTTTGAACAACTACCTTGGGAAGTATGTAGAAAACTTAAACACAGATCAGCTGAGTGTGGCCCTCCTGTCCGGTGAGCCTTCTATTTGAATATTTTTAATCTTATTATTAAAAAAAAAACGCTTAATATTAGTTTTATTATTAAAGATAGTTGTGAAATTGTCAATGTCTGACTATTTTATATTGTTTATGTAATAAAGCAGAATTGTGGCTAGTTATAGCCTAAATATTAATGTAAAATTGTGATCATTAACCTACATTATATATTTATATATAAATATTTGTAATTATTTATATGTAAAAAAAATTTGTAGGCAAAGTGGAATTAGAAAATCTGCCACTAAAGAAAGATGCTCTCCGGCACCTGGGCCTGCCAGTGGAGATAAAGGCAGGCTTCATTGGAAAGGTGCAGCTGCAAGTGCCTGTTCGTCAGATACGCTCCGCTCCATGGCTCATTGCAATAGAAAAGTTGTATTTAGTTGCCACTCCTGTAGATTTGGATGAGGTATGTTATATATGTACAGAATAAGCATATACAAATGTATGTCATCTAAACATGGCAATGAATTTAATTTAGACAAGGATGGTGTATGAAGTACTATAACACTTTTATGCATGTGTGCAATCTAAGACCTTTATATCAATTAAATATTCAGAACGGATCAATTCATATAATAATTCAAGATATATATTTATTCAGCATTTATGTTGAAATCATATGGGCAAAAATTGTCTATCAGATAAATTGATCACTACACTATGAAATATTGAAGTTTTAAACTAATCAAAGATACAACTGTAATTATAATAAAGCAATTATATTATTACTAGCTTTTACCTGCAACCTTCACTTTTGTGTCTGGGATATGTTTACTGATGGGGTTAAAAGTAGCAAATAAAGTTATTAAGGAAATAAAGCTACATCATTTTCCATTCTATATAGTATATGTATATCAAATTCATAGTGATTAGTTAAGACTACTTACTACTACTACTTACAAATTTTTGTTTACAAAATGACTAATTTTTTATTTTGTTTTAAATATTAATTAAAAAATTTATGACTTTATAAGTTTCTATCAGATTGTTTTGTTTTTTCCTTCGCTTTTTTGCTTTGTTGTTTGTTTTGCATATAATTTTGTAACTATATTACCTTTCCTTAAGACACCATGTTTATGGAAACTGGTATGGACTAGCAATACAGTCATTTCGCCTATATAAAGTAACAAGCATACTTTTAGAGTTATTAGAAAGGATTCTCAAAAAAAAAATCAGTGTTTATGGTTTTCCCCATAGTTCAGCCTATGTTACTCTTGTCTTTCACTCATAAACTACTTTAATACATGAACATTGTCCTTGTTATATAATCAAGTATTGGACTGTGGTGCTTCACAGTGCCTTATAAACATTTTTTAATCCATCTGGATGTGATACTGTTAGTGTAAAATTATAATTGAAGAATGATTGTTCATTTATTTATTTATGTATATATTGTTATTGCAACACTTGATTTATTTGATTTCTATACTTATCGAGTTAGTGGTTTTGAAGTATTTCTATTAGTTGTCTATTAGTCATACTGTTGGGGCTACCTAATCACTGTAGCGCGTCACACATGTTTGCACGGGAGCGTACAGATGATTTTTACGCAATACGACGCAAACAAATTGTTTCGCTGTTGGGTAGGGTGCGTGTTAGCTCAAACAGTGTCCTGAAGACAATTGCTGATAAAATGGACTGTCCCATCCTAGAATATTAGGTGGGACAGGTTATCAATGTAAGAGCGTTATGACCGCTCATGTACTGACATAGGTTAAGTCAATTTGTAACTAACAAAATGGGCCTTATGTAGTCTAATTAAATAAATATTATTATTATTATAGTAAAAGAAATTAAATGATACAGTGTACCTAGGCCAGTAAACTTTATTTATTTATTATTTCAACATTCTCACAGTGACACAGTGAGGTAATTGATTAGGCTATATGACACTTTTAGTTGATTGATAGTAAAAGTTTGGTATTATCATATATTTTGAACTTTTTTTATATTAATAAGTGAATCATTGTGTGATGTTCTAAATTAGATTTAACTAAATACGTTTTAACTATGACAAGATTGTGATCATGAACTTTGAACCCTTATCTTTGTGGTTAATAAGGTTATTCTTATAATTTGAATATAAATGAATAAAGACCCACAGCACAAAAAATATTGTGGTGACTCATGTCTATTTATTTTATTAAGATTACTAATTTTGCCAGCTACTTCATATTAAGAAGCAACAAACTCATTTTCACATTTATAATATTAGTTGGGATGTAACACTGTGATCCATAAATTGTGTAAAGGTAATGTACAAGTATGCTTTTGTTATTAAATATTAATTTGTGTGTGTGTGTGCGTGTGCGGGTGTGCGTGCGAGTGCGCGAGCGTGTGTGTGTGCATGCGTGCTTGCGTGCGTGTGTACGTGCTTACGTGCGTTTGTGTGTGTATGTGTGCTAATATATACATACATATTTTTTTTAAATAAAAAAGGTGGTTATTACTAAACACTTTCATAATATTAATAATAAGTAGTAATTTGGCGCAAAAATATAAAAAAAAATACTTGCGGTATTGATACATACTGCTAGTAGATGGAAGCAGACAGCAACTTTTTGTTTTATACTATTCAACTATAGTAAAAAATGTTGAGTACTGTTGTATAATTTACAGTGGGACAGTGTAGTAGAAGCAAATATAGCGCACGAGCGCAAGGTAGCGCTGCTGGATGCGCTGGAGGCGCAGTGGCGCGCGGAGCACGAGGCCAACGACGCGGGCTACTACGCCACATCCTATTCCTCGTGGCTCAGCTACGGCACTGGGCTGCTGGCCAACATTGTGGAGAATCTGCAGGTATTGACATGAACATTTGAATGGGTTCTGAGGTTTGAAGGGCAGACTTTAATGGGGGTCCTGGGTTTGGGGTCAGGTGTTATAAAAAGTTCCAAATCTGGTACCTATTGTCCGAGATACAGTGTTTAATGACAAATATTGACAGTATTGCTAAGAAACTAATGATAATTAAAAAGCTTGTAACTTACTTATTTTTTTAATAAAAAATTCAGGCCAGCCTATATTAAAATATTGTTTTTCTTCGTTCCAGTTGACATTAAACGATGTACACATTCGTTACGAGGATGCCCTCACGTGTGCGCCGAGCTCGTTTGCCTGCGGGCTCACAGTGGAATCGCTCACAGCAGAGTCCTGCGACTCGGACTGGCAGCGGGGGTTCACTCTGCTCTCCGACCCAGACGGCTGCTCATTCAAGTTGCTCGAGCTGCAAAAATTGGCAATGTACTGGGATCCTATGCACGTGCCCAGTGGAATGTTCTGCCATTGTACCATTACCGAATTGACGGTTAGTGTCGGTCTCGAAGTTAAATTATTACCGTTTGGTTGCATACAATAACTTATTACAGAATGGACTGTGATCGTAATGTATGTGCGTGGTCAGGAGCGCATGTCGCAGACGTGGAAGGGCCAGCACCGGTACCTGGTGCCGCCGGCGTCGGCCCGCGCCCGCGTGCGGCGCGAGCGCACCGAGCAGCCGCTGCGCTCGCGCCTGCGCCCGCGCCTCGCCTGCCACCTCACGCTCGACACCGTGCTGCTCACCCTCACGCAGGTAACGCCGCTGGACCCGTCTGGTGGATACTGCTTATGAACATAAATGGTGTCGTCACTTTCGCAGATAACACACATTTTTATTTTTACTCGAAATAAAAAAATCAATCCCCGGGATTACTATCGTCTTTCGACTAATAATTGTACTGAGTACCGATTAACTGGTTTTTCACGATTTCATTTATCACGAGGTTATCAATAAAAAAGCTTAACCCGCGTAGCGATAGAGGCATCTGCTTTTAGCCGGCCGGCCATAGCCGGCTCATAGGTGTCAGTAGATGTGATGATGTCGGCTGGGTCCGCAGCGGCAGTACAGCGAGGCGGTGGGCTGCTGGCGCGGGTTGGAGGCCGTGGCGCGGGTGCGCGGCGTGCGGGGCGCGCGGCCCGGCGTGCCCGTGCGCGGCCACGCGCGCGCCTGGTGGCTGTACGCGCTCACCGCGCACGCGCCGCACCACCGCTGTGAGTACGCCCGCCCACGTATGCACACGTACACGCACACGCACACGCACACGCACACGCACACGCACTCCCATCCGCACTTGTACCCGCACACGCGCACGCGCACACGCACACACAAACGCGCGCATACGCACACTACACGCTCACGCTTGGTGGTTGTACGCGCTCGACGCACACCACTACTTCGACATATACATATACATACATTTGCTACGCATCTGTTGGCTTTGTATGACAGTATTCCAACACAGTGATTGTATTGTAGGGACAGCTCCTAAACCTACTTGGGAATCCTGCTTGGAAGAGTCTCGTAAAATTCGTCAGTACGTGGACATCTGCCTGAGCATGCTCAGCAACCCGACCGCTACGCTGCCGCCGGACAAGAAACAGTGCAAGGACGAGTTCGAGTGGAAGACTCCCTTGCACATATTGAAGCCGTTACGGGAAGTAAGTCATTGTTATTGTAGGCAACAAAAATTTATAGTATTATATAACATTCTATAGCAAAAAGATCATGGACAGATCTTTATCTTTAGTTATTGAAGAACTGTTTCCTTCTGTTATTTTTATTTTGTTGTTCTAAAGGTGGCGATGCGTAAAGTACCCAAAGCGACGCCAGTATCGACCCCCGAAATACCTAGCAGCTCGGGGCGGAGCATGCTGGTGCACTGGTTCCCACAGTGGTGGGGTTGGTACGGCGGCTCGACGGCCGCCCCGGCACCTCCCCCCGCCCCCACCGACGCCCCCGCTACCACATCTGACCCTGTGCCCGAGCTCGAGGAGGAGATCCTCGATGTCATTGCCGATTCCCTCGAGAACAACACGCTACTGAAAAGAGATACAGTGTTTGGCAAGTTCGAGTTCGTCCTGAACAAAGGCAGTTTCTTCTTGTGCAAGGACAACGACAGTGACAATGATACGTGAGTGTTTTTACATATAGTTACCGTTAAGGTGTGCCAAGTTGTAGCTACTGTCACGATATCCTGTGGTCGACAGGCGCTGCCGGCCGCCGGCGGAAGGTGGCGCGGCGGAGGGCGGCGCGGGGCTGGAGCTGCAGTTCTGGAGCGTGATGGCGCGCGTGGAGTCGCGGCCTCGCGGCGGCTCGCACGCGCTGCACGTGTCGCTGGGCGAGCTGCGGCTGCGGGACCGCCTCACGCCCGCCACGCTCTTCCCCGTGCTGGTCGCGCCGCAGGTACACCGCCTCCTGCCTCCATTTTTCCACTCTATCGTTTAGATTTTGGACCCAAAACTTAATATTACGATTTTCTTTGCAGGGTATGATCCGCGACGGCCTGAGCGCTATGAACGCAACGGCGAGCACTATGTCGTGGTGCCGCGCCCAGGTGACGCCTTCCTCCTCGTATCACCCGCACCAGCAACACGATGCCGCCGAGCCTCTTTTCCAACTCACATACGAGAAAAAGCCATTTGGACTTAATTGTGATTACAAGTAAGTTAATTGTTGCTAAAATACCATCTTCCGCACGAGGATACAAGCTCTAGGTCATCAAGGCTTTATTGTTCCTGGGGTGAAGACGAACACCTCGAGTGTAGGCTCCCCCCAGATATATAACGGATCGTGGGATCGATCCACGACTGATATTTGTACTGCATGTATTTGTAGGCTGTGGGTGAAGTCCGGCTCGCTGGAGGTGGTGTGGTGCGCGGCGGCGGCGCGCTGGGTGCGCGAGCTGGTGTGCGCGCCGTGGGCGGACGGCGGCGGTGGCGGCGGGGGCGGCGGCGGCGGCGGCGGCGGCGGCGGCGGCGGCAGCGGGGAGGAGGACGGCGGCGGGGAGGGGGGACCCGCCTACCACCACGTGCGCGACTCCACCAAGGCGCGCCTGCTGGGACACTGGAACGACATCATGCGCGCTCACACGGTAACAGTATACCACTTTTTTATGTTATGTGTTTTATTGTACAGTGCTGTCATTTTGTTAAAAATACAATAAATACATGATGGCATATTCACGTAGCGAAGGTATTTCAGTGTTAACTGTTATGTTAACTTTATATTTGTTACTAATGCTAGCAGGAAAAAAGCCCATACATATATTTTTTTAAGTCTTTAATTTACAAAATTTTAAGCATATAAATGTATACAGGCGCCAAAAATAGACACATGTACTCAACGTCTTTTCCTCCTTACAAAACTTGAGACTACACAAAAACTATAAACGATTATACTGTCTTCTGCTGTGTAATAACACTAAATTTTATCACAATTCCTTCACTGTTTCTAGCATTAGGTTATGGAATTCATTGCCTGTTGTTATTAGAAGTACAAAATCCATTGATGCTTTCAAACGACAAGTGAAAGATTATCTTTTCTCTATCTGATTTTTTCTTCATTTAAAAAATTGGCATTCTTTATTTATGTATTTATATAATTATTTATTTTATGATAGTTTGTTTTCCTTGTGCCTATAATTATTAATATGTATCCTAGTATTGGGTACATATTTAACATATATGCATGGGATTATATAATTTTGTTTGATTGATATGTATATGTATGTGATTGTGTATATATGTGTGTATATATGTATATAATTTTTATATATTTTTAATCTGCAAAAGATGCTTTTTTAATTATAAAGCACTATTATACCTACTTGTACAACAATTAGTCCATTACCTTAAGGTTGTCTTGAAAAGATTGCTCTCAGCAATAAGACCGCCTTACTGTACTTATACAATTGTATCGTTGTGTTTGTAAATTGTCTTGTTTATTTCCTATATTGTATAATGCAAATAAAGTATACTTATTCATTCATTCAACTACTTTAATATATGTGTGATAAGGTCGATAATAGCTCAGTACTTGACTGTTTCGCAGGGCGAGCGGCGGTCGTGGCAGGTGGAGCTGGACGTGTGGGCACCGCAGCTGTTAGTGGTAGAGCAGCTGTGCGACCGCGACGCGGCCGTGCTTGCCGTCGACTTCGGCCGCCTGCGCCTGCACAATTTGCCGCTGCATTCCGCCCCCGCCTCCGAACCCGCTCCCGCACCCGCCGCCTCCGCTCCTGCCTCTGATACACTGGACGATGAAGGTATTGTGACCCTATATTATCCCTCACTGGTACCCTGCCAGTGTACACCGTATATACAGCGCAGACGGCGCGATCTTTACGTTTTTATCCATTGCCTGGCGTGTCAGCAGAGCTGTTCATGACGCCGTGCTCGACTCCGCCGGGCAGCCTGCTGTCGCCGGCGTCGCCGCCGTTGCTGCCGCACCAGCCGCACCAGCCATTGCACCTCCACCCGATCGACCCAGCGCACTTGCACGACAGTCTTTACGACAGGTTGTCACTTTACTACTACCTATTTTAACTAAGTACTAATGTGATAGTTGGTTTCATCCGGCTCGAAGGACTAAACCCGTGCAGAACGTAGTGATTAACCCACCATTTCATCTTCACAAATTAGAAAAAAAAACGTGCCATTTAATCTTACCTGTTGCCTAGTGCGCAAATTATTCTAATTAGCATCATATAAAAAGTCAAGCAACGAGCATCTGGAAACACAATCCAGGATAGCCAAAACAGCGTATTTTTAGAATTACCTAAATAAAAAAAAGTATGACTCTATAAATACAAAGAACAGTAGAAAGAGACTCAAACCAGAGTTAAAACTATAGTTGGTAACAGTTCATAGAGATGTCATATGGCCGTATCTCCTGAAAGAGGACGCGTGTAACAGAACAAATGACATCACATGATTAGGAACACTGACCTCTGAAAAGGCAAGACGGAAGAAGTAGAAATTTTCTTAATTGACCTGACCGAGAACCGAGTCCCTGACTTCATTTTCGCAGGTTACCGCACCTGTATATTAATATAGGCTATGATCCATATGTCAAATTTTATTCAAATTTGTTTAGCCATTTCGCTATGGCGGTCCCGGCGTAGAATGGGTCACCCCTTCCTTCCCCGTGGGTGTCGTAAGAGGCGACTAAGCTTATGCTGGAGATATGGGCAGCAGCGTCCCTCTTAAAACATATATAAAAGCTTAACTGCGGTTGCCAACCCTCCTGCTAATGCTAGCAAATACTGGCAAAACTCCCCTTACGGAGAAGGCTCATGTTTAGCAGTGGACAGTTAAGGGCTGAAATAATAATGATGTTTAACCATTTGGTTTAATCAAACAACGAAGTACTAGTTCTGTATTTATGGTGAAGCAGCCAATTGACAAGTTGTAATACCGACTAAACCGTCTTTCAAAAAAAGCGTTCACGCTTACTTTTTATCTTTATTCGAGCAGTAAGTGCTTTTCTTTTTTCATGTATAATATAGTATATATCATATATGTGTAAGTATATTTGTTATTCATATATATTTATTCGTTTATATATGTAATTTTAGTATGTATGTATATCAATAATTACTAGTACCGCATTCGAGTATTCTGACACTTCCCTATGGTTGACTGGGAGAGAATGCTTTTAGCATTAAGTCCGCCATGTACACATATATGTACTAATGAATAAATAAATAAATAATTTGGTTTACAGATATAAGATAGAACTGAGCGATCTACAGATACTAGTGGGCCGCACGCGCGACAACTGGAAGTATGCGCACACGAAAAGCACGTCCCCGCTGCACCTCGTTGACAGATTCAGTATATCGCTTCAGGTTGTATATGAACTAGAATTTATTTATATTTCACCATTACTAAACAACTGACAATAAGCTACCTATATATAACACAATCCTTAAACCGGTCTATTTATTTGTTTTTATGCCATGATGCGAAAAAGGTGTGCATCCCTGGTGCGCAGAGTACGTGCCAGCACCAACAGCATCCTGAGTATGATAGCAAGCAGGCTGGACTGTGTGTATGTTAATCACTGCTGCGCAATTTTCAATGGAATTTCGCAGCGGTGATTATCTGTATACTGCTTAATATATTGTATGTGTGTATGTGTGTGTATGTGTATTGTGTATGTACATTAACTAACATTAGTTTTTAAGAATATTGTTACTAATAAATATTTAATGGACCAAAAAGTCTGAAATAAAAATTATTATTATTATGCATTATTATTATAATAATGCACACATAACAAATTATAACCACGTTAGGTTTATATATTAGGTAATTATGGTTTTTATACTAGGCTACAATTCAAAAACACGTGTACACAGCATGATTAACATTTGGACATAACATTTCAATTTCGATACGTGAAAGACATAATAATTAGTAAACATTACATATACAATTTACATTAAATGAAATTTATACCATAAAACTATCACCACACAAGAAAAACAGACCATTATATGACCAGTATATGACCTATGGGCTTCTATTGTGGGATTTTGCAAGTGCTTCTAACATAAATAAAATTCAAAGAACCCAGAACTATAACTTAAAGCTAAAATGTAATGCAGGGTGCAGGGTTTATTCGTAATACAGAGGTTCATGTGATTCTTCAAATCAAGTCTGTTAAGGTAAAAATCTTAAACATCTGTGGAAAGTATACAATTAAGCTGGATTATATTTATTATAATTATCCATATAAATTTGCGGGGAAATTGGCGTTACTGGATTGTGTGGCACGCTAGTTCAAACATATCTCTTCAGTTGCAAATACTGAACTTCAATAACCTGGCATAAACTGGCCGATGGAAGAATTTTATAAAGGTGGAATCTCAAAAGAGAATCAAATCCATACCACATGTGCTGTCATATCTGCTCATAGTAAGGAAAAGTCTAATTGCATGATAAAAAAAAAAAAACTAAAGTCTCTTCCGTGGTTGACGAGGTTGTATTTATACGTTAGGATAAGTTTATGGGATGTCGGTAGGGGCCGCCCTAGACGGACGTATGTCGACCAAATAGGCGACGTGCTGAAGAAGGGCCAAATTAAAAGTACCCGTAACCGGCAAGCGTGTATGACAAGATTGATGAATGTGGAGGAAGCGAAAGAGGTTTGTTTGAATCGAAGCATTTGACGTTCCATTGTCTCTGCCTACCCTGATGGGAGACAGGCGTGACAGATATGTATGTATGTATGATAAGTTTAGTTACGTTTGTTGTTTAGATTTTTTTTTTTACAACGCAGGGGGCAAACGAGCATGCGGCTCACCTGATGGTAAGTGACTACCGCCGCCCATGGTCACCCACAACACCTACGGCATTGCAGGTGTGCTGCCGGCCTTTAAAAAGGAATATACTCTTTTCTTGAAGGTTATGTTGTCGTATCGGTTCGGAAATACTGCTGCTGGAAGTTGATTCCAAGAGTGGTTGTTAGTTAGGATAGTTCAATGTAGGGTTTTCGAGTAACTCGGAAGCTGGTTGACGGCAAGGAATGTTCCTAGTGACAGGTCCGTGTTTAATAAATAAATAAATGCAACGCCAGGCGGAGCGGCGCGTGGTGGCGACGAGCGACCCGCAGTACCCGGCGGCCACGCTGCGCGGCTCGCTGCCGGCGCTCGTGGCGCACCTGGCCGACCACAAGCTGGCCGCCGTGCGCGCCGTCGCCGCCGGCCTCGTGCCGCCCTCCCACCACCACCACCACCACCAGCACCGGTGAGGCAGCGGAGCCGGGGCGTCCGTGTGTCCGTACTGTGCTTTTGAACATCAGCGTCACATTTTAACGCACATGCCACATAATTGAGTGACATCATTTTGGTGCTTTACTTTATCTTTTTTTACTTATTTTTGGTTATTGTACCTCTTGTAATTGTAAAAAAATGTGAAATTTAAGCAAAATATAAATATTTATTTTATTCCTTGTTAATTTAGTACTATTACTTATACTGTGCTATTACTGAAATTTTATACTCATTTTTTTATACAACTTAGAATGGCAAACAAGCTGACGGCTCACCTGATGGAAAGTGGTAACCGTCGCCTATAGACATGAGCAGTACCATGGACATAACAGTACACACACATACTGTTTTACCCATGATACCCCCCATGCGTTGCCATTCCTGAGGATTCAGGTGTTATTCCTCTGTACCCTGTAAATTCACGCCATATCCCACCCTTCAAACCGAAACACGGCCATGCAAACACAACTGCTTCACGGTAGAAACACGAATGGGACAGAGGTACCAAAGCAATCGACTTTTGTATAAAGTCTCTCTCTGGTCTCCCTCTCATATTAGACATGTGCGCACATATTTTTAAGTATGAAAATACAATTTTTTATAATCATGAAATCGTCAGTCTGAAATCTGAAGTCTCTCTTGAATCATATTAACTAGTACAGTGATGTAGATGAACTATGTTCCACGTGCAGGAGTGGCGAGGGTCAGCCGGAGGAGCAGTGGCGGGCGGCCCCGGACGAGGACACCAGCGCCAGCTTGGAGACCGAGCGCTCCGACCCCTCCGGACACCACAACACCAAGCTGTTCGTGCTGCAGTTCGCGATCGACCAGATGTCGCTAGAGGTATTACAAGTGCTGCGCAGATGATGTACATATATATATATATATATATATATAATATATATATTATGCACGTCGAATGTTTCTCTTTAGGTAAAAGGTGGGATTTGTATTTTCAGGCAAAGAAGTAGATAAAAAATACGTACTACATATACTAGTACTAGTATATTTGTTATAAAAAGGATTGTGTGTAAATGTTTTTTTTTAATGGATTATAATAAAATGGTAACCCCGCCTGCGCTAACGTTATACGCTGGTGGGGCACTAGGGAGGGATGACAGATAAATGAGGATGAAAGGGCAAATGAGTTGGCCATCGTGACGAATAGAGGTGGAGGTGGAGGTGCAGGTGGGCGGCGGTGCAGGTGGTGAGGCGGGCGTGCGCGTGCGCAGGTGCAGTCGCGCGGGCGCAGCGTGGCCGAGGTGCAGGTGTGCGGCGTGCGCGCGGCGCTGGCGGCGCGGCCCGGCGACGCGTCGCTGGCGCTGTCCGTGCACTCGCTGCTGCTGGTCGACGCGCTGCAGACCTACGGGCCCGACTTCGAGCTGCTCGTCGCCAGCCACCGCCACGTCGGGTACCGCTACCAATATATACCTTGTGCATACGCATACGCATACGCATCGCATGCAATCTGCTGGCGCAGTTGCATGCATTTATTCACAGATGTCGTTGTGTTAAATCTTGTATTCTACTTGCCCATATTTCGCTGAGCGAGATCTGACATCTATTTATAAGAGATAAAATATGGGCGATGAGCCTGTCATGTTGTAAGTTTCCTACCATCATTTGTATTAATTTATTATCTTTGATTTCCGTCTTAATTTATTTTTTATTTTTAAATAAATAACTGAATTAACCCTGATTATTGTTAACCACGCCTTCACTAATATCAGTTTCTTTATTTGAATCTAATTGACCAACTGTTATTGACACCGATCGTGGGGGAGAAAGGGATTGTTAGTAATGGAGACTGAAAATCCCATTGCTAGCAATATACCCAACCAGGTCGACCTCCTCGCGGTTCTCCCTGGAAACTATCATGGTTAATTCCTGATAAATTCATCATGATGGGCTAACTGGCCTGTTTTCATTCTCATCTATCACCCTTCACTGGTGCTCCGCCAGCGTATTCCGTTAGCGCAGGCGGGGTTACCATACCATTTTCACCCATCAAAAAAAAAGTACCGATCGTGTGTGAGATCGTGTTGTCCGTGGACAGTCATAGTAACAACGATATGATGGTTGGTCGCAGCATGGACACGATGTCGGGCAGCATCCGCGGCTCGGAGCCGACGTCGCCGCGGTCGCCCACGTCGCCCACGTCGCCCACGTCTCCCACGTCGCCCACGTCGCTGGCCTCGCCGCCGCCCGCGCCGCTGCACCCGCACGCGCTCAACCACGCGCTACACTCGCTCACGTACGCCGGCGCCGCTCACAGTACGTACCTATTGTAACTTTGTTTTTTATTATCTCAATGATATATTAAAATTCCCCAAGTTATTATTTATTTGCCTTCAGTGTAGGTAAATAAAATTAGCTTTACGCTATAGATAGTCTTTTATTAATACAAATGAATTACAGTCTAACAAATAACAATTTCAGTCTATCAATAGTTCCATACTTAAATACACAATTCTTAATACATATTACACTCGACTGTATAAATTTATATAAATTCTTATAGAACAAGAAATATAAACGACTAGTGGGCCTTCTTGCCCCATCATACCACTCACAGGTTATGAAATGAGTTTCCTGCCGAAGTTTTCCCAAGAAACTACAGCATGGGGTTCTTCAAAAAGGAGTTAAAGAGGTTTCTTCAGGGTCGGCAACGCGCGCGTAATACCTCTGGTATTGCAGGCGTTCATAGGCTACAGTAACCGCTTACCATCAGGCGGGCCGTATGTTTGTTTGCCACCTCAGTGGTATATAAAAAAAATACTCATAGTATTTATAAAATAAAATTAGTGGTTTAGTTCTCTAAATATTTTGTAATGACATACAAAATGTATGACATTTAGAGTAGTAAATAAGATTTCACTTCCACTACAACAAAACAATCAAGAACGCATTTGTTCTAAAGAGAAATGAATCGATATAGAAAATTGTATCTAGAACGTTATTGTTATGCAGAATTTGAAGAGGGGGGCCGCACTAGTCCCGGCCTTCGTTGGCCCGGCAGTTCGAGCCATGCCGGCGGGGCCGGGCTGGGATGGGGCTCGAGCAACAGAGACGGACCAGGGTGGACCGCGGGCGCCGCCTGGGCCGCGCCCGGCCTCGTCGACTCGGAGGCGCTCATCGCTGTTGAACTCTGCTTCGTGAAGGGAGAAGAGGAGGACCTCAGGATTGCCAACATACTCTTCAACAACCTTGATATAATTGGTGAGTATATTTTTTTTTAATTGATGATAATGGAATGGTAGCCCCACCCGCGCTATCGATATATACCGGCGGGGCACAAGTGAAGGATGATAGGTAAAGATGAAGTAGGTCAGTTAGCCCATCGTGAGGAATTCAACAAGAATTGTTCACGATGGTTCCAGGGGGAACCACGTGGAGGTCGACCTAATAGGGCATATTGCTAGCAATGGGGCTGTCAAACTCCATTGCTAACAATCCCTTTCCCCCCTGGTGAGTATATTTACTCACTCATCACTGGTAGAGTCACAGTAAAGGCCTTTGGGTGTAATGCAGTCCAGTGGTTTATCAGTATCGTATGTTTATTTATTAACTCTTTATTGCATCACTTTAAAAATAATACAAATATATATGTAAAGAATCGTACATGATGTTACATATATTGCAATGATTTCTATAATGATTTGCAGCGAATCAAGAAACGATAGTGGAGCTAATCGGGTTCGCGCAACGCGTTATGGGCCCAAAGAAAGCGGCGGGCGAGCCTCGGCCGGCTGCCTCCCCCGCCGCCGCCGCCGCCGCCGCCGCCGCCGCCGCCGCCGCCGCCGCCGCCGCCGCCGCCGCCGCACCGACCAGCGCCAGCCTGCTGTCGCTGCCAGTCGCGCCCCGCCAGCAGGTGATACATACTGCAAATCTCAACGCGAACACGTGTCATAATGTTTGTTCATTTGAAACCGTTCAAATTTAATGTTTTTTATTACATTTTGTTTGCTTTAACTTGAGAGATGGGATAGTTTTTATAGGAAGATAAAGATAAAGATAAATTTATTTGCAAACATGTGTACATAGTAAGTGCAAAGACATACTTGTTGTTCATTGTAGCATTTGTATAGTCCTAACATGTTTTGCTAACATTAGCGTGCAAAATATTATTTCAAGGACAGTGGCAATTTCAAGTGCCTTACAAAGCAAATCCATGCCTTCTATCTATCCATGCCTTACAAAACATATTAATATTTTGTGAAGATTAGATATAAACTAAATAAAAAGTCAAATGGAATTACAATGTCAATAGCAAATGTCGAAAGAGAAACATATTAAAGGTTGTCATTTAAAAATTCGTCAATATTATAATAACATTTGTTAATCAGTAGCATTTTCAGTTTTTTCCGGAAAGATATAACAATGTTCGTCTAGTCGGCTATTATGTTATTATTTATCTAAACTTGTGCAGAAGTCGGTTCGGACGGAGATCACGTTCGACTTCCACCGCCTGGGGGTGCTGCTGCTGCGCGCCGCGGTGCACGACGGCAACCTCGTGGCGAGGAAGATCGCCACCGCCACCGTCGCCGAGGCCAAGATACAGGCCACCCTCGGTTAGCAAGCACTCGTACCTGTTCACAACCTCCATATACATTCTTCTGTGATGGTCTTATCCAATAAATCGATTAATATGTCCTAAATATATGATATTACAAGTAAAACGTGCTGTGAAGCTTGAATCAGTTTATGTCATGTTAATATTAAGTCCTACACTACCTAGTATACATTACGTATGTATGTATGTACCTGCACTATGATACATTATTATTTAAGACGCCTTGTGTGCTTCTGCATAGTATGGGCCACTCATTTCTTTCCTATATGTGTCGTAGGAGGAGACTAAGCGAGCTTATATTGCAGGGATGGGCAGCAGTGTCCTTCTTATAAAATCCTCAAATTCTTAACTGCAGTTCCCAACCCGGCTGCCATAGTTGGGTATATTGATCCATGGTACTGCTCATGTCTATAAGCGATGATCATCACTTTCCATAAGGTGGGCCGTCAGCTTGTTTGCCATTCGGAGTGGCATAAAAAAAGTAGTTGTGATACTTGTCGCAAACATAATATGATTCGCGCACATGTGTGTGTGTGCGTGCGTTGTGATGAGCGTTGTGGTGTGGTGGTGGTGTGCGGCTGCAGACGGGTGCAGCGTGGAGGCGGAGGGCTCGCTGGGCGGCGTGCAGGTGGTGTCGCTGTGCGACGGCGCCGGCCTGCACACGCGCGTGCTGTCCGCCGGCCGTGCCCACCACCCGCAGCAGCCGCAGCACCCGCAGCACGACGCCGCCGCCGACGACGAGAAGGCGCTGCTCTTCCACGTCACCAGGAGGCTCGACACGCCGGAGGGCGCCGAAACACCAGGTGTCCATTTAACTATTGACGTTTTCCCTACACATACTGTATGAGATTCTTCCAAAACGACGTATTAAAGTTTCAACAGGGTCGGCATACCTTAGTGTCGCAGCCATCCATAGAGTATAATGACTGTTTACTATCATGTTTGTTTGCTACTTTAGTGGTATAAAAAAAGCTAGTTGCTGTCTGCTATTTCCGCTTTTTATAACTTAATTTCATAGTAAAATCACTGCAATAAAAAAAGCTTTCTTAAACATGATGTCGGTGTTGTGCAAACGCCTTGTCAAGCGCCAAATGCTTCTGGCTACCCTGTCTGTGGTGGGCGAACTTTTTTAATAGGGAGCCGCAAAGTTTAAGAAATTCTAGATGTGGGCCAGAATTATAGAAATAATGCATTTTGTGTTAAAGCTTTTAATCATAATATTATAAAAACATTTCAACATTACACATGAATGTTACAAATTACCTTTTACCTTAAATAATAATTAATTTGACTTTTAAGTCGAAGGCCCTACCATGGTAGACGTGTGGGGTGGGACATATGGCATTGTATCTGATTTTCCATAATATTTTCGAACTTACTAGAAGGAGACTTTGTACAAAAGTCGATTGCTTGAGTACCTCTGTCCCATTCGTGTTTCAACCGTGAAGCAGTTGTGTTTGCATGGCTGTGTTTCGGTTTGAAGGGTGGGATATGGCGTGAATTTACTGGGTACAGAGGAATAACACCTGAGTCCTCAGGAATGGCAACGCATGGGGGGTATCATGGGCGAAACAGTATACTCTGTTATGTCTATGGTACTGCTCATGTGTATAGGCGACGGTTACCACTTTTCATCAGGTGGGCCGTCAGCTTGTTTGCCATTCTAAGTTGTATAAAAAAAAAAGAACTACGCGGCTAGTTTAGCATCACCTATAGGTTATGCATCTATTATTCTACTAAGGAGAATCTATATTTCTCGATCGTCAAAACGTAATTATAGGGGGCCATATACTGTCCATGTCGATGGACCTTCGGCGGGCCGTACTTTGCCCATCACTAGTCTAGAGCATACTTGAGCGATGATGTAACGTGCGCGACGTGGCAGTGGTGGCGGCGAGCGTGTCGGTGCGCGTGGCCAGCGTGTGGTACACGCACTCGGGCCCGCTGCTGCGCGAGCTGCGCTCCTGCCTCACCGAGTTCAAGCAGTACCTCGCCGACCTGGCGCGCTCCATCCGCGCCGCCGCCGCCGACATGGCCATCGGCCTCGTGCACCCCACCACCGCCGCCGCCGCCGCCGCCGCCAGGTACGCTCGCCGGACATGTACGTGAACCACTCGCTCGGCGATCAATTATATCCTGTTGGAACTTGCGGGTCTACCATGAAATAAAATTCCGAAGTTTCGGACTTCATTTTGTGTTTTCTTTCATAACTATTACAGCGTTTAGCGTTCCATTGTTTCTGCCTACCCTAATGGGAGACAGGCGTGACAGATATGTATGTATGTATGTCCTATTACAGCCCAGTAAATGGAGCTTAACATTTCGTTCGTCATAAATCCTCCCATAAAATTCCAAGGGAATAATATTTTTTATGTTTTTAAACGGTAAGTATTATGTAATTTAAACATCAAATTTATGTTTCGTTAGGCTCCGAAATTTCGCAAAATATTTCATGGTAGGTCCTCTGATTTCACGGGGAGATTTCCACCATCCACCACCTTACCAAAAGGCATAGTAACAGAATAGCAACCGTCGACGTATGCACGTGGGAGCTTGGCTTGCAAGCATCGCAGTAAGTAAGCTGGCATGGAGCGACAGTGCAGGCCGTGCCAACTGTTACTTTAGTACAGACGATTAATGCAGTAGTTAATCAAAAGACCTGTGTACGTGGGATACTCAGAAAGTTTTGCGACACTAAAAAAATGTTCTATAGGTAAATATATTTTTATTACACCTTTTCAAAGTACTCTCCATCAGCCTCTATACGAAGTTTCATGCGTCTGAACCAGTTTTAGAAACACTTTCCAGTCCGCCGCAGACACCTCGTTTACAGCCTGCTCGAACGCTAAGAGCGCATCATCCGGCGACTAAAATTGTATTTCTTTGAGCTGATTTTTTATTTTTGGGAATAAGAAGTCACACGGTGCTAGGTCAGGGCTGTAAGGAGGGTGACACAGGAGTTTGACCGGTGTGCTATCTAGGAAACCCCTCGTTTTGATTGCGGTGTGGGCGGGCGCATTATCGTGGTGGAACAGCCCGCGGAGCCCTGTGGTTGATCGCTTGTTACTCACAACAGAGAAAACCTGCCAAGCATTTGGTAGTATACCATTCGGCGTTAATGCTTCTTTGGTTTCGTAAAGGAATTGACACCAAGTAGCCAGTCAAATTGAAAAAGCTCGCAATAAAAATCTTCCCCCCGCTTCTAGGTCGCTACTTTGGTAGGCGTTGATTCGTTTTGAAACTGTTTCTGGATCGTATTGATAAATCCAGGATTCATCACCTGTAACGATGTCGTAAACATGATTTGTCATAATTTGTCTATCATATCATGGTACCATTCCACCTTTGCCTGCTTCTAAACATTGGTGAGGTTGTGCGGCACCCAGCGTGAAACTATCCTCCGCACCCATGAAACTATCCTCCACAGGGGGCAAACCCATAGATGACTACCGCCGCCCATGGTCACCCACAACACCTACGGCATTGCAGGTGTGCTGCCGGCCTTTTAAAAAGGAATATCATGAAGGCTTCCTGATCCAATCTGCAGTATATGCTGAATCTCTTGGCATGTAACTCGTCTATTGTTTTGGATAAAATTTTTCACTGCTAGCACGTTTTCTTCCGTAACAGCCGTCAAAGGGCGACCACTTCTTTCTTCATCCCCCAAAGTTAGTCAACCGCTCTTAAATTAATTATACCAACGATACACGGTTGCCTTAGAAGGACCTTCATCCATGAATGCCATTTGAGTTGCCATTTATCGCACTATTCGTTCGGTTTCAGGCGACACTTAAAATAGTAAAAAATCATAGCGCGAAAATGTTCTCGACGCGCGAAAATGGATTTATTTTTCAACGAGATACGGTAATTTTAATTAGCTCGCAAAAAATGTGGAGGGAAGTTTTGAATTTAGAACGTACCTATTTTTACTTATAAGTAATCATATTTTTACATATTTTCTGGCCAGTCTCATATACGTAAAAATTTTCTCGCAATACTTTCTGAGTGACATGGTATGTCCTGTGCCGCAGGGGCGAGTCCCTGTACGCGAACCCGAAGCTATCGCAGTCGACGGAGGGCGTGTCGCCGCGCAGGCGCACCACCAGCATGGGCTGCTCGCTCGACGACTCTACCGACCTCATGTCCGACAATATCATACTCAGGTGTGCCACCACTGACACGTGTACTTGTTATAGTAACTTGGGATTTATTATGAATGCTTCTACAGTGTCGATGCCAACCAATATTTTACAAATAAAACGAGCTGTCCTGCATATAGACACAAAAAGTATAGATAAGGCAGTTTGTAAATGTGTCAAATTTTTAAAATTTGTAATAAGTTTCCTGACCATATGTCAATTTTGGCGCCGAAGAGTCGATGGTGATTTTGCAATTGGCGCATGGACGCAATATTAGTTGCAATTTTGGTCGCCGATAATTTATTAGCTATTTCAACTAGATTGATAGCAATTTTCTAACAATTTTACCTGCTTGTCGCAAAACAACTATGTTTTGTAAGGCTGTACTCTGTTTGAAAGGTGAGATATAGTAGTGAAGTTGTAGGTCATGGAAGAATAACATCATAGTCCTTACGAATGCCAATGTGTGATTATATTAGTTTTTACTCACGACATCGTCCACATAAATTTATAATATCATTTTTTTACCGGTGGGCCGCTAGTTTGTTTGTTTCGTACCAGATATGTAAACACCTATGTGGACAGGGTTGTATTATTTTTTAGCAACTAGTTTTTCTTTGTTAATGGTAGCCACTGTACCTACAAACGGGCTGCGCGCCTGTTTGTGGCGACTGTGGTATGTGATGTGTGATGGTCGCGCGTGTTGTGCAGTGCTCACGTGGAAGTGCAGTCGCCGGTGGTGGTGCTGGCGCGGTCGCCGCTGAGCGGCGAGGCGCTGGTGGCGCGGCTGGGCCGCATGAGCCTGCAGCTGGCGCCCGCGCCGCCGCGCCGCGCCGCGCTGCGCGTGCGCCTGCGCGACATCTCGCTCGTCTCCGTACGTCACTCTCTTACTCATGCTCACACTGCCACGCGCGGCGCTGGTGGCGCTGAATATATATATAAAAAAAAAGAAATTAAACTAGTATTGACTGTATTATAAGTTACGAAAATCGATCTATAGTGTGAATTGGTTTACTGAGGGAAAAAGTGAGAGTCTATAGTGAGGAGTGTGTGTGGATAACAGGTGGACGTGAGCTCGAAGCTGGCGAACGGGTGGGGCTCGCAGACAGTGCAGCAGGTGTACGGCGCGGCGGCTGCATCGCCCGTGCTGCACGACACCGCGCTGCGCCTCGCCGTGCACTACGGCCAGTCTGCCGACTGCGCGCACTGCGGAGAACATGCACACACGCATGTACGTACCATCTACCGCACGCTCATTCTTGTTGTTAAATCATACCCGCATTGGTAAAAATTCGTACACCTTCCTCAAACGTAAAATGCGTACAGTACGACTACATAGAAAATTTTTTCATAAACACTCTTGTAGTCCTAGTACCGTGATTTATACTAGAGATTACACTAATAATGCTAATTTATGAAATAATAAATATGAATAATCCTTTATTTAACCCTTAACGTATAAGGTGGATCATAATTGACTGCTGGTGCATCCGGCTCGAAGGATCACGAATAAAAACTTATTCAAATGGATGGATATCTGAAACACTTTAGTTTCAAAGAAAAAACACCAGAGAGCAAGTGGCTAGATTCACAGTGATGTCATTTAAAAATATAATATAATTTTGAAATCGTAAATGTAAACGTCGTGTGCGCGTGCGCAGTGCGAGGTGAGCGGTGCGATAGTGGGCGGGCTGCAGGTGTCGGCGCGGCGCGAGCAGTACGAGCAGCTGCTCGACACGCTGCACTGGGTCACCGCCGCCGCGCCGCCCGACGCGCATGACGCACCCGTCGCCACCGCCGCCACCGCCGCCACCGCCACCACGTCCGCCACCCCCGGCGCTCCCGCCGATAACCCACACGTACGTATACTCGGGCTCCAACTATTACGGTCAGTCTTTGTCATGAAAATAGGTTTCAATCTAATTTTTACAAACGAATTAAATTCTTCCAAATTAGTTGACATTTGATATCATTGATGTTCCTATATTGTTACGAGTATTTTGATAGCGTTCTAATGTATACGATATGTCGTGCAGCCGGTGTCGCTGTCGGAGCCGGCGGTGCCGACGTTACAATTGCACCCCGTGCTGCGCGCGGCCACGTTCGCCGCCACCGCTCCCGCGTCCGCATCCGCGTGTTCTAATGAGGCCACTGCCGCGACATCGTCCTCCAACCGTCCCGCCACTAGTGTCGCCGCCTACACTGCTCTCAGCGGTATGTGCTAGTCTTATAGATTATACACGTCGCGTCAAACTGTGTATATTTGTACACGATATGTGTTTGTTGTAAGCAAGTGTGTCGTCGAGTTGAATCCGTGCGCGTGTGTCGGTTACAGTGAAGTTCGAGGTGTCGACGTTCCGCGTGGAGCTGCGTGCGGAGCGCGAGGCGGGCGCGGGCGAGCGCGGGCTCGTGCAGCTCGCCTTCGCAGAGTTCTCGCTGCTGTACCGCGCGCTGCAGCCGCACGAGACCACGCTGCAGGTCGCTACACCGCACCTGCAACTACCCTTTCACATCACTTCTACTTTGTTTAGTGAACGCTTTTTCTCACGATAATGATAACGGGCCAGGTGTCGCTGCACTCGATCACGATGGAGGACCTGACGAAGGAGCCGGACTCGAAGCACCGCATGATGATGGTGTCGCACACGGCGCAGGTGCCGCCCAAGGCGGTGTTCGTGTCCAAGTCGTGCCCGGACTTCGTGTCGCAGCACGCGGCCGCGCACGCGCAGCTGCCGGTCGAACGGGGCATGCGCGGCGCGCGCTCGCTGCCCGCGCAGCTGCACGTACTCGACAGGGAGGTTGGTAGTCTGCCTTTTTATAAATCTTAGAATGAAATGTGGTAATCATCTGTAAACGTGAACAGCGCCATCGACATACGCTACCACTGCAAAAACTGCAGTTGTAGTAGTACTTTCGTCTGTGTCGGCAACAGATTGTTTTATTGTTCTCAGGAGGGAGGAAAAATGTTCCCAGTCTCCTCTCCTGTGTAATTATAGCTATATATCTATGATAGTGGTAGTAATTATTTTTAAAATCAATCATATGAATAGACACAACTGCGACGCCACAAGCAAGACAGCAAGTGCGGCCCCACGCCGCCGTGCTCGCCCGAGTGCGGGGCGAGCGCGGGCGCCGCCCACTGTGAGACACAAGCGGACGCGGACGCAGAAGCGGACGCGGACGCGGACGCAGACACGGAAGCGGAGGCGGACGATGAGGAGACGCTCAACGCCGATGACAATTTGGTGTGGGTTTCCGTACACACTAGGGACCCGCAGCATCCACTATTTGAGGAGAAATACAAAAAGGTATTTTACGTTTATCTATTGACGACTTACCCTATTATTTGGGTTCATAGAATAAACTTGTGTTGATTGACACCCTAAAAGAAGAATGTTCAACTTTAGTGTACGAATAATAATGTACTTGTCAGGTGTCAAGGTTGACAAAAGTGGACTTCAACTGTTTGAACTTGGTGGTGAGCATCGACAGCTGGGTGACGGTGTTGGATTTCTTCGGTATCACGGGCGACGACCTGCCCGACGACCCGCCCGCGCCCGAGCCACAGCAAACCGGTAAATAACGGTTACCTCGCGCTCTCGTCACTTGTATTTATCTACTACATTACTCCATACAAATGCTTCGAGAAAAGCGGGTTAATTTTTTCATACAATTTTGCTTGATAAATAGTTATGAAATAGTTATAAAAGATACACCTTTTATAACTTTTATATATATTTTGTTATATAATTTTTGCATCTTTTCAATGTGTAATAACTTATTTATTAAATAATTAAATATAGGTAAGTCAAAATTCATTATGTGCTTAAGTATATAGAACAGAGGGCCTACCATGAAGTGTTTTCCGAAATTTCGGAGCCAAACGAAACAGAAATTTTATGTTACAATTACATAATACATGCCGTTTGGAAATATTAAAAATGTTAAAATATTGTTCCTTTGGACTTGTATGATAGGATGTATGACGAACGAAATGTTACACTCCATTTATTGGTCCGATTTTGGTATAAACAAAAACACGAAATTGAGTCCGAAATTTCGGAATTTCATTTCATGGTAGACCCGCTGTAATTAAAAAAAATAGTCAGCTAATTTGACAATTAGCTGACAAAAAGTTGAATTGTTTTTGAGACTTGATGTTCTATCTATATAATCTAAGGTTATAATATACGGGAGAGCTATTGAACTCCATATTAACACATGGAGCTGTGTAATATATTTTTTTCAAACATGCTTGGAAATGTGAGCATTATTTTGACAATCTTCTTAGAGAAAAATCAAAATTGCCGTACTGGCCAGATACTCGTACATGCGGGCAGCGGCCGGCAAAAGTTGTATGAAAATCCATATCTGTCGTGTTTTGCGACTAGATAAATTACTATGTAAACTCATATCTGTCCTGTAATTTAAAAATGGAATGACCTTTTACTTCGAAACATGGCTACCAAGGAGGTAACTAATAAAAGCTTTTATTGAAATTTCGAACTGGCTTGCAAATAGAAAGTTGTTTATTGAAAAAAAAAAAACATAGGAACATTATGTTGTGTGAAAAATTATTATTGTTCGTTATTCGTCATTGAACTTAAAAAATAAAATTGTGTTTTTTATTTCCGCGCATTGTTTGAAAAAAGTACTGTACAAGCCTTGGTCACAACTAGGTATTGATGGACTCACGTATGTGTGCCTCGGCTACGCCTCGTCCCACATTTGCACGTTCGTCCATCAATGCCTTAGTTGCTGGCTGCTGCAGTAATGTACTGTTTTATATTATTATTACCGTTTGTTTGTTTAATTTTATTATATTCCATATATGAGTAGAATAAAAGTAATTCGGGTCCTAAGACAGTGTCTTATTAGTGAAACTCAACATATTTTTACGACAAAAAATTTGGAGCCTTACCTAGCCGGTTTCGCTGGGCTTGGCGAGCCGTGCTCGACTGGTGAGGGTGAAGGTGCGGTGGGGTGTGCGCAGAGGGCGGCGGGGCGGCGGCAGCGGCGGCGGCGGCCGCGGAGGGCGGCAGCCGGCAGATGGTGGTGTCGGTGCGGTCGCTGGCGGCGGTGCTGGTGCGCGGCGGCGCCGAGTCGTGCCGCGCGCTGGTGTCGCGCGTGCGCGTGGTGAGCGTGACTGGCGCGGGTGCGGGGGCGGGCGCGGGCGGCGGGGGGGCGGCGCGGGCCGTGCGCGGCCGCCTGGGCGCGCTGCGGCTCACCGACCTGGCGCCGCCCGCCGCGCTGTGGCGCGACCGCCTCGCCACGCATGCGCGCCGCGCACTCGCCTTCCAGTACCGCCGGTGCGTACACCACGCTATGCATGCACTCGTCACCGCCCGCCCACTCCTCTATACCAATACAATTTTTTTGTATTTGTGTTTACACATAATTTAAATTCTAATTTGATTTAAAATACTTAACTGGTATTAAAAATTCTTTCACTTATATTGAGCTACATTATCAGCGAGTAACACTTGCATGTAGCCAGGGTTTATTTTTAAACTAGCGGTCTAGTTTAAAAATAAATTACTACTGTACACAATTATTTTATTAAACTTCAAATTTTTACTGAATACTACATTACACACACATGAATCACACATAATTTTTACTGAAACACAAGATATTTATAGTTTAAACATCGGAATTTATTAATTTAGATCCGACTCGAAGGACCATAAAAAGTACTAAACATGCATACATAATTATACTATAATTATTATAATTGTAGGAGCATACGAGCGCGATTCGCAATTGTATGACATAATTTATCCTGAAATTAATAAAGTAAAAGAAGAATTTTATACTCGAGTAAATTTAATTATAAGCATTTGTTAACAGCTGTTTTTTTATGATTCTACCGAAGAGAAGACCAGGCCAAGTATCTAAAGTAGAGAATACCACTAATAGAATATAATATATGTATGTTATGCTACATTTTTACACAGACTAAGTGCTGCGGAGGCGGAGGCGGCGGGCTACGAGAGCAGCCTCAGCATAGACATGGGCCCGGTGACGTACGTGCACACCAAGCGGTTCGTGCAGGAGCTGCGCGCCTTCGCCAGGGACTTCAGCCTGCTGCGTCGCGTCATACTGCAGGCCAGGCGGAAGGTCAACTCGCCGAACTTTACGCTTTGTAGACCTAAATACAGTAGTCTTATTGAGTTTAATGAATTTGGATACTATTTCTTGTAATTGTTTTGTTTCAAAATTATCCGGTGATTTTAAGATCGGCGCCACAAATAACGTATTTGGAAGCACGAATACGTAGGAGTGGCGCGGATGGAGTGACCGTGGTGGTGGGCGGCAGGTGGCGGTGTCGGTGGGCGGCTCGGCGGGGCGGCGGCGCTGGCGGCAGCGGCTGCGGCTGCGCTGCGAGGCGCCCGAGATCGTGGCGCCGGTGTCGGCCCGCGCCCGCGCCGCGCTCAAGGCGCAGCTCGGCCGCCTCGCGCTCGACAACTGCTTCCGCCGCGCCGGCGACCCGGGCACGCTCGCCGCCACTGCTCACCCAGGTAATATCTTTGTTTTTTTTGATACAACTTAGAATGGTAAACAAGCTGACGGCCCACCTGATGGAAAGTGATAACCGTCGCCTATACACATGAGCAGTACCATAGACATATCAGAGTATACTGTTTCGCCCATGATACCCCCCATGCGTTACCATTCCTGAGGACTCAGGTGTTATTCCTCTGTACCCAGTAAATTCCATATCTCTCTCTACCAGTGTAGATGTAAGTATATCATAATTTACGCACGCATTATAATTTATACGTGTCGACGACTAACTGAACTTAATGGTTATGAGATGGACAGTAGCTAAAGCAATAGTAACGGTAAAAGTTTAACTGCGGCTACCAACTGGCCTGCCAAGCGTGTCAATTACTGGCAAATTCCCCAATAAGAGGAGGCCTGTGTTCCCAATGGATAGTTAGGAGCTGTTATGATTATGATACTAATATTCTATTTATTTTTTAATTAAATTGCCCGTTTTCTTTAATTTCTTAAAAGCAAGAAGTAGGCATCGTGGTCATAGTAAGTATTATAGTATGAGTATTATAGTATGAGTATTATTTACAAACATTATTCATATTCCTATCATTACCTGTTAGATTATGTTCACAGGATATTTTAAAAAGCGTATGAAAACCAAAAAGTGTATGTCTTTTGATTAAATTATTTCTTTCTTTCTTTCTATGTTGGTAAAACTGGCAGCGGGCGAGGAGGGTCGCGAGTTGCTGGATGTGCAGTCGGTGTGCCTGGAGGGCGTGTCGTTGTGGTGCTGCTCGCGGCTGCGGCCGTTGGGCGCGCCGCTGCTGCACCGCCCCGCCAGCCTCCATCTGCAGATTGAGCACAACCTCTCGCGCACGCACAACGGTAAGTCGAGACCTTCATTATATTACGTCCTTTTATTTACGCTCGAATTCATTATAACAATAATTTGAATTTACATGTTTTAAAAATCCTTATTCAATTGCTGGTCCTTCGAGCCGGATATTACCTGTTAGAATTTTAGTGCTTACGCAACATGAGAATTGTAATTACTACTATGTCAATGTATAAGATAGTGTGTTGAATCAGTAAATGCTATGAGATTACGTGGAGGTGCGTGGTTGTGGGCAGTGGCGGACACGACGGTGGAGGGCCGGCTGTCGACGCTGTCGTGCGCGCTGCAGCCGCCGCAGTACCGCGTGGTGCGCGGCGTGCTGGCGCACAACCTGGGCGAGGACCTGGCCGACCTGCAGCCGCCGCGCGCGCCCGCCTCGCGCACCGTCCGCTCGCAGCAACAACCGGTACGCCTGCCCGTCTACACGTCTGTTATCATTAACTACTACCCTACAAATTATAACTTATACAGTAGAGCGATGATGGTGTTTTGCAGGTGTGGACGACGCTGTCGCTGCGGCTGGAGCTGCAGGACGTGCGCGTGCAGCTGTGCCCGGGCGAGGCGCGGCCGCCGCTCGCCTGCATCAACTTCATCAAGTCGCGCCTGCTCGTCGAGACCTACTCCGACCTCGGACAGGACATAGATCTCGTCTCGCAGGTACCTGCTGCCTTGTCTCCCACCCGAGTTCACTTGGAAGTTGGCTATGCTAGAGGGTTGGTAATAACAAACCTCGTAACGTGGTGGTCGGCAGGAGATCCTGGTGAGCGACATGCGGTACGCGGAAGCGCCGGCTAACCGGCGCGGTAACGTGTTCAGCCACATTGTGCAGCCGATGGCCGAGCAGCGGCACAGCGTGCAGGCCGAGGTGCATGCCAGGTACTTTACGCTTGCACGAATACTATATGTTCATAATGCCATTTACAGTGGACACATACAATTAGTTAAATTCATGTTATTATATTTATTATTGTTTTGTTCAAGCATTCTTGAGACTGACTTTTGGCTTTTGGCCACAACAGAATCAGTGTTTTGCTCTTTTGAGAGTAAAGCAATAAACGGAGTTGTGACCATTTTGTGTTACTGTGGCGCACTCACGAGAAATTGTGTAACCTCTTGTGTGTACTTTCTTTTTGTTTTTTTTTTTTAAATATGTAACCAGTGTATGTGTGCTAGAAGTTTATATATATTGTTTTATATATATATATATATATATATATATATATATATATATATATATATATATATATATATATATATATATATATATATGACAAACAATCAGCCTGCCCTCCGGGTGAAACAGTAAATATCGGCTACATTAAACAAATCAAATCAGCTTTGTAATGTTATTTGTGTGCTAGAAAAGTGTTCTGGAATGCGAGAAAGAGGAGTGGGGAGGCCAAATATATATGCTTCAGTTCTGGTCTGACCGCCGTCATATATATATATATATATATATATATATATATATATATATATATATATATATATATATATATATATATATGGGGATGATGTTGTGAAGGAACCAACCGTCCACAAGTGGCTAAAAAGATTCAGAGAGGGCAGAAAGCGTTCAAGATGACCCACGTTCAGGACGTCCTTCCACTTCACAGTTGATGGAAAATTCTACGTAAATATCGTGTACATTAAACGCGAGAATCAAATCACCATTTTTGCAAATTTGTTTGGCCCCGTGTGACTCGAAAAACCAAATGAAGGGGGGACAATTACAACCAGCATACATTTTTTATCAATATCATAACGAATAATATAATAAAACTGTTTTACGTCATCATTTTTAAGCATAACGGACTGTTTTACGTCGATTCGTCCGCATACACCATCCTGGTGAACAACATGCGTCTAATGGCGATCCTGGACTGGTGGGAGGCCGCCAACCAGTTCATCATGCAGCCGCCGCCGCCGCCCGCCGACCCCGACCAGCAGCACTTGTACGACCTTCGCTTTTATAAACAAATTAGTTTCTTGTTAGTAGATAGACCCATGCACGCTGGCAGCACTAGGGACATCATTCGAGTGTCGCTTACTTCTGTGACATTTTTATTTCAGCCGTTTACTGTCCATTGTTGGGTAAAAACCTTCCCCATAAGGGGACTTTGCCAGTAGTTGCCATGCTTGGCAAGCGGGTCGACAACCTCAGTAAGGCTGTTTTAGAGATGTTTTAAGAAGTACGCTGCTGACCATCCCTCGCCCTCCCTTAATTGTTTCTTATGACACCCACGGGAAAGGAAGGAGTCGCCCATTCTATTCCGGGACACACGGCAGTGACTGTTCCGTGACATAAACATGTTGAACTAGTCGTTTACACAAATAAAGTCGAAATAATTTTGACGATTAAGCGTAACAATTGTGGTGTAACAGCGATGAGGTGTCGCTCCGTCAAACGGGCGCGGCGGGGGGCGGCGCCGGTGGCGACAGTGCGTTGCGGGGCGCGGGGGAGGAGGGCCAGTTCGAGCTGAAGCTGAACATCACAGACTCGCAGCTCGTGCTCGTCGAGGACGCCTCCGTCTGGGACACCAACGCCGTCATACTCAGGGTACGATACATAGATAATTCGAAATTGTAGGAAATTGTGAAAATAGTCGAAGTTTTTTTTTTATACAACTTAGAATGGCAAACAAGCTGACCGCCCACCTGATGGTAAGTGGTAACCGTCGCCTATAGACATGAGCAGTACCATGGACATAACAGAGTGTACTGTTTCGCCCATGATATCCCCCATGCGTTGCCATTCCTGTGGACTCAGGTGTTATTCCTCTGTACCCTGTAAATTCACTGCCATATCCGACCCTTCAAACCGAAACCCAGCCATGCAAACACAACTACTTCACGGTTGAAACACGAATGGGACAAAGGTGGCCAAGCAATACAATGTTACTACTCTTTCCATCTATATGATGGGAAAATAACTAAAGAACGGAAACGCCACTGGACAAGGCAAAAGGCGGAAGTTATGCGTATACCTTCGATAGCTGCAACTCACGAGTACAGCGCTGGTGTGCCTGACTGGATGACCTAACCACCGCTGTACAGCTCCTCGTCTTCTATGCTAGTTTTGGGTGGCTTCGATAGGCAAGATATAGCATGGAATAGTTTTTTATTTGATTTGTCCAACACAAAACTGTATAATATGATTTTAATATTTTTTTTCGGTGCATTTGTGTGGAGACAGTCTGTCTATATAATCTAAAACTAGACCAATTAAATTATAGAATCGATCATTTAATTAATTTAATTTTAAACTGTTTATAATTACTTCTCTCCATCCAAAGGTTGCCTGGAAGAGATCGCTTTTAGTGATAAGGTCACTCATTTGTTTTCTCACTGTGATTATTTCTTGTAATTTGTTTGTATCTATAATGAGTTTGCTATTGTAATCTTTTGGAGGAAACAATAAAGAGTATCTATCTATCTATCTAAACTATAACGCGCACGCGCGACGGGTTCGCCCGGCAAGCGGGATAATAGCACTCTGCTCTGCGGTGTTGGTGGTGCGTTACTTGCCCACAGAGCGTAATAAAATAGATGAACCCAAGTACAATCGAAGCGGCGTAACCAAATGAATAATACAAAAAAGGGTGAATAAATTAGCGAATGATTTAGCAATGCAGTAGTGTAGTGTAGTGTACTGTAGTGTAGTGTACAAGTGCTTGGGTTGTGTTCGCAGAGCACGACGGTGGTGACGTACCGGGCGAGCGACGAGCGCAAGCCGCTGGTGTGCGAGCTCAACGAGCTGGAGGTGTTCTCGTGCGTGCTGGGGCTCGAGGAGGACACGGCGCTGGCCATCGTCGACCCGGCCGCGCTGCACGTCGCGCTGCACGCCGACCGCGTGCTGCACGTGCGTACCGCGCTCATTAACAACCCAACTCGGCGACAATCACTGTTCGAAAAACTACATAATAATACTTCGTTGCTTCAATCCACATCACACTACGAGTTAAAAGTATCAGTAATACATTCGTTAGTTGATAATTATAATGATGTCCCGACAGGTGGCGCTGGGCACGCTGAACCTGCGGCTGTCGTACCACGACATGAGAATGTTCGCGGCCATGCTGCAGTCGCTGCCCGAGCAAGCGCGGGCCGCGCTCTCAGGTATAGTTCACATGTAGATCAGATTAACTGAGAATAATTCTAAAATTTTTGACTCTCAGGGAAAGGTACGTACAGGAAAACGCCCCGTAAGCCGACTTTTCATCAGATGGACTGACGATCATCGCAAGACAGTAGGAAGAAAATGGATGCGAAAGGCAGAGGACTGCGTTGGTTGAAAGGTATTCAGGGAGGCCTATATCCAGCAGTAGATAAGGTGATAACGATGATGATGGCGCAAGGTGGATACGCGCCTTGCTTGAATAGAGCATCGATTGATAACTGCTTAAAATTAATATATATTATTAAGTTACAAGGATTTGTTAATATTAAACAAAGGGAAACTTGGTACTTAGGCAAGACAGTGGCAGAGGAGAAGGAAGCGGCCCCGGCGAACAGCGTGCACATGCGTGCGGGCGTGGGCGTGGGCGCCGCGTGGGCCGTGCGGCCGCGCTGGGCGCCGCCGCCGCCGCCGCCGCCGCCGCCGCCGCCCGCGCCGCCCGCGCCGCCGCCCTCCGCCGTCTGGCCGCTGCGCGCCGTGCAGGTCCGTTGTCCTATATCGCCACACTATTGCCGCTGGTGTACTGTATCATATTTTATTCTGGCTTGAGTTTGAGCGTTAATAAATATTGGGCTAAATTATTTACGGCACGTGTGGCTGTACAGGTGAGCGCGGAGTGCATCACGCTGTGCGTGATCGACGACTGCCTCGACTCCGACGTGCCGCTGCTGGAGGTTTCGCTCTCGGAGCTGCAGGTCGAACAGGTTCGTCCACATACACTAAGATAAGATATGTATGCAAAATGTATATGTTAAGTACGATAATGCGGTGTACATTATTATATGTATGCATCTAACATCTGCATCGATGTCCTCCAATAGGATCTCCGCAAAGTAGAAGACACTCTGGAGGATCCACTTCTGGTATGTACCCCGGCGGGCCCGCCGCCGCCCGACTCGACGTGGGCGAGCAGTACGAGCCCGGGCGAGGCGGCCGGGGCGGGGGCGGGGGCGGGGGCGGGTGCCGGGGCCGGGGGCGGGCGGCTAGCGGCCGTACTCAGCGCCGACTACTACAATCGCCCGCTCTCGGGCTGGGAGCCCGTCATAGAGCCCTGGAGGTCAGTGTACCATAGTTCATGTAATCAAATTGTCGGTCCTAAACAAATTCCGTCAAGCAATGTTAACGCTGTGCATAGATTCGAGACGACGTGGGAGTACAAGCTGACGAGCAAGCTGCTGCCGCGCGTGGAGGTGGCGGTGCTGTCGCCGGAGACGCTCAACATGAACGTGACGTCCGCGCTCATCGACCTCTGGCAGCTGGTGCGCGCCAACTGGACCGCTGACTACTACGCGCCGCAGGTGACCTATATACACTACATAGAGAGTCACGCTTCGCTCGACTGGCTGTGTGGCGAGTGTAATGTGTTGGTATGCGCACGCGCAGGCGGCGGCAGGCGCGGACCAGTCGCCGAAGGGCAGCCCGGCGGGCCACCGGCGCCGCTCGCCGTTCGTGCCGTACGCGCTGCGCAACCACACCGGCCACCGCCTCTGGTTCACCACCGTGCTCACCACCTCGCACCTGTACGTACTCACCACGACTCGGTATGCCGGGCAATACTACAAAACTACTCCTGCCCTATGCCTACGTTCTTTTTATGAAACTTAGAATGGCAAACAAGTTGACGGCCCACCTGATGGAAAGTGGTAACTGCCACCTATAGATGTGAACAGTACCATGGACATAACAGAGTATACTGTTTCGCCCATGATACTCCTGATGCGTTGCCATTCCTGAGGACTCAGGTGTTATTCTTTTGTACCGTGTATATTCACTGTCATATCCCACCCTTCAAACTGAACAACAGCCATATAAACATAACTGCTTTACGGTAGAAATACGAATGGTACAGAGATGCCCAAGCAAACGACTTTTGTACAAAATCTCCCTCTGGTAAATTACCCGTGTCGTAGATAGGCCAACCTGCTGTACCGACATGTTGTAGTTGCTGGTTTTGAACATATTGAATTCTTTTTTGAAGCAATTTATGCAATAGTCCCTAAAAAATATACAAAAGTCGATTGCTTGGGTACCTCTGTCCCATTTGTGTTTCTAGCGTGAAGCAGTTGTGTTTGCATGGCTTTGTTTCGGTTTGAAGAGTGGGATATGGCGTGAATTTACGGGGTACAGAGGAATAACACGTGAGAACACACTCAGAAAGGGCAACGCATGGAGGGTATCATGGGCGAAACAGTATACTCTGTTATGTCCATGGTACTGCTCATGTCTATAGTCGACGGTTACCACTTTCCATCAGGTGGGCCGTCAGCTTGTTTGCCATTCTAAATTGTATAAAAAAATACATGCAGGACATATAGGTTGTTGTTGATTTGCATAAAGTCTGCTTTATCCTCGAAAGAGGTGCATTATATTTAGTAGTTTATCTTTGATCGTGTACTTTGTAATACGCGTGCGGTATGTGGCGTGCGGACAGGCTGCAGGAGCCGACTGCGAGGTCTGGTCCGGACGACTCGTGGGTGTGCGTGCGCGCGGGCGACACCGAGCCGTTCTCGTTCGGCACGCGGCGTGCACGGGGCCGCACTCAGGGGCAGGGGCAGGGCCCGGGCTGGAGGGGCCCCGCCGGGCCCGCCGCGCTGCACCAGCTCGCGCTGCGCCTCGACGGCTGGACCCCGCCCGACCCCGTCTGCGTGGACAGGGTCGGCGTCTTCTTCAGGAATCTCACGCACACGGTACATACACTCGCCTACTTTGATCGAATACACTTATCATAATTCTTTAATGAATGTTGCAGTTTTAAACTAGTTTGTTATTACTACTTACTAGTGATAGTTTTAAAAGAAAATGCTATATTATGAATTGTGTTGTGTAGCAAACTGGCGCAGAGGCGCGTATAGTGTTCGAGGTGTCGCTGGAGGGCTCGGCGCGCAAGCTGGTGACGGTGCGGTCGGCGCTGCTGCTCGTCAACCGCCTGCCGCACGCCGTCGAGGTCCGCGCCGACCTGGCGCCTGCCCCCGCCGTCGCCACCGCCACCGTCGGCGTCGGCGCCACCCTCGCGCGTCTCGCGCACCACTCTGGTCAGTACGGCGTAGTTAGTGAACAGGGATGGTGGTGACCACACTGAGGGCCTACCATGAAATGTTTTCCGAAATTTCGGATCCGAACGAAACAAAAATTTTATGCTAAAATTACATAATACGTACCGTTTAAAAATATTAAAAATGCTAAAATATCGTTCCTTTGAACTTTTATGGTAGGATTTATGACAAACGAAATGTTAAGCTCCATTTGCAGGGTCGATTTCGGTACGAACAAAAACTCGAAATTAAGTCCGAAAATTCGGAATTTTATTTCATGCTAAATCACCTGGTATAAACGCTTAGTACATTGTCCATAGAACATAATGCAAACCGTTTTAAAGGTTAAATTATTTTGTTTATGTCGTAGTGAGTTTTTATTAATTACATTGGGAAGAATGATTCAAAATCATTCCAAGTGTGAGCGGTTGGCGTGCAGGCGCGGCGCCCTCGCTGGCGTACGAGGTGCGGGAGGTGCGCTCGCGCGGCGCGGCGCTGCAGCGCGCCCTGCGCCCGCCCCTGCTGCCGGCTACCCCCCGCCCCCGCGCCCGCCCCACCCCCGCCCACACTATCTTCCGCTCCCTCCGTCCTATGCACCTCCACTGTGGTAACCGCCGTCCTTTTCGTTTTAGATCTACTTAGAATTATTAAGAATATTATTTATTTATATTTTATATAATAGTGGAAAGCAAATGTACGAAGGCGAACGTAACTACAAAAATTCTCCTACAGCAAATCCAAAGGGAAATGGATTATTAATGTATGTTATTTTAATGTTTTAATAGAGTAAACAAAAATTTTTGAATCGTCAGAGGTGTCGGTTACGGTAACAGTAACAGTGTAGCGAGTTCAATGGTTTATTCCCATCTGAAAAATTGAATATATCGATTTGTTTCTAATCGTATTTAGAAAGTATTCTTATTGCAATTTTAGTGAAATTTAGTTACGTTTTCATCAAGTTGTATTGAAACGAGTCAGTAAAAGATGTGACTTCGTGTCGTGACAATGTCTCAAATTAGGATTAGTTGAAGTGTATAATTGAATGAGGGTGTGGTTGTGTCAGCAGCGCAGTGGAGCGGCGTGGGCGGCGCGCGGGCGGCGCAGGTGGCGGCGGGCGAGGCGTGGGCGGCGCCGCTGGCGGCCGCGCCCGGCGCGCTGTGGACGCGGCCGCTGCCGCCGCCCGCCGGCCCCGCCGGCCCCGCCCTGCCCGCCGGCCCCGCCCTGCCCGCGCCCATCGACTGGCGCGCCGCCGCCGGACACCGCGCGCTACTGCACTACGAGTGCCGCGCGCCGCCTGACCACGTCTACAGGTCTGTCTGCTTAAATCATTCGCAAACTTATACACAGTCGGCAAAACAACGCTGGCGAAATGGCATTATTATGTTTGTTTAGGTTCTAAAAAAATTGTAAGAGTAAATATGTCCCGTTCTGTGTTTTCGTCCTATAAAGAAATTTTACAACAAAATTGTTTTGCAAAAATATAACTAGATGGCGCTGCTACAAATCTACGTCTCGCTATCATCAGTGCTCCATTATAAATAGTTTTTGGTTCGTTTAAGTGCCACACCCGGCTCGCGTTCGCGGAACATTCGTTTTACGCCTGAAAGTGCTCCGTCCGCGGCGTCTCCTCGTTTCCCCCATTCGGTTCACCGATCCACCGTCCCTTGAGGGGGGCTGAAGTGTGACGGCCCGAGCCGAGGTTTCGAGCCACTTAGGCGCCCTCGGGCGCACGCCGCAGTCAATTAGAAAGAGCCGACACCTCTGTCGCTCCCCTCTCGCGGACTTGGAGTGTCATCAGCACTCACCCCTGCACACACGCGTTCGGTGAAGTTGTTAAGGTCATCTGCGGCCAACACCAATTACGGTCAGAAAAAACGATCGTTTAAGTATCGATATACATCCGAGTACATAAGTTTGTAATCCGATTCGGTATTTTCATTTCTTAGCCTCCGGAAGTACACTGTGTTGGCCTCTTAGGTCCACATTGTTCGTATTCATACCGTTTTATTCATCAAACCTGTTTTAGCATTTGAACTGTTCTGTCTATTTTCAGCTAAATTTCTAATTTGAAAGAGAGTGACAAATGATTGTAAATAGTTGAAATAGGTTTATAGAAAGTTTATTTTTATGAATAAGAAGGGTAGACTTTACTAGTCGTCCCTAGCACGATGGACTGTCAAGGCCATGTTACAGATTTTAGTAAAGCCTTTGATAAAATTAAACAAGAACAACCGCACTATTGAACACAATGCATAATTTTGAGAAGTTAGTTTACTTCTGTTATCGTCGTTTAAAAAACAATCAAGAAATTGATTAATTTCTCCCCACTACAACTTCCGCCACGCCGGAAGCGGAAAGCAAGTATTAGACAACGAGCAAAAGGCGGTTCAGTCGCTCGACAGAAACAGAAGGGAACACATCGGTCCTTGTGTAGTTTTACTAAGTATAGAATATTCAATTTTATTTATAATTAGAAAGTATCGTTATAATTTATTAAACTTAAAATTCATTAGTTATTTTACTTATTAGATGTCATTTATAGAATTAAAACTTAGTAACTAGGTTATTCAAAAATATTAACGTTATAATTGCCTAATTAGAATTACAAAGGTTTAAATTTATTATTGTCCTAATTTATATACATAATTATTGATTATAGTGTTATTAAAATTGTCAAGAGGGTATTCAGAATGTTATGGCTTACTATGTGATATGTTAAAATAAATGTATTAATCCTAAAACTGTTTTTACTTCATCTAATGAAATTATTCCAGGTGTACCACAGGGCTCTCACTTGGGACCTTATCGTTTAAAGTTTTCTGTTCTTATTGTATTAAATAATAATATATCGCTGATGTCGCTATCTTAATTGTGGTACGGTGCACAGATTCTGCTGTTCAATAGTCCGCGAGCGTTTCCCCCCGGACCGCGGGTCCCCCGTCGCGGGGCACACGCTGACCCTAGTGCCGGCGCTACGGCTAGAGAACTTGCTGCCACTGGAGTTGCAGTACCGCGCGGTGAGCAGCGCGGCAAGCGGCTCGACGAGCAACTCCACGTACGTCGAGGGCGCACTGCCGCCTGGTGGCACCAGGCCTTTCCACGAGGTTTGGAATTTTTATTGGTTTCAGTTTACTGATTAAGATGGGGATTATTTTTGTTTTATTCGTGATATTGTATATAACTATTGCAGTCTAAGGCTCCCACCTTAATTAATACATTATAATGTGATTATTTAATGTTGTCTAGCCATCTTTTTCCAAATTGGAAAACTGTTGATTCGAATAAAGACCGTATGAAACAAATACGTATTTTCTAAATGTTAGTTTTTAAAAGCTGACTTTCATAACGTTTTGAAAATAATGAACTTCGTTTTTGTTTTATAAGGTGAACGTGGAGGAGGGCGTGGAGCTGAGCGTGAAGCTGGAGGGGTTCGGGTGGTCGTCGCCGCTGGTGGTGGGCGGCGGCGACGGCGCGGGCGGCTCGTTCAGCGCGCGCGTCAAGCTGCGGGACTCGCGCGCGCGCCGCCTCTACCTCAACGGCAGGGTGTCGCACACCAGCACCGACGGCATCAAGGTTCCTGCTCTGTACATAGTACTGCGGGCGGGCGTGCGGGCGTGCGGGCGGGCGGGCGTGTACTGTAGCGTGCGTGTGCGCAGGTGTCGGTGGCGGCGGCGTACTGGCTGGTGAACCGCACGGGGCTGCCGCTGGTGTTCCGCGCGGAGGGCGCGGCGCAGGAGGCGGCGGGCCAGTTCGAGGAGCACGAGGTGGCGCGCATGGTGGCGCCGCTCATGTTCTCGTTCGCGGACGCGGACGGCGGGCCCACGCTGGCCGCGCGCCTCGGCCGCGCGCGCGCCGCCAGCCCCGAGGTACGTGCCCGTGCACTGGCGTGCGGCTCCTTACTTTATTCATCATTTTAGACTTGAACTACTCTATCCGTTAAACTTGTGCCGATGTTCAGTACTGTTTACGTTGTAGTGGTGCTCACCGTTCGGGCTGGGCCCCGGCGTGGCGGTGAAGCGGCTGACGGCGCGCGGCGGCGGCACGGCTGTCGGCGCGGGCGCGGACGGGGGCGGCGGTGGCGGGGGTGGGGCGGGGGCGGGGGAGGAGCGCGAGTACGCGATAGGCGTGCGCGTGCGCGCGGGCCGCGGCCGCTACCGCCACACCAACATCGTGACGCTCACGCCGCGCTACCAGCTGCACAACAACACCTCGCATCACCTGCAGTTCGCGCAGAAGTGCACCGCCACCACCCTCGTATGACTGCCGCTTTAATACATTTTATATGTTATGTACTAGAAAGATTGATTACAAGTTTAAAACTGTAAAGACGATATCGAAGTGAATAATTTAGAATTTCACGTTAACATTTCCATTTCAACTTCAGGATGTCGTAAAAAACGTCTGAAAGAACAAAGTTCAATTCAATTCAGTCTCTTCTCTCAAACCAGAAAGTTTTTTTTTATTATTACAACTTAGAATGGCAAACAAGGTGACGGTCCACTTGATAGATAGAAAGTGGTAACCGTCGCCTATAGACATGAGCAGTACCGTGAACATAACACCATAGATGTTCACCCATTATTACTACGTTTATCAAATGGCTTTTTATGAAGTATATTTAAGTTTTTCTCTTACATAAGAGTAGATGTGTACTGTATATGTACGTGGCGCAGTGGGACCCGGGCGCGATGGCGACGCACGTGAGCGCGGTGGCGGGCTGCTACCTGCCGTGGCACTGGGCGCGCGCCGACCGCGAGCGGCTGCTGTGCGTGCGGGTGCTGGCGCCGCCCGCCGCCACCGCCACCGCCGGCTCCGCCGACACGCAGCCGCGCCCGCTCACCGCCTGGTCCGGCGGCTTCCGGATAGACGCTCCTCGTTCCTTGCACATTGCTTGCAGGTAGGTTGTTGTTTGAGGACACAGTACAGTATGAGTTTTATGCTACTAGCTTGTACATATAGCTCATAGAATTGGGCTGCGCCTTGATTATTCATAAAGTAATCCTTCGGACCGGATCATTGTAAATTTAGAATATAGTCTAAACGTGTAGTAAACCTATTCAATTTATGAATGTGTACAATATCGTATGTGAACATGTTGTGGCGCAGGGAGAGCGGCGGCTCGTACGAGATGGTGCGCGTGGAGGTGGTGAGCCAGGGCGCCAGCATGTTCGTGGTGCTGACGGACGCGGACAGCGCGCCGCCGCCGCTGCGCATCGACAACTACTCCCCCGTCTCCATCATGTTCCACCAGGTGCGTGCGCGTACTAGTGCCGCATCGCGCTATATATATATTTATTTGTGAGATAATTGTTTATATATAGTCGTTACATTATACCAGATGCTGATTATAATACGGTATATAGTATTTCAATTAACAATGAAGTTGTATTAGAATAAAATTGAAGTTTGGTTTATATATTAACGAGATATCTTTTTAATGAATGAAAATGGAATGGTAACCCTGTCTGCGCTATTAGTATACACTGATGGGGCACCAGTGAGGGATGATTGATGAGGATTAAAAGGCAGGTCAATTGGCCCATCGTGATGAAATCATCAAAAATTTACTGCGATGGTTTCCAGGGGGAACCGCGTGGAGGGCGACCTGTTTTTTTTTTTGATGGGTGAAAATGGTATGGTTACCTCGCCTGCTCTAACGGGATACGTTGGCGGAGCATCAGTGAAAGGTGATAGATGAGAATGAAAACAGGTCAGTCAGCCCATCATGATGAATTCATCAGGAATTAACCATGATACGTTTCTAGGGAGAACCGCGATAAGGTCGACCTGGTTTAGTATATTGCTAGCAATGGGATTCTCAGTCTCCATTATTAACAATCTCTTTCCTCCTGAGGCGACCTGTTAGGATATATTTCTAGTAGTGGGTCTTTCAGATCTCACTACTAATAATCTCTGTTCCCCCTAACGATATTAGAAAGGAGGGCTTTAAGGACTGATAATGGAATGGTAGCGCGCGCTGGGCGGCGCCCAGTGAGACATGTTAGATGAGAGTGGTGGGCCAGGTGAGGAGTAGTGGCTGGCAGGGGCCGCGTGCAGTGTGCGGCGTGCAGTGTGTAGCGTGCGGTGCGCGTGCGCAGGCTGGCAGCGCGGAGGAGAGCGTGGTGGGCGCGCACGCGAGCGCGCGCTGGGCGGCGCCGGAGCCCGAGGCGGCGGCCGCGCTGTGGCTGCGCGCGCCCGGCGGCCCGCGCCTGCTGCTGCACCTCACCGCGCTGCCCTCCGCGCACACGCTGCTCTACCAGAACTTCGTCTACGTCGCCTTCGCGGCCGCCGCCGCCACCGCCGCCGCGCGCGCCAGGTGCTGCACCCTACACGGGATATATACAAGAAATATCAATCCCAAATATGTTCAGAGGGCCTACCATGAAATGTATCCGAAGTTTTGAAGCCGAACGAAACACAATTTTGATGTTAAAATTACATAATATTGACTGTTTAAAAATATTAAAATATTATTCCTTTAAACTTTTATGGTAGGATTTATGACGAACAAAAAAACTCGATTTGCTGGGCCGATTTAGGTGTGAACGAAAACACGAAATTGAATCCGAAACTTCGGAATTTCATTTCATGGTAGGGCCCCCAGATTTACTTGATAACGCTTCAGTGTCGTTTTGATTAGCAATCATTATAGAAATGTGTAAAGATAGCTTTATTCGATTAAATAATACAATTTTAACACATTTACGTAACACGTAATGTAAACAATCGGAAAAATAACTGGAAATATTTTTATATCAGTAAATCGCTTATAAATTAATTAATATGACGTAAGTAAGTAATAAAATTTAATGATGAGTAAGTACCTAGATGACTAAGGTTCGCTCGGTTTTCTTTGTTAAAATCCGCCATCTATTGTCAATTACTAAACACTATCTTAGTATTGCTTAACAACGCCATCTATTGTTAAGTGGCTTTAGTGTTATTATGTCGGTAAAGCAGTTAATTGCGAGTCGATAAAGAGATATTAATGATTTGATCTTTATCTTTGTACCGAAACATCGCCAATGGGATAAATTGTTTTTTTTTTTTCTTTTAGAAAATGTACTTAGATACTTGTTGATAAAGGGCTCCCAATAATAGTTTTGTTTACAAAAGAAGGAACTTGAAAAAAAAAAAAAGAGATTTTAATCATCTGGTTTCGGAACCTGCCAATTTCCCATTTGAACTATTATAACGTTGTACATTATGGCGAAATTTACCTTCGTATTATAATGATGTTATAGCAGTTTTCCATTGCCTAAAACACGGATAAATGACATTTTCTAAAAATGAAACCTAGCTAGATTAATAAATCGCCTCCGAAACCATGTATACTAAATTTCATGAAAATCGTTGAAGTCGTTTCCGAAATTCAGTTTATATACAAGATAATAATAATAGTAAACACCACAGAGGCAGTGAGTCGACGTCAGATGACGGCGTGCTCGTACTGGAAGTGCCGCTCGGCACTACGAAAGTGGTGCTCGGCAGGAAGAGATACGGCGACAGGTATGTCATGTTACTAGTAAGTATTACTAAAGATTTTTTTTTTACAACACAGGGGGCAAACGAGCATGCGGCTCACCTGATGGTAAGTGACTACCGCCGCCCATGGTCACCCACAACACCTACGGCATTGCAGGTGTGCTGCCGGCCTTTAAAAGGGAATATGCTCTTTTCTTGAAGGTTATGTTGTCGTATCGGTTCGGAAATACTGCTGCTGGAAGTGTGGGTGTGCGTGGGAGAAAGTGCCTTGAAAAACGCACGGTGGAGGATCGCCACTTGTCCAGGTGGTTGGGATGAAATTTTAGTTTATGGCGGGTTGTACGATGGTGAAAATCTGCAGCAGGTATCAATCCGAACAATTCTTCAGAGCACTCCCCATGATAAATTCGGTAGAAAATGCACAGAGATGCAACATCTCTACGCAGTTCCAGTGGGTCGAGCCGGACAGTAAGACGCCGATCGTCAACAATTCGAGCTGCCCGACTTTGAATGCGGATTTACACCCAAATAGAAAATTATATACATATATTATACATTACGAAATTGTTCGTTAGATGAGATTTGAAATTATATTACACGTATTCTTACACGGCGGGACGAGATTGGGTAAATCCAATACTTATTATTCGTTCTCTGAAGTCATGGTTTTGTGCTGAATGACATGCGGTACAGCCTGTAACAAAAGTATGGGAATATATAAAGACCGCCAGTTCACAAGTACGGGGGCTTAGCGACAAGGTCACACTATAAATACGGGGTACTTTGTTTTTCATATTGCATATCGATAAGTGCGATCGTGGTCCACCATCTACCTCTGGTATTGTCGCATTCAACCAAATGGTAATTGTATTTTAAACGATTCCCCTTCTTTTACCAAGTGATCTGTACTGGGTTATAACGTAACCGCGTTGTTGTCGCGGTACAGGTGCCAGCTGTGGCGACGCGGCCCCAACGACCAGCTGATCCACGAGGGCAGCTCGCCGCCGCAGCCCACCGACGCGCTGCTCACCGACGAGGAGGCGCTCTCGCCACACGCCATGGTAACGTGACTAGTATAAGATCCACACAACTGGTAGTGGAGCCGCGTGTGCGGTGTAGCGCGCGACGTGTTACGTGGTAATGTGCACGGCGTGGGCTGCGCAGGTGCTGGACATCAGCGAGCCGGCGCCGCGGCCGGGCGTGGCGGCGGCGCTGCAGCTGCGCCGCGCCGACCCGCGCCGCGCCTCCACGCAGCGCTGGCGGCTCACGGCCGACGGCCGCATGGCCTGCGTGCACTCCAACCTCTGCCTGCAGCCCGCCGGCGCGCACGCCGGCCTCATGGCGCTCACGCCCGGTACGTACCGCACTGCACTGCACTGCACTGCACTGCACTGCACTGCACTGCACTGCACTGCACTGCACTGCACTGCACTGCACTGCACTGCAACAACGAGATCATTCATACAAACTAAAAACAGGAATGGACCAAGAATACATCCTTGAGGTACACTCACTCACACGAGTGACCCGTTAGATGTAACGATATTCACTTAACTTTTTGAAAATTTACTAAATATAATAAAAAATGCACTGTGTAAAGGCAGTTGGTGGGATGGTCGGAAATGCAACGCCAGATTAAGAATAGATTAAAGATGGTAGCAGTTGTAGATACATGCTAAATGTGTGAGTGAGACGCATGAACACCAAGCCGTAACGATTTCGTTGCCACTTCTACCTCACTGTCACTATATTTAGTTATAGTGAAATAGTAATAAGAACGTAAAATTTTCAGGAAACCGCGTAGTGTTGGGCCTGGTGAGCTCAGGGCGCGGTGGGGATTCGTGTCCCCCCGAGCAGGCGGTGACGTGGCAGACGCTGCGGCCGGGCTCGGGACGCCTCGACGTTGCGCTGCTGGCCGATGGACCTACCCGCGTGCTGCGCATATACGACCACGACGCACCGGTAAATATCTTCTTGCATCGTCGTATACAAGGAAATGTTATGAAAAAGATAGGTTTAATGCGAATAAATGGAAATATCGGTATAGACCACTTAATTTAATGGTCAAGGGATAGACAGCAGCAACGCTTTTAAAACATTACCAAAAGTTTAACTGTGGTCGCCAATCCGCCTGCCAAGCGTGGCATAGCTATAGGCAAAATCCTACTACGTGGACAGTTGACGGCTGTTATGATGATTGGTATGAACCTCTGTACATGGACGATCTAGTTATCACACGCAAATACGTTAAGGAATGGAAATTGTGTATTAATTTGTTAAAGAAATAGTCTTATGAATGATGAAGTAAATTGAATGCACTTAATTGATTTATTGTGTCGTATTCAGGAATCTGGCTGGATCGAGAACGAAGAGGAGTCGGGGCGCGACAGTAGGAATGCGAGTGGTAGTGGCAGTGGTAGTGAGCGGGCGGGCGGGCGCGAGGTGGCGGCGCGCGTGTGCGTGGCGGCGCTGGGCGTGTCGCTGGTGGGCCGCGCGCCCGCCGGCGAGCTGGTGCACGCCGTGTTCTCCGGCCTGCTGCTGCAGCTCGCGCTCGCAGACCACCTCGCGCTCGAGCTCGCCGTCCGCCACATGCAGTGGGACAACCAGGTACTCGCCTGCTGCTCCTGTACCCGTGCAACCAATCAACTCGCTAATTTGAATAGTCCGCCTCGAAGGACCAAAACGATGGTACTCATCAAGCTAGTAAAATGAGAGAGATCTTTCTTAATTCGACCGACTAACTTTTTCCTTCGAATAACAGTGACCGACATTGATACGAATTAAGTCTGATTTACACGCATTTTAAAAATATGTGTAGTATATTGGTACGTATTTGTTGGACAGCTGCCGGGCACGCCGAGCCCGGTGCTGCTGTACTGCGTGCCGGAGCGGGGCGGCGGCGGCGGTGGCGGCGGTGGCGGCGGCGGGGGAGGGGCGGCGCCCGCGCTGCACGCCGCGCTGGAGGTGCAGCGCGCGCCCGTGCGCCGCTACAACGCGTTCTACTTCCGCCGGCTCGTGGTGATGCTGCGGCCGCTGGCCGTGCGGCTCGAGGAGCGGCTGATCCTCATGGTGTGGGCGTGGGCGGGCGTGGAGGAGGAGGAGGGCGCGTGCGAGCAGGCGGACGAGGCGGACTACGAGACGCGCCGCATGCTCGACGAGCTCACCGCGCTGCACGCCACCAGATACTACTTCGCGCTCATACAGATCGTGCCCAGCCAGGTGAGCCACATGGCACATTATACGCATGCCCACGTGCACACACGCATAGTCAGGCTCCACCACTCGGACTGCGCCCCTAAATTTTAATCGTGTTAAGAAATGATAAAAAAATACGGTATTTAACATACCGCCTTAGTCCTCAGGAATGGCAACGTATGAGGGGTGTCGTGGATGAAACAGTATATTCTGTTATGTCCATGGTACTGCTCATATTTACAGGCGACGGTTACCACTTTCTTCAGCTTTGCCATTCTAAGTTACATAATTTTTTTTTTATCTTTATTCCTACCGTATTCCTCCTAAATTCAATTTGAGAATTACTAACCCACCGACGGTACAATAATAATTATTGGTATAGCCCACACTAGAGAAAATTATATCACAAAATAACAATTTATTGTTTAAGAAACAGGGATTTGTTTGGATTAATGATGTGATATACATTATTTTAACATTGTTTTGTTTTTTCCATAGACTTCAAACACAACAAGGTTTTCGATTCGGCTGTATTTTTCATTTTATGTTTGTTACTTCGTAACTCCGTCAGTTGTAAACCGATTTGGAAAATTATTTTTTCTCAAACATGCTTGGAAATGTGAGCATTATTTTGACAATCTTCTTAGAGATAAATCAAAATTGCCGTACTGGCCAGATACATGCGGGCAGCGGCCAGCAAAAGTTGTATGAAAATCCATATCTGTTGTTTTGCGGCCAGATAAATTACTATGTAAACTCATATTTGTCCTGTAATTTAAAAATGGAATGACCTTTTACTTCGAAACATGGCTACCAAGGAAGTAACTAATAAAAGGTTTTATTTAAATTTCGAACTGGCTTGCACATAGAAAGCTGTTTATTGAAAAAAAAAAAACAAAGGAAACATCATGGCGCGTGAAAAATTATTATTGTTCGTTATTCGTCATTGAATTTAAAAAGTAAAAAATGAGTTTTTGATTTCCGCGCATTGTTTGATAAAAGTACTATACAAGCCTTGACTACAACTAGGCATTCATGTATTCACGTATGTGTGCCTCGGCTACGCCTCGGCCCACATTTGCACGTTCGTCCATCAATGCCTCAGTTGCTGGCCGCTGCAGTAATGTACTATTTCTTTATCTGAGAAATAAGTTACTTAGAGATTGGTGCCATAGATATTTTATCAAAATGGGTTCTGCAATTTTTTACCACAATTGAAGTTGGTTTTTTTTTTATGGGATAGTCTTTAATTATATATATCTTATGTTGACATATATTAGTATTTCATATACTTAACTTGATTTAATGCAAACAACCTTTGAAGCGTAAGAAGGTTAGCTTTTTCTCTGACAATGTCTCGGTATTGCCAGTAGTTGTTGTTACTCTTGTACAATAATTTGTTTTTAAATTCCTTACTTTTTTGCTAGACATTTTCATTTTAAAAAATAACATCTGTTTTTTCATTCTAACTTCAGGTGTACCTATATTTTTTATCAATTGTACACTCTTAGTCATCATTTTCCACATACATACTTGTGCTGTGACTCGTTTTAATAATCAGTAGTTGTTATTTGATTTTTTTTAATACATATCAATCTTCATAGATAATAAAGTGACTCGATAAAGTCAAGTCAAATTATTTTTGTAAATAACATTGACACTACAAAATCATATAAATTACGCCATATCCTTACATTTTATGGTCCTTCGAGTCGGATTCTTCTATTGGTCGTTTGTTTAATCTGGCTCGAAGGACCACAAAAATGTAGTAGTTTATTCCTAGTGCCCTTATCTAGATAAATTCGCCTTTCAATATCGCGCTATATATTTATTTAGCTGAGTATGGGACTGGTTATATAAAAAGAGCGTGCGCGTGCGCAGATCCGGCTGTCGATGACGACGGCAAACAAGCTGGAGAGCTCGTTGAGCGCGCTGAAGAGGCGGCTGGGGCTGACGCTGATCAAGTTCGAGGACGCGGCCGTGGAGCTGGAGCCGTTTGTTCGCACGCACGTGTTCGACACCGCCGGCTACCTCGCGCGCCAGCTGCTGCTGCACTTCAAGGACGTGAGTGTACATTGGGCACCATAGTGACCCACAAGGACTAGATCGTCATTTGAGTAATAGTACTATTCCGTGTAATATGGCCACTAAATACCTTATTATCTTCGAGTCGAAAGTCGCCCCCCCTTCTCTTTCTCGATTTAAAATTAACACTAGGTACTTTATACTTGTACATAGAAACATATTTGCCTGTCTACAGAAGTCATCAGTGTAGTCATATAGCAATGAAAGCTATGGTTCGCGCTTGTCTTCTCTGATCTTGTATGAATTTTTTAAGGTTTATGATAATTAAAAAAAAAGAATATGTAACAAAAAAATGTGTTTGTTAGTTGTTATTATTTGTCGGAAGATTTAGGGTTTTCGAAACTTTGGAATTAGGTCCAAAGTTTAAGAAGCAAATAAAAAAAAAAATTACTCGTATGTTTTTCGAGAGCAGTTTGGTCATTTGCGTTTCACTGTTTATGTTCGCTATAGGAGTTGAAGTGGCAGGCGGCGAAGATCCTGGGTTCGGTGGACTTCCTGGGCAACCCGCTGGGGTTCGTGGCGGACGTGTCGGAGGGCGTCACCGGGCTGCTGCTCGAGGGGAACGTCGGCGCGCTCTTCAAGAATGTCACGCACGGCATCTCCAACTCCGCCGCCAAGGTCACAGGTCAGTCCGCTGCAGCTACGGTGGCGACGACGGGTGCGTGGTGATGAACTGGGCATTATATCGCAGTGTAATACTATTATATAGTACATTTGGTAATTTCGAGCCGCTCTCCTATTGCGCAATGACGCTTAAATGTTCATTCGTTAAAGGAATTTGTCCCGGCGCCGTTATTGTGATCTGTGGTGGATTTTTTTCGCGCATTAAATATAATATGTGGTGTGGTGTGATGGCAGAGTCTCTGGGCGACGGGCTGGAGCGCGTGGTGAGCGACGAGGCGCACGAGGAGACGCGGCGCCGCATCCGCAGCGCGGCCGCCGGCGCGCACCTCGCCGCCGGCTTCCGCGGGCTCGGCCTCGGCATCCTCGGTACGGCGCTCGCGCACTGCACGCACGCGCACACACGCACGCACACGCCCGCACACGCCCGCACACGCGCACACGCACACGCACACGTGCACGCGCCCACACACGCACGCACGCACGCGCACGCACACATACGCATACACACGCACGCACTCGCACATATACGCACACATACGCATACACACGCACACACGCAAACACTCGCACTCTGTGTCCTTACGGGCACTGAGTGCACCGCACGTACATTGCGAGCTCGGTGACTAGCTCTCGCCATATTTCGTATGTCGTAGTCGTTAGGTATACCGTTGCAATGTGTGATGTGCAACGAGGTACATTTGGTGCTGGATATGCGGAATTTAAAGCAATTTTTTTTTATTTATTCTGTTAAACTAACAGTGACAAAATAAAAAATAATACATAATATTAATCAAAGAAAACGATTTAAATTTTATGTCATAAACAAAAGCAGTTAAATTACATTTTTTGTGATATAATTAGGGGGCATGACATCGTTGGTGAAGCACAGCTACGAGGGCGCGACGCAGGAGGGCCTGCCGGGATTCCTGGCGGGCGTGGGCAAGGGGCTCGTGGGCACCGTCACCAAGCCGGTCATCGGCGTCCTCGACCTCGCTGCCGAGACCGCCTCCGCGCTCAGGGACACTAGCAGACGGTAATCATATTTTGTAGATTTTAAATTGTTACAGAGGCATTTATTTGCAAGAAATGCAGGTTAGTATGATGTTACAATACTGAAATATGTAAAGTAAATGCTGCATTCTAACTATAGTGTTTACATTCAAAATAAGTTCGCAGGGGTGTTGTTGTTAAGACAAAAATTGAATGTTTTTTTTTTTTTATTAATATTTCCTCATAGCTACAAATAATGCTACTTATTTATACATTTTAATATATAGTTTTAATTCGATACGCTAGATGGTATTGTCTGTTACATGTATTGTATGTATTACCCGTATGTATTGTCAGGAAGGCTGAATCCACATTACAGTGCCAGTCTCGATTTTGCCCGTTAAACAATTACTACGTAAAGAGCAATGTTAGTGTGGATCGGCTACGATCGATTCCGAAGTGTTGGTATTGTAGTATTGTAGTAATGTAGTAATGTGCGGCTGGCGGGTGTTTGCGCGCGGCTGCGTGCGCGTGCGCAGGTCGGACCGCTGGGTGCCGGCGCGCGTGCGCGGGCCGCGGTGCGCGAGCGGCGCGGGCGCGCTGCTGCCGCGCTACTGCGCCGCGCAGGCGGCCGGCGCCGCGCTGCTGGCCGCGCTGGCGCCCGCCGCCGCCGCCGCCGCCGCCGCCGAGCGCTTCCTCGCCTACCGCATCGTGCGCGACACGCCGCACGACATCCGCGCGCTGCTCTCCGACACGCACCTGCGCATCATCACCTGCAAGCACGCCGCGCCGCACGTCGTCATGGAGACGCACCTCAGGTACCTCGCCGCGCCCCATTCTATCCTAAAACTATTTGCTATTATTTAAAACTCGCTCGCTCCCCGTGACTCCCCCTCAACGTGGCTCCCTATCGTCGGCAGCAACCTGGTGTCGTGCTCGGTGGTGAGCGTGGAGGGCGCGCACTACGTGGAGCTGGGCGTGCGGGGCGGCGCGGGCGGTGCTGCTGGTGCTGGTGGTGCTGGTGGTGCTGGTGGTGCGGGGGGCGAGGGCGGCGGCGCGGAGGGCGTGCGGCGGCCGCGCGTGCAGTGCGACAGCGCCGAGCTGGCCGCGTGGGTGGCGCGCCACGCCGCCTACGCGCGCCAGCTGTACCACGAGCACCAGCACACGCTGCTGCCGCACACCGACCTCTAGTCGCGCGCCGTTCCCGGCTGTACATATAACGCGGTCCACTCTCACGAATTTTGCTGGGAAGCCCCGCTAATACGACCGCAGCTAGCGAGAGTAAAAAACGCGTGTAAACCGCTCGCATCTTAATATGACTGCTATTGATACTTGTAATTTTATATATTTTATTCAATGTTACCATTCAAAATTAAATGCACAGCCGTATAGTTACTATCGCTTAACCTGGTCATTAATCGCTCTAACATGGTAACCATTATCAGATAACAAGGTTTATTTTGTTAGTAATAGACTTAAAATTTTGCTACTACAGAAGGATGGAAATTAGTATATTTAGTTTTCGCCACTGTCCGTCTAAAATGCGTCGTGTTAGCGTAGCTTCCATAAAATTTATTGATGTACATAACAAATTGACCAAAACCAAATTAAATACAGAAATTTCAAGTGTGTCAACCATTAAATATACGTATATTGTCCCAGTGTACAAGGTAATAATGATTAATGTACCTTAATAACAATATATGATATTGTGTTTGTATGCGGTACTTTAATAGAATATATCATTGATGTTAGTCACATTTCTATTTACATATATTTGTATCCCAAAATTCCTCTAAAGACTGAAATGTAAAGACATGTCAAATATAAAAACCTTGCAGTAGGAAAGGCAACCAACTTTATTAGCTATCCTATATTATTAATTTTCATAATTTACTGTCACATGCGCTCTAATCCACGATCACAGTACACTTTCAATATTTTTAGAGGATTGTGGGAGGATGGAGTTACGTCCGCTAAACGACACATTGCTTAATCTCTTGTATTGTCTTTCCTATTGTCTGGATTAATAGAAATATACAAATAAATGAAACATCCATTGGCGTAGTTTAGATTTCTATAAACACTGTATGTATCTACTCGATTATAAGCAATACGTTGGTCGATTATTCACGAATGCGTACTGTTGATATTTGCTCATAGCGATGAAATGTTGCTTAGTTACTTTTAGCCCCCAATAATAACGTACATTTTTGGCCAATAACTGTGACTGTAGTTGCAGTAAATTGGGGGTAGACCCGTAAGCGTTCCTCATTATTTATAAAAATAAGTAGCGTTCGCCCGTATCTTCCGATTAGTGGCGAGTTTCATGTGATATATCGTAGCGATTTTGCGTACATTAGTTTGTCGTTTTTAATACGTGTTTAAATTGATGCTGAGAGAGAATTATTTGAACGATATTAGAAAATTGTACATAACCGTATGTGTGACTTGTTTACGTCTAATATTGACATGTAAGTTATCAGAATGTTGGACTACTCTTTGTAATTATGTAGTGTAGTATAAATAAAAAAAAAAATATATCATCGATGTTTGTCTTTGATAAATTATTTTGTTTCTATAAAGTTTTACATTGTCTATGCTGCCTCATGTTGGACTGGGCAAACCTTAGGCCTTGGTTTTTTTTTTTCAATGGATGATAATGTAACGGAAACCCCGGTTGCGATATTGGTTTATGTTGGCGAGGCATCAGTGAGAAATCGGAAATTAACCACGTAGATTTCCAGGGGGAATCCCGTGGTGGTCGACCTGACAGGGTATATTGTTAGCAATGGATTGGGTAGTCTTCATTATTAACAATTCATTTTTCCCCACTCTAGGTCAAAATGATTAAATGCAATGTTTAGCCAATCACTGCGATCCATGGAGGCGTGGCCTAATTGTACGTTAGTTTCTAAAGATTGAGTTGGTCGATTGGTCCATCTTGCGGTTGTTAGTTGGGTGTAGGTAACTCGTGTCCATGTATGATATTGGTAAATGTTTGAAAATGTCAATAATTCTAATTTGAACAAATTAATGTGAATATAAATATATTTTGGATAAGCGGTTTGTGTGTGTAGTGAACGTTTTGATTCGTCGAACGAGCAGTTTGGGCTGTGATCTACCTTATCTGAGCTGGTCTATTTATTTATTTAACTCTTTATTGCACCATAAATAAAAATATACAATGACAAGTGAATAATTCAAGTGAAATACAGTAACATAAATACAGATTGAAATATACACATAAAGGCACAAAAGGCAGTCTTATCGCTAGGGCGATCTCTTACAGACAACATTTAGTCTATCATTGGTATTCGTACTTCATTAAGTGGAGCCCCACGTGTTTGGAGTTAATAGTTGGTCGTTGGTTAAAATGGTTTCTTTTAAAAAAAATCTATACTCAACCTTGTGGAATTACTCTCCCAGTGTGCCCATACAGTGGCAAAGAATTTCGTGTTTTTTAATAATTATGTATTTAATTTTTTTTGTTTATGCTAATAAAACGTCTCGAGTGCTTCCAGAACATTCGACGCCGACATCAATGTGTAACTTGTAGACGATCATTTAACACGGTTTGTAATCACAACAAATTATTTCCAAAATATGTTCCAAAATGTGTGTTATAACGGTTTTTTGGTAGAGTGTATTTTCTTAATAACGTCAATTATTAGTTAATTTTAAACTTTCGCGTTGTTTCGGCACTTAAAGCGATGCAAAAAACTTTTTTTTTATCACGTTAAGTCTCGATTTTGTATTTAAAAATATCAATATTTTTCCAAAATGATCCGTAAAATATTAATTTTATTAACAAAATTTTAATAATAAAAAAATTCTAATATTTTTTTTATTACTGTTTATTGTAATAAAGTTATTGTTTTGCGTGAGATATGAGATGTAATCAATGATTGATTGTATGCAATTGTCTATTATTTTAAGTTAAATTTAATTATTTTTTACATCACAATAATATTACTTATGTTGTTATATTTATTTTGTGTGCGTGTTTACTGGTAAAAAAAATAGTTTCGTAGTAATTATTATAATAAAGGCTAAAATGCCTTATTATTTGGGTTCTTGGTGGCTATAATGTACTTTGTTGTTATGATTTAGAGTATGTTTTTCTGTAGCCTGATCAAAATTGATGGTACGGTTGTCAGTTCCATCTTAACCCTTTGAGTGCCGACGAGGGCCATCGCACTCGTGCGCGTTGCAACTAAAAGTGCCACAAGCGTCATAGCGCTCGTGAAATCAGTCGCTGTTTAGCTTGCTGTAAAAAAAATATTAAAATTGGATAATTTTTTGGAGAAGATATAGTTTTTTCAGACAAGGGTAAATGACATCAACACGACAAAGTTTTTTTTGGCATTTTTAAGTATATATGGGTAAAAATCAATTGCACTAAATGGGTTAAGAATAATTTCTGATGGTTTTGGGCATAATTTACGGGTCGTTTTCATAAAATGCTATAGAAAATAAAATAAATTCGAATTATGTTTTGACACAATATTAGTTAATGGACAATGACCAAATAACGCTCTGTTTCTTGAGAATTTCTATGTTTGAAATGTAACTTAAATGTCTACTTAGAATAAGTTGACTATCCTACAATTTTCAACTTAGAAATAGTACATTTAATTTTAACTTAACAGTTTCCTTTTTTAGTTGTATTAATTTATTGACAATGAATTAATTGTTAAGTTTCTCATTGACACGTTTAGTTTAATTGAAAGATCACATTGTTGGCAAATATAAACGATTAAAATATAAGCTTTTGTTTTATTTAACGGCCCATGTACTAGTCGTCATCGTACCAGCCTTTAACTGTCCACTGCTGGACATAAGCCTCCCCGTTGGGAGGTTTTTCCAGTAATTGTCACGTTTAGCAGGCGGATTGGTAACCGCAGTAAGGCTTTAGAGATGTACTAGAGGGAGACTTTGTACAAAAGTCGATTGCTTGGGTACTTCTGTCGCATTCGTGTTTCAACCGTGAAGCAGTTGTATTTGCATGGCTGTGTTTCGGTTTGAAGGGTGGGATATGTAGTGAATTTACTGGGTACAGAGGAATTACACCTTTTTTTTTTTACAACATGGGGCAAACGAGCATTCGGCTCACCTGATGGTAAGTGACTACCGCCGCCCATGATCACCCACAACACCAGCGGCATTGCAGGTGTGCTGCCGGCCTTTCAAAAAGGAATATCCTCTTTTCTTGAAGGTTATGTTGTCGTATCGGTTCGGAAATACTGCTGCTGGAAGTTGATTCCAAAGAATGGTTGTGCGTGGAAGAAAGTGCCTTGAAAAACGCACGGTGGAAGACCGCCACTCGTCCAGATGATTGGGATGAAACTTTATTTTGTGGCGGGTTGTACGGTGGTGAAAATCAGCAGCAGGTATCAATCCGAACAATTCCTCAGAACACTCCCCATGATAAATTCGGTAGAAGATGCACAGAGATGCAACATCTCTGCGCAGTTTCAGTGGATCAAGTCGGACAGTAAGGCGTTGACTATCGATAATTCGAGCCGCCCCACTTTGAATGCGATCTAACGGAAGGAGTTGGTACTGTGGCGCTCCTGCCCACAGGTGAGAACAGTATTCCATATGCGGCCTGAATTGGGCTTTATATAATTTCAGGCGGTGTTCTGGCATGAAATATCGTCTCACCCTATTGAGCACTCCTAACTTTTTGGAAGCTATCTTAGCCTTCTCCTCCAGATGACCGCAAAACTGGACGTCGCAAGATATATCAATGCCCAGAATTCCTAGACTCGACTTTTTATCAAGGGAAGTGCCCTGAAAGTGAGGAGATACGACAAACGGCGTCTTTTTTGCGGTAAAAAAGACGCCGTTCATCAGGTGGGCCGTGAGCTTGTTTGCCATTCTAAGTTGTATAAAAAAAAAGTTTTAAGAGGGACGCTGTCGCCCATCCCTCGCCCTCTCTTAGTCGGCTCTTGCGACACCCACGGGAAAGGAAGGGGATGCCTATTCATGTACTAGTAATATGTCTCATCTTGCGATGCTTGCAGGTTTGATCTCGCACAATACAAACATTTTGTATTTATGTGTATGTTTGTTTGAATTGGTGATTATATGTATGGCTCTTTATAAATATAGTAAATAAGTATTTCTGAACGGATACGACATCATAACCTTAAAAAAAAAAAGAGCACATTTCTTTTTAAAGAGCTGGCAACACACTTGCAACGTCTCTGGTGTTGTGGGTGATCAAGGGCAGTCACTTAGCATCAAGTGAGCTGCGTGCTCGTTCGCTCCCTGTGTTATAAAAATAAAACTACGACCAAATAATTATAAGATGGAGTCAATCATTTTGTTCTATTATCGCTAGAGTTTTGTTAATAATTTACTATCATTGGTCATTTAATCAAGAATTTGAAATGTATACAATTTGTAGAACCTTTTTTTGTATCAGTCACGATTGAACTGACGAACCGAGTCAAGTTTTGGCAACAAGCTGACGGCCCACCTGATGGAAAGTGGTAACCGTCGCCTATAGACATGAGCAGTACCATAGACATAACAGAGTATACTGTTTCGCCCATGATACCCCTCATGCATTGCCATTCTTAAGGATTCAGGTGTTATTCCTCTGTACCCAGTAAATTCACCCCACCCTTCAAACCGAAACACAGCCATGCAAACACAACTGCTTCACGGTTGAAACACGAATGGGACACAGGTACCCAAGCAATCGACTTCTGTACAAAGTCTCCCTCTGGTCAAGTGAGTTCATCAAATGAATCACTACACTCCATCGTACAATTTTATAAGCTATTATTCTCATTACGTAATGTATATCAGTTGTTTTCCTGTAACGTGACCCCAGCGTCATAAATTAAGTATTAATAAAACAAATATGTGTTCTCTCTCGAGTGATATAACAAATCGGAACAATACGATAAGTACCAGATATAACGCTGAGAGTGTGAATACTCGTAAACATTGGGCAGACGGTGTGCGCTCGTGTACCGACTAGACGTCCCCGGTCGCCGCTCTGTGACTTCACGCATTGCAACGTACGTATATTATCCCATTGCTATGTCTCGAGCGCTCACAAAATGTACCGTATTGTATTATTTTGCGGTATAATAGCAACCGTAGAAGCGGGCGCTGCGACCTTGCAGGTAAACAGGTGCGAGGTGAGTAAAAGTGAATCAGCCTCCGTCACGATGTAGCAATTGACAAATTGGTTTACAAGCGACGGGGCATTGTCGCCGTGGAGTTCATTGGCACAAGTTCATAAGTAAAGTTAATATTATTAAAATGTTTTGTTTGTTTTTAAAGGCTGTTTTGTCGGAATAAATAGTGTTTAAGTTAATTTTAAACTTGCGCGTTGTTTACGCATATTTTAAATACACTATCGGGACTAAATAAAGAAGCAGGTATGTAGCTACTATTTACCTGCAAACATTTTCATCGCGTCGAGTTTCGAAAGCGTATTTAAAGTAATGTTTAATGTATTAATACGGTATTTTACAGCATGGCGACGGTAGATTTCACGAAAGTGACCATCAAGGAGAAACCGTTCTACAAACCCGATTTGAATGAAGTCGTCGAAGGTGAGTAGGTAAAACAGTTTTAAAATAAAGTACGTGAATAAATAAAATTTTATTGCGTATTTCAGTATTTATTTGTGTAGAATATATTTTAAACATATATTAATAGATTTAAAATTGAATTTAATCAAATAAAATTAAGTTTCTTTCGAGGAACTTTTAACGATAATATGGACTTCATTGAAAGTTCAGCTCCCACTGAAGTTTAGATGTGCGAAAGACATATTTATTTTTTACAGTTTTTTTAAGCTTTTTCTGTTGCTCTCTGCATGTGCATGTGCTCACCAGAGGCAGACTTTGTACAAAAGTCGATTGCTTGGGTACCTCTGTCCCATTCGTGTTTCAACCGTGAAGCAGTTGTGTTTGCATGGCTGTGTTTCGATTTGAAGGGTGGGATATGGCGTGAATTTACTGGGTACAGAGGCATAACACCTGAGTCCTCAGGAATGGCAACGCATGGGTGGTATCATGGGCGAAACAGTATACTCTGTTATTTCCATGGTACTGCTCATGTCTATAGGCGACGGTTACCACTTTCCATCAGGTGGGCCGTCAGCTTGTTTGCCATTCTAAGTTGTATAGAAAAAATGTACTTTTTAATATTATATTCAGATATAATGGTATTAATGTGAAGGAGAACAGATCGACTTACAACAATGACCCTACCAATAGATTTTCACTTTAGCTGATGTCAAATTATGAATATCAGGTACAAGATTTCTTGAAATGTCATTAAGGCTAGTCGACCTATTCGGTTAATGACTCCGACAACGAAAATGTTAAATAGCTAATAACGCCTGCATTTTAAACTAAGGCAATTAAACCGGCTGATCGCGTTATAGTTTTTTTCCTCAAAATTTAGTATAGTTTTTATTGATGTTTTAATTCAAATCACTGTGTTATATTTTTAAAATACCTACAACATCACACATACCTTGCATTGACACATTCATAGATCGCCTTGTTTTCCTTAAAGTAGAAATATTTCAAATGCTTGTTATAATAATTCTATGTAACGGAGCATGGTCGATGCTAGATATTTTTGCAAATATTTCTATTTGCAGTGCTGTCTCGTGGACTGAAGAATAACTTCGAGACGGTGAGCGTTTCCGCAGTGGACTGTCCTGATCTCACAAAAGCACCATTCAACCTGACATCACCAGGTAAATTATCACACCAAATCAATTTATTAATTGGGATTTTGATGAATGAACAATGTGTATACTTTATTTGCATTATACAATGTATGGAATAAGCAAGGCAATAAATATAACGATACAGTTGTATAAATACAGTAAGGCAATCGACGAAATTCCAAATTTACCCATGTTAAAGCCTGACATGTTAAATTTACATGCCATCTTTTTTTATTTATTTTTTTCTTCTACCCGATGTAATTATATAACAAAATTTTTAGTTGCACAAATGAACTCTCCCTGTATAAATATTTTTCCTTGAATAATATAAAGCTACTTTCGAGTATTTGCTCCACATGTCTTAAAAGACAACCCAGATTACCTAAGATACGTAGGTGAACACCAAGTACCTATTTTTCTTTTCATTTCATGCGATGTGCTCGTCTTTCGATAGTCTTGTATCAACATGGCGTGCTCATGTAATTATTCGTTCGGTTGGTATATATTATGTCATTATTAAACAATACATAGATTAGATAAATATCATAGGTACATTGAGTGATCTCTGTGACCTCACGCGAAACAAACCAACATTTTTTATCTAATATTTATAATACCTACATGTTTTGTTCAACTCGCGCGAAAATATAAATTTTTATTTCTTCAGTATATATATATATATATATATATATATATATATATATATATATATATATATATCTGTGTGTGTATATATATTTAATAGGTATGGTAACCCCACCTGCGCTAAAGTTATACATTGGCGGGGCACCAGTAATCAATAATAGGTGAGGAAGAAAAGATGATAGATGATGAATACACTTGAGCAAACCACGTGGAGGTCGGCAGTTAGCTATATTGCATCTTAGATAAAGAATTCATTCATCGTATTGACGTCGATTTTCAGTCACTGACCCTAAAATGATTTAAAACTGATGTTTTATTTGAGTCGCAGACATCACCTTACTACCTGGGAAGAAGTAGTCTAGCATTCTGCATCCTATACACGAGTTGTACGTGTACCAATTTTTATATTATACCAAATTTCATAGTAATTGGTCGAGCCGTGAAGGCGCTATAAGGTAACAAATAAATCCACTTTCATATTTATAATATTAGTAAGGATAATCATGTAGTGATTATAGTGAAGTGAGTATGTAGCTTTGAGTGGATAAATGATATCTCAGGTTTGATTCTCGGTTGAGTCAATTTAGGAAATAAATATTTTGAATGAATGATAACTTAATTTGCTCGAATACAGGTTACTGCGGTAGTTACTTAACCAGATAGATTGCCACTCTCCCTGTATAAAACAAACCAATTCCTTTTCCGTAGGGCTGAGCGGTGATGAGAAGCTGATCGAGCTGGGCGGCCCCCCGTACCTGGTGCCGGTGGTGCAGCGCGACAAGCTGTACGACCTGGTGCAGCTCGCGCGCCACCTGCGCCGCGACCCCGCCCTCCTCATCGGCGCCGGCGCCGGACCCTGGCCGCACGTCGGGGTCAACTGTGAGGTTGGCCGCCACTTGTATTTGTGATCGTAACCAGGGGTATACATCAAGGGCTTCAGTTTTGTTGCCTCTCGCCACGTTTGCATATTAATATCCACATACATATTGGTCTGGTCATATAGGGTTACACTCTGGGTTCTTTGCGCGCGTCCGTGTAGCCTAACTTTAAGCTGCAGCTTACTGTCCGGCTCGATCCACTGAAACTGCGCAGAGATGTTGCATCTCTGTGCATCTTCTACAGAATTTGTCATAGGCTCTCTGAGGAATTTTTCGGATTGATACCTGCTGCTGATTTTCCATCTGCTATAAACTAAACTTTCATCCCGACCATCTGGACGAGTGGCGGTCTTCCACCGTGCGTTTTTCAAGGCACTTTCCTCCACGCACAACCACTCTTTGGAATCAACTTCTAGCAGCAGTATTTCCGAATCGATATGACATCATAACCTTCAAGAAAAGAGTATATTCCTTTTTAAAAGGCCGGCAGCACACCTGCAATGCCGTTGGTGTTGTGGGTGATCATGGGCGGCGGTAATCACTTACTACCAGGTGAGCCGCATACTCGTTTGCCTTCTGCGTTGTAAAAAAATCAGTGCTTTGCTTTTAAGCAAAACTATCACCGAGCTGTGGCCTATTTGGGTCACTGTGGCACACATGTCGAAAACATATTTTTGTATTTTATCTTTTGTTTTATTTTTTTAATTCATTTGATAGTATGTATTTAGTTGTTAATTTATGTGAGTCATGAATGTAAAGTGTTTATCTATCTATCCACATTATAACTTGTCGAATTATATACATAATTGTCAATACTTCGTAGTGTGTATGTTGAAAGGAGCTAAGTATGAACATTGGGAAGCACAATCCAGAATACCCAATACCAAGATAATTCCGAGAAGTTCCGTTTCTTAAATTGGCTCAAATCGAGACCTTATTTACACGATGTAACCACTGCTTTACGGAGGTCGTCGTTCTAGAGTCGTCGATTTGAGGACAGTTTTAATTGATTGTCGTAACTTCTGTTTGCAGGGCATAATAAATTTCACTGTCCGCAATGGCTCGGTGGCGCAGGGCACGCGCGTGGTGACGGTGGAGCCGGTGGGCGCGGCCAAGGGCCGCAGCGGGTACCTGCAGCGCACGCTGCCCGCCTCCGAGACGCGGGTCGCGCTCATGGGCAACTACCTGCTCAGCGACGGCAGCCCCGGCAGGGTATGACATTTTATTCACAAATCCCATCTTCCCTCTGAACGAGGGTATATGGGAAATTGTTAAGGAAATCATCGGTGTATTGAAGTTTATTTTCCGAGGGTCGAGGTAGGGGGAGGGGAGGGGTTGGCCTCTTAAATAAGGCTCACATATATCATCTTTGTGCATAGCTGAAAGCTCTATTCGCAAACTGAAGTGGTGGGCACTAGCAATGTATTGTCAGGTTCACCTCTGTGTGGTTCTTTCTGGAAGACATCCTGCTTAATTCTTATGGAATTCGTCACGATAGGCTGACCTGCTGTCATCCTCACCTATCATCCCTTACTAGTGCCCCGCCACCGTATACCGATATTCCAGGCGGGGGTTACCATTCTATTATCATCCATAAAAAATGCTTCTAAGGATTAAAAATTTACTAATTAACATAGCAGATTCACGGCAGTGATCACGATATCCTAATTAAAATTTCAGGTTATCAGGGTGGTAGCTAAGAAGAGAACAGGCGAGGCCAACTTTATTACATCTATCAGGGAGACGCTCCAGAAACATTATGGGGACAAGGTGGTCGGTGAGTCATTATTTTTTGTACTAATAAGTAGATAAACACCTACCTACTTTTTTTTATTGTTTTAATGGGTTTGCATGGCTGTGTTTCGGTTTGAAGGGTGGGATATGGCGTGAATTTACAGGGTACAGAGGAATAACATCCGAGTCCTCAGGAATGGCAACGCATGGGGGGTATCATGGGCAAAACAGTATACTCTGTTATGTCCATGGGACTGCTTATGTCTATAGGTTACCACTTTCCATCAGGTGGGCCGTCAGCTTGTTTGCCATTCTTAGTTGTATAAAAAAAAAACCCGCGCTATCGGTATACACCGTGCGGGGCACCAGTGAAGGATGATAGGTGAGGATGAAGCAGATCAATCAGCCCATCGTGACAAATTCAACAAGAATTGTTCACGATGGTTTTCAGGGGGAACCACGTGGAGGTTGACCTAACAGGGCATATTGCTAGCAATAGGGCTGTCAAACTCTATTGCTAACAATCCCTTTCCTCCCAACACCTACCTACTGTATAAGGCTGGTCAGTTTTTTAAATGGGTGGTAATGGAATGATAACCCGCCTACGGTAAGAGGCATTAATGAAAAGACAGGTCAGTTACCTCATCGTGATGAATTCACTTAGAATTAAGCACGATGGTTTTCTGGAAGGACCGCGAGCAGGTTGATCAGACAGAGCAAATTTCTAGCAATGGGAATGCTAGTTCCCATTATTAACAATACCTTTTTCTCTAAGCTAGGTCAGTTGACCTGATCGTAATAGATGTATCAAAAATTTACTAGAGGGAACTACGTGGAGATGGATTTAATAGATAATTTTGCTAGAAGTGGAATATTGTTGGAAGGGCGAGGGATGGGCAGTAGCGTCCCTTTTAAAACATCTCTAAATCCCATCATGATGAATACACCTGTTGCCAATATATGGTAATCGCCTGCCAAGCGTAGCTACCACTGGCAAAACCCCCCAAGAGGGATGCTTATGTTCAGCAGTGGACAGTTAAAGGCTGATATGATGATTGCTAGAAGTGAAATTGGTTAAATTCTATTACTAACAATACCTTTCCCTTCTGACCGCGTGGAGGTCGGCCAGATGTGTTATGAGGTTGCTAGGCTTTATTACTAACAATCATCTCCCCCGTGCGCAGGTCTGGGCGGCGCGTTCGCAGTGCACGAGGGCCGCGTGAAGCACCACGTGATGCCGGGCTTCTCGAGCACGCCGCTGTGCAGCGACCAGGACGTGGACACCTGGCTGCACTACTTCGACATGCGCGCGCCCATCGTGCACCTCGGGACCCTCGTCACCGGCGACCTCGTTAGTACACCTCCACCTCTGTTTAGAGTTCCAAAACAGTAGAATGGCTCACTGTGCATGTGTAGTTACGATTAGCACGGGAAGATGAAGTTTGGGCGCTGACGCGTGTTTGAGAGGGGGTGAGATCAGATTGCAGCGGGCGGCAGGGAGTGTTCACCATAGAATTAGTGTATTTTTAATTAATAATAATTGAATGGTAACCATGCCTGCGCTAACGGTATACGCTGGCGGGGCACTAGTGCGACATGACAGATGAGAATGAAAAGCCAGGTCAATTAGCCCATCGTGATGAATACACCTGGAATATAGCACGATGGTTTCCAGGGGGAACCACGTGGAGGACGACCTAACAGGGTATATTACTAGCAATGAGACTGCGTGTGTAGTTACGACTAGTGCACGAAAATAGAATTTGAGCACTGAGGCGTGTTTGAGAGAGGATGGGGTCAAATCTCAGCGGGCGGCAGGGATTGCCTACACTGTCCTTTGGTACTATTGCTTATACAATATTAGCGTTAGTCATTCCATGTCGCTATTTACTGCATGACTGTTGGTAGCTTTTTGGTACGGTCTGGTACTGTTTGGTTGGGGGGAAAGGGATTATTAGTAACGGGGTCAAATAGCCCTATTACTAGCAATATACCCTGTCTAGTCGACCTCCACGTGGTTCCCCCTGGAAACCATCGAGACTAATTCTAGTTTAATTCGTCAGGATGGACTAACTGACCTACTTTCATCTTCATCTGTCATCCCTCACTGGTGCCCCGCCAGCGTATACCGATAGCGCAGACGGGGTTACCATACCATTATCACCCATTAAAAAGGTACTGTTTGGTACTGGTATGAGGCCGGGCGCTGTACAAACCGTGACGTGGTGTTGGCAGGACTTGGACCTGCGCGTGCAGCACTTCCACGGGTACAGCGCGCACGGTGACGGCGGCCACTACCACGGCGACACGACGCCCGACGTGGTGCACTACGAGGGCTACTTCGCGCTCGCCTCCACCGTGCTCAGGATCGACCCGCCAGCCAACACGCACACGCTCGCACGGGACTAGACACACGCCACGCACGTCACACACCCCACGCACGCACGCTACACGTGTGCATGGATAAATTTGTTCTAATACATGATTAATTTTTTTTTTTGTATATTTTAAGGAACATTTCCTCGTTATATTTTTTATAATTACACAATGTAAATATTTAATGGGAATTTATTTATAAAATAATAACAATTTTGTGGGTGTTTTTGGTGGATGTCACCATACCGCGTGACGAGAACCTCGTGAAAGCCGAAACCGAGAAGAGAAAATATCTCGACCTGGCTCACGAGGTGACCGAAATGTGGGGGGTGACGTCCACCGAAATCATTCCAATCGTTATGTCGGTGAACGGTCTTATCCCAACCAGTCTGGAACAACATCTCAGACGGTTGGGATTCCGAGGCGGCTCACTCCCGGGAAAGATGCAGAAAACGGTGCTCTTAGATTCTGTTCGCATTGTACGCCGGTTTCTCTCCCTGGGTCCCTGAACCCCGGCCGACTGTGCTTCTGCCGGGGGTTAGTTGCCATCTCCTCTCCTTAAGAGGGGAGATGTGAATTTTTGTAGAATTTAAAAAATAATAATAAACTCTTTATTGCGCACAGTAGAGATGTATACAAGGAGTATTAAATATCGATTATATATTTATATATATAAGGGAGGTGGTTGGAGGGTGAAACACACTCGTCGATCGACTGTAAATTGACTGTCGCGTGTATTTCGGGACTTTACATGATAAATGCTCGGATTCCAACTAGTTATAATGTCAAATTGTATTTTTTTGTTTATTACCTTATAATACCGTCAGTTATAAACCAATTTGGAATTTCACGAACATGTTACGAATGCGTGGAACGTTAAATAACTTTAAATAAGTATTTGTATAACGTAACAGTTAATATATAATTTAATCGTGGCTAAACCAGTTATTTTAATTTAAAAACTAAATTGCTAAATTGATTTTGATATATTTTTTATTGGACCAATCTGTAAGTACCTATATTATAGTCTTTAACTGTCCACTGCTGGACATAATTCTCCCCCATAGACTGCCACAAGTAACGGTCCTGAGCCACCAGCATCCACAGACTTCCTGCAAAGCATTCGATATCGCCGCTCCGTCCACTGTATCTGCTCTGTTTACATAATGTATTTAAAAAAAAACAACATCATATCGGCGTGTATTATGTATTTATTCGTCGAAGTGATATAATTATTACATGGAATAAAATAACTTTGTATGTATTATTAAAAAAAAAATATGGCTTGTATATACACGAACGACCTGTTACATATGGAACGCTAACGATATGTAAACGAACCAATTAGAGTACAAACTATAAGGGTGATTGGATATATTGCTCGCTTAAATACGTACTATAACAGACTGACTGGAAAATATACAAGATTATGCGTAAAAAAACAAATAGGAAATATTAAACTAATGTAACAATAAGAGATATTGATGAATGCAATGAAAGCATGTCTCGTTCGTTCACGCAACCTTATACTAATATGAAATTAAAATATACTTTGCCAACTATTTACACTGAAGCGACTCGACACACTGCAATGAACCACACCACGATTGTTTCTTATATTTTAATACACTATTATAACCCAGTGTTGGACATAGGATAAGCCCTTTATAAAAGCAAGACATTTCCTAATATTTATCGGTGCTTTAACTGGACATATGCCAATAAGGCACATACTACACAAGATGGGTCTATTTTCGGACACACTGTGCAGACTGTGCGGGGAGAAATCGGAATCCATGGAACCTCTTCCTTCCCCGGGTGTCATAACAGGCGACTAAGAAAGGCGAGTGAAGGGCAATAGCGTCCCACTTAAAACATCACCAAAAAACAAACTGCAGTTACCAATTCGCCTGGCAAGCGTGGCCAATACTGGCAAACCCCCCCCCCCCCAAGGGAGAGGCTATGTTCAGCAGTGGACAGTTAAAGGCAACATTGCTGATATCTAATAGTAATAATAATAAAAAACAAATTCTTTGAAGAGGTAGAATGTTATGAATTGTTACTAATTTAATTTAGGCAGTATTTCTATGTTAATTTCAACACAACTCGGTTACCTTTTTATTAAGTAACATTGTAACAAACCACCACACACCCTGGCGTGGTCGCGTGAGTATCACACCAGTGTAAATAGTGACGTAATCAGACACAGCCTGGTCGCTAGCAGTCTACTCGGTAAATAACATAAATTAATAAATTTACAATATAAAATTATGTATTGTTCGCTAGAACATTGTTTTAACACATGGTAATTCAATATTGAATCGTAACAGTCCCACTGGTGGGACATCATTTCTTCAGAGCCTAAAAGTTCGGCCACTTTGCGTGCTCAGTGCGAATAAGTGGTACATATTTGGTAATCAGAAGTCATTTAGAGTTGCCCACTTAAACCCTATTTCGCTCTTCTTTAGTACAAGACTCCATTTTTGTTCTAACGCAAGATATCAACACGAGAATGGATTAAAATACACATTGGAAATCAGTGTGAGATCAACCGAATAAACTCTTTAAAAAAAAAAAAAAAACATACTACATAATATATATAATAAATTTCAAAATTATAAAAAATACAGCCATATTGAAGACTTATTTGTTAAAGAAGTTAGATTCCAAATTCAAAATAAATATTTTTGAACATTGAATTGTTGGGATTTTTTTATTTTAATTATATATATATATATATATATATATATATATATATATATATATATATATGTTTAAATTATATCACTGTATCATATACATTATAAACATCAAGGACATGATTAATGATTTAACTTCCTTAACACTAACCACATAGTGCCGATTACCACAGATTATAAAAAGATGTTAATTTTAAATATTACATTAATACTAATACGACTTTCATACAGAAATTTTGATTCGAGTTAGCCGTCTCCCGTCATCGCCGACGTGCCGAACCCTGAGCTCCCCGAGGGCGAGTCTTTATAACAGCAAACAATACACGAAACTTTGAGAATTATTGCCAATTGTAAAAAAAAAATGCATTTCGTAACACGATTGCTGCCTAATTGCTAGGAGAGTTAAATGTATATTTCTCCGACTATAGTGCCATTTGCAATAAGTCTTAAAACATCTCTAAAAGCCTAACTGCGGTTGCCAACTCCGTGCTACGTATGGCACCTACTAGCAATAGAGACATAAATTTGTTTGCAAAGGCAGTACTAAGGTTCGCTTACTAATTACTATTAAGTAATGAAGATTGATAATCATTGGTATATTAACGAATTATTTAACGAAGGAGGGAAGGGGGGGGGGGGGTTGGTCTGTTAAAAAAGATGCGTATGTACTCTCAAATGAGTCTTTCTGAAGTTTACCTCTCATCCTTGGGTGGGAGGGCTCACTTGGCCCTCTTTAAACACGCCTATATTGACAGCAAGCATGCAATTTTCGGCTGTCGCAAACAATTTGCTGTTATAAGGAATCACCGTTCCCCTCCGAGCTGTTAGTGGTCATTTTGTGGTAATATTTGAACCGCAACGACCGCTGACAGTTTGTCTAAGTATAAAACATTTCCTATCTTCGTGTAGTAGTGTCCGACCGAAACAGGTTTTACAGTCGAAACCGAACTTTCGGCCTTGGCCTCAGTTTCGGCCGAAACTGAAACCGAAAGTTACTGAATCATATTTCAAATTTCTCTTCTATACTGACATCTAGTGTATTTTTTACACAATTATTTACACAAACATACAGATAGTTAAAGGGTAATAATAAACACTAATTAAAGCATTTAACAAATATGTCTTATATATTTATATATAAAAACATGTTAAAATTATAACTTATTCTTAGAAGTAAACTTAAAAAAAAAAAACAAATTTCAGTTAGAATCACACACAAGATAAAGTTTCGGTGCGGCCGAAAGTTTCGGCAAATTTTTAGCCGAAACCGAAACTAAGGTCGAAAGTAGAATTTCTGGCCGAAACCGAATGTTCGGTCGGACACTAGTAACACAACTAATCCGTGCCTTCAGCCGCTTATTTTCATCACAATATGCGCCTTTTACATACCATTGGATTGAACATTTCTCTGACAATTTCCTAACTCGATTTAAACAGGTTTAAATATGACAAACTGTAAATTTATATTAAGTAGATTGATGTCTAAATAGGCAAGTTGTAACCGGAACAACATCTTATTTATATAATACTTTTCTAATTGGACGCTGTATGTACTTGATGTTATTAAAAAAAAAAAAAATAGATGTTAGGAATAATAGAAGCCGAGACAATATTTTTTACAAAAATATGTCTGTAAAGTAAAAAACTGCTGCATTAATTCAAATGTGGGTTTCACTGTTGTACTATTGTTTGTGAAGGTTTAACTTAAAAATTTAGACGTTCAGATTTATTAGTTTATCGACGTCTAAAATCCGTGCGTACGAAGTAGCGGGGAAAAGCTAGTATAGTACAAAATCAATCATCCTAACAGGAATGCAAAGTTTGAGCGTGTGAACAACAAGTCTGTTGATTATTTACACGTATGTATGACTTTGTATGTCTCGTGTATATCACAAGCAGAGGTCGAGCGATGAGTAAGCAATATGATTATGTATCACGATTAAATTTATGATCGATTTAATTGTGACGCTGCGTTGTAATCTAACAAAACAACATCACTATTGAAGAATTGACCTCGATTATTGGCCAAATAGTGATGTCTCCCATTGTCCAGTGTGTGATATCATCGATGATGTTAGTGTGGTACAAATATCGAATTTGAAAGAAGAGAAGAGAAAGAAGGGAAGAGAATAAATAATTCTTGCTTCATTTTCCTGTGGTCCTGGCATAGAAAACCACACCTTCTTTTCCCGTGGGTGTCGTAAGAGGCGACTAAGGAAAGACGAGGGATGAGCAGCAGCGTCCCTCTTAAAACATCTCTAAGGCCTAACAGCGGTTGCCAATCCGCCTGCTAAGTGTGGCTATTAACTGGCCAAAAACCCCGTAGGGGAAGGCTTATTATGTTCAGCAGTGGACAGTTCAAAGCTGATATGATAATTCTAAATAATAAAATTTTTAACACCCCTGTAAATAATTGACGCTCATTAACTCTTTCGGTGAGCAGTGAAAGTAGATACAATCTCATTTGAGAAATCAGTTTACGAAAGCGATATGGTTAAAGAAGGAAAAAGCCTTAAAAAATAAAAAAGTTGAGGATTAAACCGGTTACAATTCCATTTTCAATTAAATGCGGACTTAAATTAAAATATACTCAAATACAATTCCTTTTTGTTATAAAAATGTATCGGGGACGAATACTAACAATACAATAAAGTCGTGATAAACACAGCTTTACTTATACACATATTATGAAGTTTTACTTGGGTGCCCACTTTTAATGTAATTTTGTTCACAATTTTCATGCAAATCAGATTGGCTAAGACGCTGAAGTTGGTCTTTTTTTTATACCACGGAGGTGGCAAACAAGCATACGGCCCACTTGATGGTAAGTGGTCTACCTTCACTTCTTCTTTTCTACATTTTATTAGATATGTACATTAAATTCACAACCTTTGGATAAATAACGAGCTATTGTGTAACTCACTGGTTATTTTTTAAATTTTACCAAAGCGTGGACACCCTATTGAACCGCAGTGCGGACGCATCTCCTACGATTTCCATTACTTTCAGGACAGCTACGATTCACTGGTTATTTGATTAGAATTGTTTTATTTAATTCCGCTACCATTAGTATGTGTGACTGCTAGTGTCCGACCAAATTTTCGGTTTCGGTTTCGGCTAGTTTCGGCCAGAAATTCTACTTTCGGCCTTAGTTTGGGTTTCGGGCAAAAATTCTACTATCGGCCTTAGGTCCGGTTTCGGGCAAAAATTTGCCGAAACTTTCGGGGACGCCGAAACTTTGTGTGTGTGTTTGTGTTGTGTGTGTCTAACTGAGTTTTTTTTAAGTTTACTTTCAAGAGTAAGTCATAATTTTAACATGTTTTAACATATAAATATATATGACATATTTGCTACATATTTTAATTAATGTTTATTATTACCTTTTAACTATCTGTGTGTTTGTGTAAATAACTGTGTAAAAAATACACTAGATTTCAGTATAGAAGAGAAATTTTAAATATGTTTCAGTAAGTTTAGGTTTCGGTTTCGGCCGAAAGTTCGGTTTCGGCTGTAAAACCTGTTTCGGTTGACCACAATTATTACTATCAGAAGTGCCATAACCTTAGCCATTCGGCGCCTGCGAAGGGTCAACACTAGGCTCCGAGTGGAGATCTAATAACTTGCCTGAAGATGCCTCGTTTAGACGTGAAATACGTGTCGCAAAATGTGCGCGAACAAAATGGCAGCCGAAAATTGATGGTTTGGTAGTAATGGCGGTCGGTTAATCTTCGAGTACTGGTATTTACACTAATGATAGCGGAATTAAACAAAACAATTAGAAACAAATAACCAGTGATATTGATGTCTGTAAGAAAACACCTGAATCAGTAAAATAGTAACTAGATAATAGAGAACGGTGTACTTTTCCAAAATGTTTTCCCAAATTACCACAAAACATACAAACACTTATGAATATGATTGTTGAATTGCTAAGTATTTTACTATATGTACATTTAAATAAGTATTGAACAAGCCTCATGTAAATTATAAAAAAAAAATGTAATAATGTTATTTACACAACAGTGCCGTAACACAGAACTAATCTACTGGGATGGCACAGTGCTGTTCCAACTAGGGTTGCCGCCACCACTTGTTTATTTTTATTTTTTTAGATATTTATTGGTAATCATAAACGTTAAAATAATCAAGTATGCTAAAAGAATTTTATAGACAGATGTTTACAATTTATTTTACTCAAAGATTGTTTTTTTTTTTTTAAATCATTGCATTGTTTATTAGAAAATAAAAAGTTAACCATCATTTCGTATATAATGGAAAGGCTCAGTTATTAGATTCTAAAAATGTTGTGAAACTAATTAGTAGCAATAAATTATTAAACTATATCACTACTTACTTTAGAAAAGTATGTTTCTATTCTAATTATTTCGATTCAATATATTTTTTCCTATATTTAATACTGAAATAATTAATTTGTTCAAATAAAAGGTGTCAGTGGCAACCCTAGTGTTAACCCCTGGCAGATCGACATTGAGTACTGAACTTATATCGCGCTCGTTCTAGTGTGACGTAGCATGGTAATGGTCGTATTCTACTGTCCGCGCACCACCGTTACTTTCAACTCAGCAAGCCGATGGTGACCCGTGGTGACGCGACGCGAGTTGCGGATACAGATAACATGTGACGTAATTAACTAGACGATGGCCCGCGGCGCTACCGGACGCCCCGCGTGACCCCATAACATCGAGTATAATAATATAATAAACACATACAACATACCAGTAGCGATATCACCGACCACGGAGTATTTATAGGTCATCGAGACGGGATTTTGTATTTCTGTGCATGTTTACTTAACATTTAACTTTTTTTTTTTATATCTTTAACGCCATTTAGCATAACAGTACTACAACAGTAATAGCGTTTGTTACCGCTAGATGACGTTGTATATAAACTTTTTAATATAACTCTAATACCATAGAAATAGCAATTTTGTGGAGATTTTTTAATTGCAAAAAAAAAAAAAAAACTAATATTAATTTAATAATACTTTCTTGAAGTCTCTGATACTTTTTAATATTATTATGTATTTATTTTATCAAAAATGAGAAGTGACATTTAAAAACCTAGTTGTATTGGCTTCGGCAGAATAATAATTATTGTCAATTTACATATAACGATCAGGAGGCATTTCCAAATAAATAGTCCGATGTCAGCGAATCGCACTATGAACATAACGAGTTCTCGTACGCAAGTCGAAGCGCGCTGATCATAACAGATCGGCGCGACTAACATACGAGCAGTATCTTCTCTCCTTAAGTTTCATTAGCAACGTAGTACATTTAAGGACTGCAGTACCCTGCGGCGGCGGTGGCGGCGGCGGTGCTGGCGACGAGCTCAGGAGCGGAAGACGCGGACGGCGCGCACGACGTACTGGCGGCAGATGGGGCACTCGGCCAGCTGCTTGGAGCACGCCGTGCACGCCGCCATGTGGCCGCACTCCAGCAGCACGCACTCCAGCGGCGCCGCCATGCAGATCTTGCAGCACTCCTCCAGCGGCAGCTTCTCGATGTCTGCCACACAACACATGCGCTCTCTTACTCCTCTCTCTCTCTCAGTAGTACTGATGAGTGTTGTGAGTGCTACCTCCCGTGTCCTCAGGATGGCAACGCATGGGGTTTATCATGGGCGAAACAGTATACTCTGTTGTGTCCATGGTACTGCTCATGTCTATAGGCGACGGTTACCACTTTCCATCAGGTGGGCCGTCAGCTTGTTTGCCATTCTAAGTTAAATAAAAAAACCTCCCATCACATTTACTACTACAGGTCAATGTGTTACCCTGCATCTTGCCCAATCATTTTTTATATGTCTAAGAACAGCGTGTCAATGTCAGTTTGACTAAATATATTTACTGTTACCTTTCTCAACAGTTAAAGCACTGGAGTGTTGGAGCTGAATTAACTTTCTTATCATAATTTCTAATATAGCAGATCAGGGGGGGGGGGAGGAGGAGGAGAAGGGATTGTTAGTAATAAAGAGGTTAGTCCCCATTGTTATTTCTGTCAAGTCGACCACCACACGGTCCTCTGGATACCATCGTGGTTCATTCTTGGTGAATTAGTCACGATGGGCCAACTGACCTGTTTTCATCCTCATCTATCACCCTCACTGGTGATATAGCAGAGCGATATATCACCTTGTACTTTGTCTATTTATTTGTTATTTGTAATGGATGTTACATCATTTAGCTCCAAACAAGGTAGACAAGTTTATATTGGGACTATAGATAAGTTTCACCGCCATGTTTAAAAGGTGTGTGGCAGTAAAACTAAACATATAGAGATATGGCCTGAACTATGGCCTGACTTTATACGATATAGTATTAAGCTCACCACTTGTACAAAGTTTTATTGTGCAATGAAGAATAAATAAATAAATGCAAGAGATGTACCATATGCAGTGTTGTTTACATCTGTGTATAGGTCAGCTCGGTTGTTAAGCGTACCGTCATTGTACTGCTGGTGGTCCCGCCAGAGCAGCCGCGCGCGGTTCAGCAGGTCGGCCCGCTCGAGGCAGCCGCGGTACTGCACGCGGTTGCGCGCCAGCAGCTGCTTGAGCTGGCGCACGCTCAGCGCCTCCAGCTCGGCCGCGCTGCGCAGCTGCTGCAGCGACACGTCGCACGTCGCCACCGTGCCGCCGCTGCCGCCGCCGCCGTCGCAGCCGCGCTCGTCCGTCGTCACTGAGGATTGTTTTATAGACTTTACGACATGAAGATTTTCGCCGCATCAATTTTTTTTGTGCGCATTGATTTTGCTTATTCTGAACATTTTTTTTTTATACAACGTAGAATGGCGTATGACGGCCCACCTGATGGAAAGTGGTAACCGTCGCCTATAGACATGAGCAGTACCATGGACATAACAGAGTATACTGTTTCACCCATGATACCCCCCATGCGTTGCCATTCCTGAGGACTCAGGTGTTATTCCTCTGTTGTACCCTGTAAATTGACGCCATATGTCACCCTTCAAACCGAAACACAGCCATGCAAACACAACTGCTTCACGGTTGAAACACGAATGGGACAGAGGTACCCAAGCAATCGACTTTTGTACAAAGTCTCCCTCTGGTGAATACACCTGGAATTCAGTACGATAGTTTCCAGGGGAATTACGTGAAGGTAGACCTGACGAGGTTTACTGCTAGCAATTGGACCGGTACTTCGCAATACTAACAATCCCATTCCCCTCCTCCACTACTACAGCAGACGTGTGGTCCCCGCGCGGGGCGGTACCTGCGTCGTGCTCCATGAGCGGCTCGTCCTGCAGGCTGGCGCTGTCGGCGGCGTCGCTGTGCGCGGTGGGCGGCCGCAGCTCCAGCTCGGACGCGGCGCGCTGCGGCGTGGCGCCGAGCCGCGCCGCCGCCGCCGCCGCCGCCGCCGACACGTACCGCGCCGCCGGCGACGACGGCTCGCGCTCCACATCCTCGCTCTCCGTTATCAGTATCTCTGAATCTAAAATTAAAGGTGAGAAATGACAGGTGAGGATGAAGTCAGATTCCTTGTTTCGGCGTGGTGAATTTTAGTGTGCAAGCATTTCGTACCGTTAGGCAGCGGGTCGGCGGGCCGCGTGACGAACTCCCAGCCCTCGTCCACGTCCTCGATCTCGTAGCAGTCGGCGGAGTCCCTGTTGGAGGTGACGTCGCTGCTCTCCTCCACGCGGGGCTCCGGCACCGGTACTGTGATGTCGCGCTCGCCACCTAAATATACCCATTTACTTCTAAGTTAGTTGGTGACCCATCTATTCAAATTAGGCTTCATAGTGGGTTTCCTGATTAAGTTCAGTTGATTAAGATCCAGACAGAGCGCACAAAAACAATAATTATTCGTTAACCTATTTGTTTAGGGGGAAGGGATTGTTAGTAATGGGAAGGTTAGTCCCCGTTGCTATCAATGTACCCTATCAGGTCGACCTCTACGCGGTTCCCTCTAGAAACTATCGTGACTAATTTATCGTTGAATTTGTCATGATAGGTTAATTGACCTGCCTTTTCATGCTCACCTATCACTTCTCACTGGTACCAACCAATGTATACTGATAATGCAGGCACCATATTATTACCACTCATTAAAAGATTTTTTTATTTGACTCGTCGATAATTACCGCATATAGAAACAAAAAACTGGCTAAGGAGTTTGACTCGCTCATTCCGTACAAAATATAATTAAAGAAATTTGGAAATAATTTTTTTGTAATGTAGTTTTTTTACAGTTTTCTCTTGATATTTTCTCCTGTTCCTAAGAAAATTAAGTTATAAGTTTTCATAATAAAAATTCATGTACAGACTTGGATTTTTACGATTTTATTATAGTTTAGATATAATTCGATAATGATGTATTAGTAAGTATACCAGGGGTGGTAGTGAATCTTTCCCGAGGCGGAGTGCGTGGTGTGGGCTGCGCGGGCCGCGGCGGGAGTCCCGTGTGCGGGCTGGGCGGCGTCGCAGCGCCATGCGCGTGTGACGCGTTATAACAATTGCCTATAAATTATAATTAATTGCAAATCCATTATCAAAAAGGCCATTGTTTGCCATTAAAAAAATAATTTAATGGCAAACAATGGTCTTCTTCATAGTAAATAGATTTTGTCTCGTTAGATACCATGATCTTTTCAGAGGACCTAGACTAAAACTAGACTGTGATACGATTTCTGATATCAGTCTAACCAATGGTCCAATCAAGAGGAAATTTATGGATAAATTATGGGATATATTAACTAACACTAGTAACATTTTAATGTCTGCCAACTTTTTTGATAGGAAATCTCGAGTCTCAGTAGCTACTAACCTCTATGCAGATGATTTCAATTTGCTTTACAACATTATTCACGTAAGATTTATTTTTGTGCAGCCGACTGAAAGTACTAAGTGGCCGATAGACATAAACAGCAGTGCAGACATGACGGAATAAAATGTGACATTCCCAGTATATCTCATGCGTTTTATGGCACATACCGTGCGGTGGCGGCGGTGCGGGTGGCGGCGCGCCGCGGAGGTCGAACGCATTGTTGATGAGGACATTGATGTTGTTGGTGAAGCCCTTGAGGGTACTGAAGGGGCTGGAGCCACCGCGTGGGCCTCGTCGCCGGTACGCCGTGCTGTTCACATGCGATACGCACAGACTCACTAACTCCTCTTTTTCTGCAAATATGGTTTTACAATTACAGGCTGATCCCTGCAGCTTGACCCACATGAATTTGTTTATAAAATGTCCCATGTTAAGTAAGGATATAACCTATCCATGTATCAAATATTATTAAAATCTGTTTAGCTGTTAAAGCATGATTGAGTAACAAACATTTAAACAAATTTAGCAACTTTACATTAATAATATTCATGGATTCATAAAACAACCTTTCACAAAATAAACAAAGGTACTTACAAATAAATTTGTCGATTTAATTTAACCAGTAATGTATTTTAATGTACATTATATGTTCTCATAGTATAATGTAACTTTATTAAACAACAAATGTGAAAAACATGTTTTCATCATGCCTAAGAACAATCATAATAATTGAGATTTGATGTTATCTCAGTTAAAAATCATAATTGTTGAGAACCAATCAAGGCATAAATTGATGAATTCATTGATTGATTCTTTCTCGATTGATTGTATTAATTTAGTGTCAAAATGATTGCTAAATGTAATTATGTTGTACAATTTTAATTTCTTTTTTATTACCATATAGAATATGTCAATCAATTTATAACTAATGTACTATAGAATTATTATTTATAATTCTTGAAACTAGTAAATAATATTTCAACCTGTCAATCATCCACTGCTGAACATAAGGTTACCTTATATTTTATACAAAAAAAATACAGCCGACTCACCTACAAACTTTTTATTCTTACAATGTCTAACTATACTTGTTATATATATTGATACATTATTTAGATAGATTACATTACCAAGAACAAAATCATGGTGATGTGACAAAAGCTACCTATTTACAGCTAATTCTTTTAAAAATCTTCTTTATATAAATATTAACAAAAATAATTATTTCATATCATTTTCAATAAAATGTAAATTACATTTTTTTAAATTATCTTTTTACTTACTAAAATGAATAATAATAAATTCAAAATTAATAAAAACATTAATTCCTGCATAGTTCTGGTCTCTTAGTACTTATGGTTTATCCAGGTGAACTACAGGTAAATAATATACATGTGCTCTCCTTGGGGATATAACAACAAACACCCATTATATATATATATATATATATATATATATATATATATATATATATATATATATATATATATATATATATATATAATAATCATGTATTAAGTATAATAATGTCATTGATCAATAACAAAAATAGGGTGGCTTTTGAGGTAGTTAAGGATACGATTTTACAGTAAATCAAACACATACCGACACAACCCCTGGTGGAGACGTTCTGTCGCTGCAGGAAGCACTGAAGGTCGCGCACCTTTAGGTGAGCGATGGTCTGGCGCGACAGGGGCCGAGTGGAGAGCACCCGGCAGGGCGCGCACATGGCGCCGCCGCCCCGTCGTAGGCACCCGCTGCAGTAGTATCGTTCACATTCACTACACGCCCGCTTCCGCCTGAACACACTGAACTGCACGGCGCAGCTTTCACAAGGCATCTTATCGCAATCTCGTACTATCATCTAGCATACTCCGCGTAAAGCCCTATTCTGACAATAGCAGTCTTATGGTGTCACAACGTCATTGTGAAAAAGTTACTATCGTTTTAGTCGTTGTACCTCGCATATTTTTATATTTTTTTTAAATATTACAATATTGCACTAGTATTTACGTAAAAAATCAAAACATCTATTTGACAATTGGCAATTGCAATTGACAGAATGACGTTAGGTCGCGCAAAGATCAGTGTTGCCAATTTATTTTTAGATTTATCTAAACAGTGTAAATGTTTTCTTGGTGAATTGAAAAACAACAACAATTTAAAAGAAGGAACTAAAAATTTAAATAAATAGTTGTTTATCTATTACTTACCTTACTCAGTATATTTAGTTGTGCAAATTTTATATTTTGCATAAAATATAAAATATTAAAAAAAAAAAAAACAAAATGTTTCTAAAGTATAAACATCCTCAATGTTTTGGAAAATATATACTTTGAGTAATTATAAGAGTAATATTTACCTAAATATATACGCTTTTTTCTTTCGTTTAAAGAATGATTGGAGTTACGATTAAATTAAATTACAAGACGACGAGAGAAAAAACGGGCGATATGAGCCCAATATGTCAAAATTGGTAACACTGGCAATAACTTGAGATGACATGACATTCTATTCCGACAGTAACGTTCCGTTACACTGTATCTAGCTTAGTATCATACTTTTTTTTATTTAAGCGATTAGAATTTAATACGGCGATTTACTGTTACCGAGACATATCCAGAAAGATAAGATTTATTGTCATGATGCCATTAAATATTAGAGGAATATTTTAGTTATCTATTGTCATAGATTTTACGTGTCAAACAGCTATGAAAGATTTTCAGTTTATTAAAAATTAAAATTCTGGCGAATTATACTTTCATTTTTATTAACTACCTGATATGAATATTACATTTATTAAATAATAATTTATTGTGGTGGTGTGGCACAGAATAATTAGAGGGGCAGACCACAATAAATTCGAACTGATGATAATCATAGCCAAGAGTAAAAATAATATTTATATTTATTGTGTCATAAAACGAGTTATAGAAAGTTAATCAATGTGATAAGAGACGGACAAATGGCGAGTTTAGATGGGAGTATAACAGTCCGCTTTATAAATCGTCATGTTTAATTACAAGAATATATCACGATGGTCCAACTGACCTGCTTTCCCATTCTCACTGATCAACCTTCACGATCCCTTACTGATGCCTTTCTAGCGTGTAACGTTAGCGCAGTCGGGATTATTAATCCATTAAGACCCATTTAGAAGACCACTCTTCACGTGGTCCTTCCGAAAACCATCGTGGCTAATATATGTTAAGTTTGATAAGATGGGTCTTTCGTCTTGCCTTCATTTCAGTAATGATCTCCTATTGATGTTTCGTCAACGTATACTGATTTTTTTTTATACAACTTAGAATGGCAAATAAGCTGACGGCTCACCTGATGGAAAGTGGTAACCGTCGCCTATAGACATGAGCAGTACCAAGGACATAATACTGTTTCGCCCATGATACCCCCCATGCGTTGCCATACCCGAGGACTCGGATGTTATTCCTCTGTACCCTGTAAATTCATGCCATATCCCACCCTTCAAACCGAAACACAGCCATGCAAACACAACTGCTTCACGGTTGAAACACGAATGGAATAGTGCAGGCGGTTTATTCTATTAACATTCATTTGACCTTGGCTCTCATTCTCACTTGGTTTGTAGGATATGAAATCTATAATATAAAAAAAACAATTATTGGAACGGGCACATAAGAAATATTATATAACAAGTTTACAGATATATTCGTAATGATTTTTACTGAAATTCACCGTCATGCGTTTTTTTTAAATATAATTTCCAATAAGTCTAAGTACTAAATATTCTATCACTTTCATATGTTCTTCCATGGACGATCACATTGTTACTGTATTTCAAACCCATACTGCTTCTGTTATGCTTATTGTGCTTATGTGTTACGGTCCCATGACAATACATTTACATTTGTGTAAATACAGTTATTCTATTGTGAAATGCGTTAAAGAGCAGATGTGTTTTTCGGAACATGATTCAGAGCTGAGGTGTCCGAGTGGTTAAGGAGTTGGACTTGAAATCCAATGGGTTCTACCCGCGCAGGTTCGATTCCTGTCCTCAGCGAGTGGTCATATTTAATTTTATGTTTTTTTTTATGATAAGATGACAAATAAGCACATGGTCCATATATTAGGAAGTCGTAACCACTGTCTGTAGACATAAGTAGAGCCATGGGTATCATATACCTATCATATACATATGGGAATTCTGATGCCCATGGTACTCTTCATGCGTTACCACTCCTGTGGACTATGGTGGTATGCCTCTTTACCCTGTAATTTCACAGCCACACTTCACCCTTTGTAAACGAAACACAGCTGAAAAGCGGATGGAACAGGGATACCCATGCAAACGATTTTTGTACAAAGTCTGTTTTTGATAAATATCTGGTTTTATATACTAGCTCTGAAATCATTTTTAATACATTAAGTTTTTAGAAAAAATAAATTAATTTCGATAGTAAGTGATACCGTCTAAGACTTAAAAAGACATGGATGTATTGTGTGAGGGACGATATGGCCAGAAGGGGAGTGAATGCGGAAATGACTGGGAATAGAAAAGAATGGAAGAGGAAAACATATTACGCCGACCACAAATAATAATTGGGATAAGGGTAGGAAGAAGAAGAAGAAGTAAGTGATGCCGTCTAAATTCAAAACTAAGACCTCAGATAAACTTTTCCATTATATTGCACAATGATGCTTGCATTACATGAAGTCGGTGAAACTGTATCTTCATTATTTGCTCATCACTAATCATAATGTTGCCGTGTGGTCCCAGCATAGAATAGACCACCCCTTCCTTTCACGTGGGCGTCGTAAGGGAAGACTAAGAGAGGGCGAGGGATCGGCAGCAGTGTCTCTCTTAAACATCTCTGAAGCTTGACTGCGGTTGCCAATTCGCCTGCCAAGCGTGACAACTGGCAAAACCCTCCAAAGAGAAGGCTTATATTCAGCTGTGGACAGTTAAAAGGCTGATATGATGGTGATGAAAATTATAATGTTACATGATTTTATCACGTTTTGTGTGAGTTGAGACAAGTTAGATGTCAAGATGGTGTCAGTTGATAGGACTAATATAATAATATCACGGGTATCGTCAAGCCATTCTATAGAATCCTATTTGCCAAAAAAAAAAAAAAAATAGAGAAACTGTAAATTTTCCATAAGGATATAATTCAGGGTTGCACAACGAGGGCTGTCAGTAGAGAGTCCATTAGTCGCAGGCTTTGTGTGACTCAATTGCAAGCGGGGTGCATTTCAAACAAATGCACCGTTTGAGTGCGCTCCGCCCCGTCACTGCGCTCCCGTCCCATTCGCTTCGAGCGTCACCTCGCACACGAGTGGCCTCACGACCTGGATTTTTATCCGATCTCTGAAAAAAAGAGTGTAAAGTATTTGTGATGTTCCGGATTTTTGACACATTGTGATGTGTTTTTATGATAGGATTTATGATGGTATAGGTTGGATGATGTCTTTGAACACATTAATGAAACTAGAAATTGTTCCCAAAGGTTGCAAACCAAAATTTTAAGCATCCAACACCTCCCACAATCACTTAGATCACCAGTGGGCACCAAATAGATCCTAATTGTTAATTACGATTCTATACAATGATAAAATGACATAAAAATAAGGTGTCAACATCATAACAAGTATCAAGAATTCCTTTTTAAAAGGCCGGCAGCACACCTGCAATGTCTCTGGTGTTGCGGGTAATCATGGGCGGCGGTAGTCACTTATCGTCACGGAGTCTAGGAAAATCCACTGTCTCACTGTTGGGATTTTTGCGCAACATTGTGAGTACGGATATTTCATTCTAATGCAGACTACCAGGTCCATAGCTAGCAATATACCTTTTCAGGTCGACCACCACGTGGTCTCGCCTAGAAACCAATGTGCTGAATTCCAGGTGCACTCATCACGATCGCCTATCTGACCTGCCCTTTCATTCTCACCTATCATCCCTCACTGGTGCTTCGCCAGCGTATACAGTTAGCGCAAGCGGTGGTAACTCCGCACCATTGGGGGAAAGGAATTATTAGTAATGAGGTCTAATAGCTCCATTACTAGCAATATCATATTATATCTCAGGTCGACCTCCGCGCGGTTCTCCCTGGAAACCATCATGGTTAATTCTTGTCGAATTCATCATGGTGGGCCAACTGACCTACATCTATTCTCACCTATCATCTTCCACTGGTGCCTCGTCGGTGTATACCGATAGCGCGGGCGGGGTTACCATACCATTATTCATCCAATAAAAAAAAACCTGCACCATTTCATTGTCATCTGTTAATGACAATTTTATAATTATGGCTCGACTTGTTCGAGCAGGCGCTTCTTTTTTATTTCTATTCTACCGTCCACTTTTGTGTTTCTAGTACTGCGCCATCTTGTTTTTACTTGGACAGTTGTAACGCCAGCTAGAACATTACTGTTAATATTTATATTAAATTAAACGCACTTATCAAATATTATCAGAGTTTATTCTAAAATAAATTCCATTGTGTCCACGACGAGACATCATCTATTTAAAAAAAAATTTACGTCACCGTCGTGATTTCAATGTTCCAAATGACCGTGAACGTACCTACACTTGTATTAATTATTCACAAAACACGTATAATAATGTAACCAACTGATACAATATGAAATATTTAATATTGTATAATCTGTATTGAGTCAAATGCTGTAACCATGGCAACAGTAGAAATACTCCTCACATTGACCACTAGATGGAGTTGTAAATTTAGTATCTGTGTGCTACAACGCGATATTAAGATTTCTAAGCTGTGTATATAAGTTCAGGAATATATTGAACAATAACAATAATCTCGTCTCTAAACTTCAAGGATATATTTATTTATTGAAACCTTAAATTAAAGCTTATAACAGTTTGTTCAAATATGACTGTGAAACATTTGCGCTCTTGTAAATACGTGATGGACTACGTAACGTTTTATATCAAATATGCGGTATATTACTATTGTTCTCGTAAGATACTGTTCGAGTAGTAACGTCACGTACAAGATAAGATATTACTACAGCGGAATGTAAATAATTGTGTATCTAACACGATATCTTGGGGG